GTGTGCATCCACTAGTGTGTGTGCATCCACTAGTGTGTGTGCATCCACTAGTGTGTGTGCGTCCATGCCCAATGCACCCCACGCATCTCCACCACTTGGCACATGTTGTCCATGTCAACGGTGGGAACCCCCTTGCACTTCACCTTCACACACCCAAGAGACCAACAGGATGCCAACAACAGTGTGTGTGGTGTGTCCTACCCAATGCATCCCACGCAACTCCACCACGCGGCACGCGTTGTCCATGTAGACGGTGGGCACGCGCTTGAAACAATGCACCGTCACACTTTCAAGGAACCGCATTCCATCCCTCCACACACCCCATGCATTAAGGTGTATTTTGAGGCGCCTCAAAATGCACCGTCACACTCCCATACACACTCCCATGCGCACCCCATGCACACCCCATGCACACCCCATGCACATACGCACCCCACGCACCTCGACCACACGACACACGTTGTCCATGTCAACGGTCGGAACCCCCTTGCACTTCACCTTCACACACCGCCGCCTCTTCCAGTGCGTGTGAATGAGCTCCAGCATGTTGTGGATCAAGCCGTCCCTGCCTGTGAGGGGGGAAAAAGAGAGGGGAAGGAGAGGTGTGGTGACCTGCTAAACAGCAGCAGCTCAGCCTCTTCCAGTGCGTGTGAATGAGCTCCAGCATGTTGTGGATCAGCCCGTCCCTGCCTGGGGTAATAGCATTGGGACGGGGAGAACGGGTAAGGGGGGGAGCAAGCAAGAGAGAGAGTATGATGGCTGAGTGTCTGCCAGTGCGTGTGAATGAGCTCTAGCATGTTGTGGATCAGCCCGTCCCTGCCTGTGATAGGGAGTGAAAGAGGTAATGGGAGGGGGGAAAGGGCTATGAAGGGGGAAACAGAAGCCACACCGCCGCCGCTTCCAGTGCGTGTGAATCAGCTCTAGCATGTTGTGGATCAGGCCGTCCCTGCCTGTGATAGGGGGTGAAAGAGGTAATGGGAGGGGGGAAAGGGCTATGAAGGGGGAAACAGAAGCCACACCGCCGCCGCTTCCAGTGCGTGTGAATCAGCTCTAGCATGTTGTGGATCAGGCCGTCCCTGCCTGTGATAGGGGGTGAAAGAGGTAATGGGAGGGGGGAAAGGGCTATGAAGGGGGAAACAGAAGCCACACCGCCGCCGCTTCCAGTGCGTGTGAATCAGCTCTAGCATGTTGTGGATCAGGCCGTCCCTGCCTGTGAAGGGGTTGAAAAGGATGATGGGAGGGCAGGGAAGGTCTATGAGAGGCGGAAAAGAGCACAACGCCGCCGCTTCCAGTGCGTGTGGGTGAGCTCTAGCATGTTGTGAATCAGCCCGTCCCTACCTGGTGGGTGATGTGGTGGGGAGAGTGATGAGAGCGATGGGAGAGGCGGAAGAGATGTGAGAGGGGGTTCACAACACAAGGTGACTTTTGAGTCGACTCAAAAGTCACCTCGGAAGAGCTGAGAGGGGGAACACGAGTTTTGAGTCGACTCAAAACTCGACTCAAAAGTCACCTCGGAAGAGCTGTGAGAGGGGGAACACAACACATCACCAACGCTTCCAGTGCGTGTGAATGAGCTCTGGCATGTCGTGAATCAGGCCGTCCCTGCCTGTGATGGGGGTGATGTCATGAGAAAGGGGAGAGGGGGGAGAATGGGAAGAATGGGGAGAGTGTCGTGGATCACCCCATCCCAAGCACCCATGAGTCAACCCCACCACAACCCACCGCACTCCACCACACCACACACACGCTCACCTAGGTTGACCTGTCTTCGCCTCTTGTTGCAGTCAGCTACCATCTCCTCCACCTCCTCTCTGGAAAACGGAGCCCCCAGCACCTCCTCTTGCGTCCGCACATACCGCGGCCCCTCCCCCTCCCCAAACGGCCCTGGGGGCTGCACCCATCAGTCAACCACACTCCATTCCACCCAACCCCACCACAACCCACCGTATTCCACCACATCACACACAAGCTCAGCTCACCTAGATTCACCTGGCGCCTTCCTTTGTTGCAGTCTGCAACCATCTCCTCTATTTCCTCTCTAGTCAACGGCGCTCCAAGCACCTCCTCCCTCGTCCGCACATACCGCGGCCCCTCCCCCTCCCCAAACGGCCCTGGGGGCTGCACCCCCTTCACCCCCCTCTTCTTCCTCGGCGCCACAAACGAGTCAAACTCCGGAATCACCCGGGGTAAATTCCCCGAACCACCCCCTTTTTTCGCCTTTTTCAGCGGGGCACGCCCGGTCCAGGGGCGGGACATGGTAGCTGGGCCAAAGGGGGAGAAGGGGGGTTCCCGGTAACCAATCGGGGGGGTGGAGGGGGTTTCGGAGTAGCTGTATTGGAAGGGGAAGTGCGGATCTATAGGGGCGATTTCCGGATCGCCTTGGGGCGGTGCGACGTTGAAGAACTGATCCTTCTGGGCAACGGAGAGCGGCTTTTTCCGGCCGGACAGGCCCAGCCAGTTTTGCCGTTCAGAAGCAGTAGAGGATGGGGAGGAGGCAGATGCGGAGGGTGATGCTGATACTTCTTCCTGCTCCTGCTGCTGCCGCTGCTCTTGCTCCTGCCGCCACTGCTGCTGCTGCCGCCATTGCTGCCGCTGCTGTCTGGAAAGAGCATCCACGTACTGCCGCTCCTGCACATCCCCCTCTCCCTCCTCCTCCCCCTCCTCCCCCTCCTGCTGCTGCTGCCGCCATTGCTGCCGCTGCTGTCTGGAAAGAGCATCCACGTACTGCCAGTCCTGCTCCTCCGTGTCCCTGCCTTCCTCCTTCCTCTCCTGCTGCTGCTGCGGTTCCTGTTGCTGCTGGTGCTGCTGCTGCTCCTGCTGTGCTCGCCTCTGCTGCTGCTGCTGCTGCAGGCCTTTTGGGGCCCTTGGAACATACACGGATCGTCGCTCCTCACGCTGAAGCTGTGCCTCCAAGTCATCAGCAGACGACCACCCAAACAGCTCGTCCTCATTATACCCCTCCGCGTCCGACCCTGCATTATCGCTCTTCAATTGAGAACTTGAAGCCCTTCCCTCATTTCTTCTAAAACCCTCAACCTCGTCTGAACCCTTCTTGAACCCTCCACCCCCATTCGCCCCTTGCCACCTGCTCCCCTCGCTAGTTGTCCACCTCCTCTCCCGCGCACTCCCCTCCCTTCCTCCCCTCCATCTCACCCCTTCAAACTCCTCCCTTTCTCCCCTCCAACCCTCCCCCTCCCTCCCCTCCCACTCTCCCCTCCGCCGCTCTCTCTCCCCCTCCCCTCTAAGCCCACTATAACCACGCTCTCTCCCCTCCCAAGAACTACCCCGCCCCCTCACATCCACATATGACTTCTGAGTCGAGTCAAAAGTCGTCCCTCTACGCCCACTGTCGCCACTGTACCCGCGCTCTCTCTCTTCCCCGTACCTACCTCGCCCCATCACATTCCCATACGCTTCATATGCGCCTCGCTCCGCCCCCCTGTCGTCCCCATAACCGCTCCCTCTCCCCTCCGCGTAACTGCCTCGCTGCCTCACATCCCCATAAGCCGCGTATCCGCCTCGCTCCGTCCCCCTGTCGTCCCCACGTCCCCGTCTCTCTCCTCCGTCCCTGCCGCCCCCCCGGTAACTCCCCCTGCTGCGCTCCTCCTCCTGACCTTTTGATCCCCTTCGCGGCGCTGGAAACTCCCACGGGGCTTGTAACGAAGCACCTGTTAATGAGGATGGGTCTCGCCGCGAGGATCTCGCGTCTCTCGAGGGTACGCCACGTGTCGCTTGTTCGTCACGGCCTGGTTGCTGCCATTGGTTGGATCTACCATTCCGAACGTCCTGGCTAATCGACCTGTCCCGAGACTGCCTCCGAGGTTCGGCATTCGAACGAGCCTGACGAGGAGCTTCGGCATCGTCCGACCCTGCGGATTCCCTCTTGCTAATCGGACTGCTTTTCCCCACCCACCGTTTCCACACCTCCTGTCGCTTAGCAAAAAAGGGGTCCACGTCAGCGCTTTCCGACGCGTCCGCGTCAGCAGCCGCATCGGACAATTGCTGCCGCCCGTAGGATCTGCCTCTCTGTAACGGGCCATCCTGCCAGCTGGCACATAAAACCCGAAACCCTGAACATCCCTGTCTGCAACTGGTTTGGCTGAAGCCATTTTGCCTAGGACTAACTGACCCAAAAATGCTGTTGAATCGTAAACCTTTGTGGTCTAACCTACTGGATCCGAATCTGGTTACCCCTAGGCCGCTCCGGTTCTGACTAGCAAGTTGGGGTGACTGCAGAGAAACCGTTAGCGGGAGTGCTACTAACGGAATCGCGGGGTTGGTGAACATGACGGACGTTGGCGGGACATGCGTACGAACACGTGGAGGGACGTGCAGTGCGGATAGGTGCGCGGAGCCCTGCGCAAGGGCGCGGCGCGGATGCCCTTGCGGAAGCATCCGGGGAAGCGAAGAGGGGCAACGGGCAGCTGGCGGAAGCACGAATGCGCGGAGCGGGTGGACGGAACCAGGACTCGCGCAAGCGGAAAAGCTACGCGTTATATCCAGGCGCAACAAGGCGAGGGGATTTACGGAAGCCGGTTCTTGACTTAATCGCCTTCGCCGCAATAGGCGCCGCATACGACGGTTGTGATTGACGGTGATGTGTGTTTGGATGGGTGACAGCACAAGTCTGCGCGTTTCTGCGTGTTGAATCTGCGCGTTTGTGGGCGAGGGTGATGCATACATGGTGGCGATGGGCCGGCCGAACCGAGGCCAGAGGAAGTGGGAAGCGTGGGAGTAGTTCGGTTTTGTGTCAGATCTGCAGATGTAGTTCGGTTGCTCCGTGCAACTTAGATTCCTATACGGGAAGCATAGACTTCTTGGGAATTGTATTTTATCTCAGCAAGTTTCCGAAGAAATCAAACCCATTTACATTTCAACAATCCAAAAGCTCTGGCTTATTCACACTCTCAGTGCTGTTTGCGCAGCAGGACGTGGAGCACAAAGCATGCCACAATGCCCACACGGGCGATGATTGCAAGGGCATTTAGTATAATGGGTACTATTTTAGATTGGTCATTGTTCTTGTAACGATTCATCTCCATGGCGTATTGTTGCCCCTCCACATCGAGCTCCTTATTTCCTTGTTGTGATTGTGCGGTTGCCATCATCTGCAATACAAGACAGTAAGGAAGTTATGAACATGTTCGCCTACAATAGTTTGGCCCCAAAAAAAAGAAGTAAAAGAAAAGGAAAGCATACGAGTAACATGCAACAGTTGGAATTGGCTGGTTCGAGCGGGCAGAGGCAGGTATGGCTTACTGTACGGAAGTAAGCATCCATGGTCATTTTCACCCCATTATAGCAACATAGCTCCAACTGTGCCTCATTTGTGGATGTCCGTGCTGAAAGAACAGGAAAGATAGTAGAAATCAGGAGAACAAGTGTGACGGTCTGTCATATGAAAAGAATGTGATGAGTGAGAGTACTACTGAGTGTACCTAAAGCAAGAGTAAACCATCAGAAAGACAAATAAAGAGAGTGTTTGCAAGGATGTGGGTGTGGAATGGGAATAGGAATGGGAATGCTGAAGCGTGAAGAGAAGCCAAGGGATGCAGGGATACAGGGAAATGGGATGGTGGGAGAACACGGAAAACAAACAGTGAGGGGTGATGGAGGGAATACCGGCATCAATCGTGCTGTCGCCTCCTTCGCTTGTAACGCCATCGGTCTGGTTACCACAGAGAAACAGGGCACCTTTGCCCAGATCCACGATTCTGCACCGACCCTTCACCAACTCGTTACAAGGCAGCTCGGTACAAGCACCTGCATGGTGTAACGAGGAGCAAAAGGTGGAAATTAGGTGTTATGGTTCGACGTGACTGTCAGGCGTTTGGCACTAAAAAGGTGGGACCTTGACCACATGCTACCTTCCCCGGTTTGTCACCTTCACAATGTGCTACCTGGCACGCACCTGCATCTCCTCGCAGCAGCAACGCTCGTCGGTGACTCTTCGGAAGAAGCGCGGGATATGTGACCCTAATATTTTGCAATGCTCTGTCTCTTCGTGCGATTTCTGCTCCCTCCGATAGTCGTTGTTCTTCTAGTGTAGATTGGGCGACGATTTCAATGGGCAGGAGCGCCGCGCAGAGGACGGGGAGGAGGAGGAGCCGTGAGATGGAACGGCCATTCCTTGCTGGTGCGTACACCTTCTGAGGTACATAGGGGAAGGGAGATGAAACGGACTTGAAACAGGCATTAAATCGGACAAGAAACGGACTGAAAACGGAGGCTGCATGATGTGCGCACGGGATGGAAAATGCGTTATGAGACGCCACAAAATATTTAGAAGGCAGGGGCGTGACTACAGCGCGGCCTAGGCCGTGTGATGATTTTTTTGGGGCGCCAAACGAGATGTGACTAAAACGAGGCATGCTGGGGCTCACCATGGTGCTGCGAGACGCGCGCGGCGCGCGCGGAACGGAAATGCGGGCGGTAATGAGGAGACGAGCAGCGTGAACGGGGGAGAATGCGACACCGAGACTTTTGAGACGTCTCAATGATAGAGGGGAAGAACGAAAGGAGGGGGGAGGGGGGAGGGAGGGGGGGGGGGGGGGGGTGGGGGGGGGGTTGGGGGTCGACGCTCGTCGCGGGTGGAGTCGTGGAGTCTGCGGTGACGAGCGAAGGCGGTAATCGCTGGCCCGGCGAAGTGAACGTTTTCAGCGTCCGCAACGCGCGGAACTTCCGGATGTTTATCGCCGACGCGCTGAGTCTTATGTAATGGTTGTTGCACGGGGAAACCGAGGCTGGCTGTTGTGCAATGAAAAATGCAATAGCGGAATATCTGTTGTGGCTGGAGAAGCTGCAAGGATAGTTAGGTTTAGGTCATAACCAGACACTAAATACTGTAGTATCATATTGCGAGCAGCGGGATGGGAGGGCGAAGTTTGGACGTGCCCCGCAAACTGTCCCATGAGGGCGTATTCCTAGCTTCGGGTCATCCGGTGTTTGTGTCATCCGAAAATTAAGGTAGCCAATCGAAAAACCCGCGGTTCGAAATTTGAATTTTTCGATTGGATACCGCAAATTTCGGATGACATGAAGCCGGGATGACCCGAATCCAAGAATAGCCGTGATCCCGAATATCGTACCTGCGCTTTGCCGATGCGGCAACAGAAGCTGCGCCCGCAAGTCTGATCGAGGGTTGTTGGTAGGCTGGTAGGTCTCCTTCGGTCAGCCCACTCCCATTGGAAGGATGACGTGGAAGGGCTGTTGACGCGCTTGAACTAGTTCAGACCGGACTGCACCGATAACACTTCTCAGATCGTGATTTGGTAACGCGTGTACATTTGCATATGATTTTACATGATACGACAATTCACAGCCATTTTGCCTTTGAGGGCCGTCAAAACCTTGTGGCTGGTTTTGTTAGCTTTCACAATTGCTCATATGCATACTGTTCCAGTATCAGAAGCATGTGTGCCAACTTACTATCACATACCTCATTCTCCCCTCTAACCACATGCCTATAGTGCCACTTGATAACGTGCAACCAACTCATAACCCCCACTCACCAGCCACCCCTCCTCAGCCCCCAGTCAAATATCCTGGATCTTATTCCCAGCAATTCCAACCTCGTCACCAGCCAAACCAGGCACCGACACAATCTCCCCATGCACAGCTTCGGCCGGATCAGCTTCGGCCGGATCAGCTTCGGCCGGGTCAGCTTCAGCCGAACCAGCGCCGTCCGAGCCACCAGCACCATGACCAGCACCGGGGGGAGCAGCACGAGCGGCAGTGAGGGAGGGGAGCACGCAGGTGCGGAGGAGGCGGGAGGCCACGGAGCGCAGCACCTTCTTCTTGTGCCGGCGGTACCTCACCAGCACCATCCGCTCCTCCACCACTGGCAAGATTGGCACACACCAGGCACGGAACTCCTCCCTTTCCTCCCTTTCCCTCGCCTCTTTGCCCTCATCCCTCTCCCTCCCCTCTCCAGTATGTTTACCCTTCTCTAAGCTTTCGAAGCCTTTTTTTGGACTTGCCCCGGATTTCGAACCCTCCCCAGATAAGCCTGTCTCGGCTGCTCCTTCTCCAGCCGAGCCTTCCGCCGAGCCTTTGCCCCAGGCTCGGCAGGACTGCAGCTTCCGAAGCACAGCGTCGTCCTCTTCCATGGTGGTGGGGAACCGTGCCAGCCGGTACTCCGCTAGAAGACGAATGGTGTCGGCCGCAGCGACCATGGCCGGCATGAGGGTGGAGTAGTTTGGCAGCACGTGCAGGCAGGTCCGGTTGGTAGAGACATCCCAGCCGTACAGCAGAGCTCCCAGCGCGAGATCTTTGTAGTGGGGCTCTGGTGCGGGGAATGGGAAGGAAGGCATGGGGTAGGGGGGTTTGGCAGGAGGTGCAGGCAAGGCAAGTACAGCTGTTGGTAGAGACATCCCAGCCATACAGGGAGGGGGTAAAGGGATGGACGAGAGAGGGATGGGGAAATGGAATGGGGTTGCAGGAGGTGCAGGCAAGGCAAGTACAACTGCTGGTGGAGACACCCCAGCCATACAGTGTGGGGGTAAAGGGATGGACGATGGGGAAAGGGAATTGGGGTGCAGGAGGTGCAGGCAAGGCAAGTACAGCTGCTGGTGGAGACACCCCAGCCATACAGTGTGGGGGTAAAGGGATGGACGATGGGGAAAGGGAATTGGGGTGCAGGAGGTGCAGGCAAGAACAGCTGTTGGTAGAGACACCCCAGCCAGGGGCTCTGGTGGGTAAAGGACAGGGAAGGTGGAAAGGGATAAGAGGGATGAGGGGAAGGAGAGTTGGGTTGGGGTGCAGGAGGTGCAGGCAGGTTCTGTTGGTAGAGACATCCCAGCCATACAGCAAAGCTCCCAGCGCCAGATCCCTGTAGTGGGGCTCTGGTGGGGGAGAGGGGAGGGGCAGGGGGAGGGGGGAAGGAAGAGGGAGGAAGGGGGAGTGGGGAAAGGGGGGGGGGGGAGATGGGCTCTGGTGGGAGAAAAGGGATGGGAATATATTTATTGAGCGTTCAAAAATGAGTATTCATCACGAGTGTTCAAAAGAAGCAGTATTGACCACTCACCTTGCTCGTAGTGCACGAGGTGCCACACAGCTGCTAGTGACGCATGAGGTGCCACACAGCTGCTAGTGACGCATGAGGTGTTCAAGAGAAGTGCACAAAAGCAGTGTAGAGAGAAAGCACTCTTGATCGTGCACTCACCTTGATCGTAGTGCACGAGGTGCCACACAGCTGCCAGCGACGCCAGCAGCGTTGGTTCCACCAACCCATATGCCCACACCGACACCTCCTGCTCCTCCCCCATCCTCTCCTTCTTATCCTTCTTCCTCCCCTCCTCCTCCTCCTCCTCCTCCTCGTCCCCACTCGTTCCCTCCACACCAACAGCATCACCATCACCACCACCACCACCACTTCCCGACGCTCCCGTCCTCCTCCTCTCCCCCTTACGCCTGCCTACTCGCTTCCACGCAGCCTCATACACGCGCTGCTTGAGGTTATACTGGGGCATTTTGAGCACGTCAATATATTTCCCATCCTCTCCCTCTGCCACCACCACTCTCACCGCCTTTGCTGCCACTCTAAGCAGGTCGCGGTACAGAGCCTTGCCTGATGAGCCTGAGGGTGTCCATCTGCTGCTGGGAGTTGAGACGTCAGAAGTGCTGCTGCTGCTGCTGCTGCTGCTGCTGCTGCTGCTGCTGCTGCTGTCAGCGCCGCTGGTAGTGGTGCTGGTGCTGGTGCTGGTGCTGCTGCTGCTGCTGCTGTCGCCACCACTGCTGCTGGTGCTGGAACTACTCTCACCCTCACTAATACCATCACCACTGCTGCCACCATCACCACCGTCACCTGCCTGTGCTGCTGGCGGCTCTTCAGTAAGCCAGATCTCTTCCAGAGTCCTCTTCAGCTCCACCTCCCCCGGATACACCTCCCTCTCCTTTTTCCTCTCCCCTTCTCTTCCAATCTCCTCCAACTCCCTCGCCCCTTCACTTGCTAGCACGCCAACCACCACACCATCGACACCCTCCCCTTCATTCCCTCTCTCCTCCCCTCTCCTCTCCCCTTTTCCTCGCCCACCCTCACCACCCCGATTGGCCAGCAGCGCGGCCACCACACCCACAGCCTCGGTGAGGTTTTCAAAGAGAGGGGCGCCATCGAAGGGGTTGGCATCGAGGACAAAGCCGTAGGTGGCGAGCAGCTGGTCGTTGGTCTTGGGACCATACGACGTGGCGAGCTCCGTTCCTGCTGAGACGTTCTGCGTGGCTATGTACTCGAATTGGTGTGTTATCTGTGAGAGGGGGGCGGAAGGAGGGAAGGCAGGAGGGAATGAGAGAGGGAGGGGATAAGAGAGTCAGGGCAGCACGAATCCGTAGGTAGCGAGCAGCTGGTCGTTGGTCTTGGGACCATACGATGTGGCAAGCTCCGTTCCTGCTGAGACGTTCAGCGTGGCTATGTACTCGAATTGATGTGTTATCTGGGAGGGGTGGGAAGGAGTGAGGGAGGGTGGGAGGCAGGGAGCGGGAGAGAGAGTGAGAGAGTCAGAGCACAGAGAGGTAGGGGCAAGTCGGCATGGAGTGGGGCGCCATCATATGATCAAAGGGGTTAACGTGGAGAACGAAGCAGTAGGTAAGGAGCAGAGCAGCGCAGCTGGTCGTCGGCCTTGGGGACTTTTGAGGCGCCTCAAGATTTTTTTAGGCGCCTCAATTGGCGTGGAGAACGAAGGCGCAGGTAAGGAGCAGAGCAGAGCAGCGCAGCTGGTTGGCGGTCTCGGGGTCGTACGGCGTTGCGAGCTCTGAACCTAATGCAATGCTGAGCATGGCAATGTGCTCAACGTGGTGCACGTTCTGATATGGGAAGGGGAGAGCAGGGAGGGAGGAGGAAGAAGGTCATGTGTGACTCACCGGCAGCGGCAAACTCTCAGTGCTGATGTGATGTGTCTGCTTATCTAAACACGTCATGGATATCCTTCTTGAGGAGCACGCCACCCGCTAGCTGTGTTGGGTGGAGGTGACCTTCGAGTCGACCTAGAAGTCAACGAGGCAGTGGCCAAGTCTCAGTGCTAACGTGTTCACTAGTCTAAGTAAGTTGTGAACATTTTCTTTGAGGAGCACGCCACCCCCTAGCTGTGTAGGATGGAGGTGACCTTTGAGTCGACCCAGAAGTCACCTCAGCAGTGGCCAAGTCTCACTAGTCTAAGTAAGTTGTGAACATCTTCCTTGAAGAGCACGCCACTCCCTAGAGTTGGAATACATGACAGTGTCCCATGGGGTGAACGATGTGATTTGACTGAGGAGACTTTCTGAGAAGATCGACCAGGAAAAGAGTGTTGAGACACTTCTACTATTTGATAGCGAAATGACTCCTGTAATGGCTAGGAACACCGTTCTTCATGGTCTCAACAAGCACATGCGTAGCAAATGACACCGCTTGTGGAAGGAATCTAAGAACATAGTAAACTCGACCTAATGCCAAGATTCATCAACAGCTAACATGCTTCATCACCAAAAAGGCTTGCACATAAGCCTCATTGGCATTGTGTGCACATCATTGAAATAAGCATAACTAGCATTGAATGATGGGCAATTTTATTACTAGGTAGAGACAGAGTGTGTTTGATGCAAATTTATTTTGCACGACATCCTGCAATATGATTGTAACTGTGTGCGCCTGCAAATGCATTTGCATGCGAGTGGTGTTTGTGACAAGCCCGATCAAAATCACAAACAAACCTGGCTTTGTGAACCGCACGAACCACATTGCACTCCATCAATTCTTTGTGAAGGACGAGAAATATACTATTCTAATTCAATCAGATGTGTAAGCAAGGGCGCCCTATGGGCGTACTTGAGGTTAGTACTAAGAATAGACTGTTCTAGTTTTCAAAGGAATAACGAATATTTTTAGATTTATCCATATAATTCGTTCCCCAAGCGTAACGCTAAGATACAAACGAAAGCGATTAACAGAAAAGAAACTCACCTGTCGCCCAACTGGCGACATGGCAGCAGACTTCTTGACCAAGAAATTGTCACGTTAGAAGTTTCAGCACTACGCAAATCTTTGCGGAGTCATCAAGAAGTCCCACCTGACTCTCCTCCAAGAATGAAGGAAAGCATTTGAAGTAACCAAAAATATATTAAAGCATTCCCAAATGACTCACTCTAATGCATTAATTCATAACAAATCAGCGCCTGTACCAGTCTATGTTACATCTGACGCCCTGTAGGTGCAAAGTCTGGCGTCCGAACACTAACGTCCGAAAGCTGGACGCGTCAAACTGGATTGACGCTGGATGCCCGGGAAAACTTTTTAGGGCAGAAAAAAGAAAAGTCCAATGTGAAATTGACGCGCTATTTCATTTTGACCCAAATCGTGATGAAATCGCTGGCATTGGGTTGCGGTTTTTGGGCAACAGTCGGGAAGGTCATACATCGCAAGCCAGCTTGCAAAGTATCCGCGCCAACCTGAAGGGAAGAATTTGCTAGATCTACAATATGCACTACAGTACTTCATCTCTACACCTGATGTCGGATCCACCAACACGGCCAACCTCACTGCTACCCTTCAACTAAAGGGTATAGTGACGCAGGTCACGCGTTTGACATTGTCAATAGACGTTTCCGCACCAGTTTTGTATTCCAACTCGAGCTTGCTCGACTCATCTCCTGGAATTCACAAATCAGGAGCTCATCGCCCTTTCGTCAGCCGAAGCTGAATTCGTCTCTCGCCAGCGTAGTTGTTCGCGAAGGACTTTATCTGATGGAACTCCTAGCCCGTCCCCCAATTATTGGAAGGCCTAACTCACGCCTGCAGGAAGAAAAATTCACGATGAACAGGCCATTCACCAACCCTTCCCCCAATTACTATGAACCCCTACTCACATTGTATTGGATGGATGAGTTGATTTGGTGGTCCAGCAGCTCGGCCGCAGTGATGAGCGCCATGCCTATGCCGCGCACCACACGCCGAGAGAATTCGCGCAGTACCCCCACCGCATCATTCACTGCCTCCACCAGCTCTCCTAATACACTTTGGAGACACCTCAAAGGTAGTCCCCACCAGCTCAGCCGGTGCACGAGAGACACTCACCCGCCCTTACGTGTGAGAGTATGGCCCTGCTCCCGCATTCCCACCGCCTCGTTGATTGCCTTAGTGCAACAGTCTACAAGCCCTTTCCCGAATTACTGCGAGCCCCTACTCACGTTGTAATGAATGGACGCGTTGATCTGGTGGTCCAGCAGCTCGGCCGCAGTGACGAGTGCCATGCCAATGCCGCGCACCACACGGCGGGGCGACTCGCGCAGCACCCCCACCGCATCATTCACCGCATCCACTAGCTCTCCCGGTGCGTTCGCCATCGCCCTCCGCCGCTCCTCCCTCACCCTCCTCCTCCTCCTCCTCTTGCCCTTCTCGTCCCCTTCACCCCCCTCACTCCCGCCTCTCTCCGCCTCCCCCTCCCCTGCGACGGCGACTTCGAGGTCGAGGCCGGAGAGCTCCTTGAAGGGTACGGAGAAGGCGCGCGAGTCGAGGATGGATTGCGCCCATAGGTAGTCGTCGAATGAGGCGAACGCCATGGCGGGTGGGCGCACCTGCCTGTACTCCATTAAGGCAACCTCCCTCTGCTGGTGGACCTGGTAGTGGGGGTTCAGGATAGGGGACAGGGATGGAAAGGGAGGGAGAGGGATGGAAAGAGATGGAGAAAGGGGAGACAGAGTCCCCAGCAGCAGAAGCTTTCGAGGTCCAAGCCGGAGAGTTCCTTGAAGGGCACGGAGAAGGCGCGCGAGTCGAGGATGGATTGCGCCCATAGGTAGTCGTCGAATGATGCGAACGCCATGGCGGGTGGGCGCACCTGCCTGTACTCCATTAGGGACACCTCCCTCTGCTGGTGGACCTGGGAGTGGGGGTTCAGGAGAGGGGAGAGGGACGAAAAGAGATGGAGAGGGATGGAGAGAGATGGTCATGCTTGGAGCAGGAAGTGAGGGAGTGCGGCCACAAGTAGTCGTCGAACGATGCAAACGCCATGGCGGGCGGGCGCACCTGCTTGTACTCCATCAGTGCCACCTCCCTCTGCTAGTGGACCTGTGGAGGATGAAGCGAGGGACGGAGAGGGGTGGAGAGCAGATTCAATTACACGGAGCAATCGTACGGAGAAACCGCATCACCTTGCAGTTGCATGAGCAAGGCTGACTGCATTGGATGAGCCAGGAAGTTTTTAAAAAACTTGAGAGCAGCCCATGCCTTTGGTCCCTTCTCTGGTTCACGCTGGAATGGCTTGATGTGACGGATTTGGCTGCTCCCCAACGCTTGCCCAAGTAGGAGATAGCCTTGTGCGCTCTTCCGCACCCACAGGCTCTTCTCCATGCCGTTCTCAGGACGCTTCTCTGTTTACGTTTACAAGACAATCTTTTATCATCACGTGGATGCATGATGCATCAGCGAGGCTGCACTGCACCAGATGAGCCAGAGAGTTTTTTTTTCAGACGTTTACAGTACAATCTTTTATCACGTGGATGCATGGTGCATCAGCGAGACTGACTGCACTAGATGAGCGAGGAGCTGCGACCGCATTGCGACACGCACCACTATTCAACTGTGGCACACACCAGTAGCTTGAGGAAGTCGGACTGAGCCTCGTCCAGGGAGTCATTGCGGAAGCGGTAGGGCAGTGGCGGTAGAGTGTCAATGTATGACCACCAGCCTGTTAGTCATTCCCAATAACCAACCAGTGCTAACTCATTGCAGCACGCACCAGTAGCTTGAGGAGGTCGGACTGAGCCTCGTCCAGGGAGTCATTATGGAAGCGGTAGGGCAGCAGCACGTAGGGCGGCAGGATGTCAATGTATGGCCACCACTCCGACTGCCTGCCGCTCGCCCTCAAAAACCAAGAGGATGTCTATATATGGCCACCACTCTGAGACCGACTGCCTCTTGAGAATTCCCAGTGACCAACCGAGTCAAGTCACTGCAGTGCATGCATACCAGTAGCTTGAGGAGGTCGGACTGAGCCTCATCCAGGGAGTCATTACGGAAGCGGTAGGGCAGTGGCACGTAGGGCGGCAGGATTTCAATGTAAGGCCACCACTCCGACTGCCTCCCCCTCGCCCTCTCCCGCAGCAGCCATGCCACGATGGCCACCTGTATGTCCACCGGACCTGTGGGGAGTGAAATAACGGAAGAGAGGAAGAGTGGCGGGAATGCACATGCTTTCCACACTCGTTTCATGGAAAGGGGGGCGGAAAACCCGCCTACCCTCGCCCTCTCCCGCAGCAGCCACGCCACGATGGCCACCTGTATGTCCACCGGACCTGTGGGGAGTGAAATAACGGAAGAGAGGAAGAGTGGCGGGAATGCACATGCTTTCCACACTCGTTTCATGGAAAGGGGGGCGGAAAACCCGCCTACCCTCGCCCTCTCCCGCAGCAGCCACGCCACGATGGCCACCTGTATGTCCACCGGACCTGTGGGGAGTGAAATAACGGAAGAGAGGAAGAGTGGCGGGAATGCACATGCTTTCCACACTCGTTTCATGGAAAGGGGGGCGGAAAACCCGCCTACCCTCGCCCTCTCCCGCAGCAGCCACGCCACGATGGCCACCTGTATGTCCACCGGGCCTGGTGCCAGAGGAAGGGAGGGGAATGCAGAGTGGAAGCGGGAGGGCAGCGGCACGAAGGGCAGGAGGGCAGAATGCACAAGTGCCTTGAGACGCCTCAGAGTGTAGTTAGTCGATTTTTGAGTCGACTCAAAAATCAAGTACCTTGAGACGCCTCAGAAGCCGCCAAGGCCACCTAATTGCCCACTGGATCTGGTGCCCATGGGGAGGCAAAGTATGGGGGGGCGAAGTATGGGGAGGCCGAAGAAAGAACACTGGTATGGGGTGGTTTTTCTTTGTCACTCCATGTTGCAGAAAGACAGCTGGTGCAATGCGGTACATTGTGGTGGAAACGCGTACCTGGGCGCATACAGTGACTGCGGAATGGTGAGGTGAGCAGCACCTTCCCCCTCTTGCAGCTCCCTCGTTCCAGCATGCAGTCGGTGCAATGAGGTGTAATGAGATACGGCATGCGGTACCGTGCGGTGCAAATGCGTACCTGTGTGTGGAGGCATCTCCTCTGCTGCGACCTCTGCTGTGACCCACAGCGACTGCGGAATGGTCAGCAGCACCTCCCCCACCCGCACGTCCCTCCCCGCCACCATGCTCATCTGCCGCCTGGTGTGATGCGAGGAGAGAGAGAGACAGGGAAAAGCAAAGAGGGTGATTGACAGAGATAAGCAGCATTGACAGAAAGTCGGGAGCGAGAAGCACCTCCCCCACCTGCACGTCCCTCCCCGCCACCAAGCTCATCGGCACGACATGGCAGGAGGCAGAGAGGTGGAAAGAGGTAAAGAGGGTCATGGGCAGAGATGAGCCGGAATGGCAGTAAATGAAAACGGGCAGCAACTCTCCCTCCTGCACGTCCCGCCTCGCCACCATGCTCATCTGGCGCCTGGCAGGTATGACAGGAGACAGAGAGGCAGAGAGATAACCGGGTGATGGACGGAGATAAGCAGGAGCCCAATCAGGAATCAGCTCTCCCTCCTGCACGTCCCGCCTCGCCACCATGCTCATCTGGCGCCTGGCAGGTATGACAGGAGACAGAGAGGCAGAGAGATAACCGGGTGATGGATGGAGATAAGCAGGAGCCCAATCAGAAATCAGCTCCCCTCATGCACGTCCCGCCCCGCCACCATGCTCATCTGCCACCTGGCAGGTATGACGGGAAATAAGGAACACAGGGCGAGGAGTTGGGGCAAGCAGGAAGCACAGCAGAAGGGGAGCGACAACGTGCACCTCCTCTCCCTCCTGCACGTCCCGCCTTGCCACCATACTCATCTGGCGCCTGGCAGGTATGACGGGAAGGAAGGAACACAGGGCGAGGAGTTGGGGCAAGCAGGAAACGAACAGGCACCAAGGGAAACAGCTAAAGATTAGCAGCCATGTCTGTAATCAGGAAAACGTGTCTGGTGGTGGAGAATGCCAATTGAGATGATGTGCCATAAGGCGTGCCTGCCTGACACGAGGCAGCATGCTTACTGACGTGTGTCACACGGCGACATGTGGCAGAGTGCTTACCTGACACGTGGCACACCGCACACCTGACACGTGGCTTGGAAGAGGCGTTGGTGGCAGCAGAGGGATCCGAGGTGTTGCTCAAAGATGGTGCGACGTCGCGATGGTCGTAGAAATGGAACTGACAATAAGGGGGATGACATGTGTGTGAGGTGCGGGGGATGAAGGGTTGGGAAAGGAGTACGAGTGTAAGTAGAAAGCATGTAAGAAGGAACAGTGCTTCGTTAAAAGATTTCTCTGCTCCCGAACTGTGACGCTTTGTCACTGTACCGTACGTGATTAGCAACGCAAAGTATCTATCAAGAATGGCGTCTTGGAGAGCAAAGCACCTCCAAACCGGTAAGCACCTCCAGGAGAATGGCGTCTTGGAGAGCAAAGCACCTCCAAACCGGTAAGCACCTCCAGGAGAATGGCGTCTTGGAGAGCAAAGCACCTCCAAACCGGTAAGCACCTCCAGGAGAATGGCGTCTTGGAGAGCAAAGCACCTCCAAACCGGTAAGCACCTCCAGGAGAATGGCGTCTTGGAGAGCAAAGCACCTCCAAACCGGTAAGCACCTCCAGGAGAATGGCGTCTTGGAGAGCAAAGCACCTCCAAACCGGTAAGCACCTCCAGGAGAATGGCGTCTTGGAGAGCAAAGCACACGGATTTCTTCACCGAAAACTCAACACTTACCGGATGCAACACTTACCTCGAGTGGGGCTCACCTTAAGGGGAGATTCATCTGTGCCATACTCCTTGATGCCCCTCTGCTGCACCCACTCTATAAACGCCCTCAGCTTCCTCTCCTCGTCATCCTCCACCTCCCCTCCCTCCTCCTCCACCGCACCCCCTCCTCCTCCCCTCCTTCCCTCCGCCTCCCTTTCCCCTCCCTCCAATTCCTTCCTTACCCTCCCTTCCTCTTCCTCCCCTGCCGTTCCCGCCCCTGCACCGGGCCCCTCCGCCTCCCCCTCCGCTCCCGCCCCCACACCCGCCCCCTCCCCTGTCGCCCCCTCCCCTGTCGCCCCCTCCCCTGTCGCCCCCTCCCCTGTCGCCCCCTCCCCTGCCGCCCCCTCCCCTGCCGCCCAGCTCCCCCTGCCGCCCAGGTGCAGGTCGAAGCGCGGGTCGCAGGAGAGCAGCAGCCAATCAGAGGCCTCCACGAGCAGCTGCTTCTGGTTGAGGTGGCGCTGCACCACGTGCTCCACCTCCTCCAACCCCGTCATCATCCACGGCTCACAGATCTGGTAGTGAACAGATACCAAGGTGGTACAGCAGAGGGCGGGGGGGGGCAGGAGGTAAAGATCAGCTGCTGCACCACATGCTCCACCTCCTCCAACCCCGTCATCATCCACGGCTCACAGATCTGATGGGTTTACATGCATGGGGGCGTATAAGGGGAATAGAGGTAGGGAGGGTGGTGGGGGTGATTGCTGTTAAGGAGGCACTGCACCACATTCTCCACTTCCTCCAACCCCGTCATCATCCATGGCTCACAGATCTGGTGGGCCGGAGGGAGGGAGTACCGGAGGACAGCGTTAATCCAATAAGAACAGCTTTATACCGCAGAGGGAGGGGAGGGCCGGAGGAAAAGACCAGTTGCTTGCTGTTGAGGTGCCTCTGCACCACACGAGGTGACTTTTGAGTCGACTCAAAAGTCACCTCAAAAGTCTTTTGAGTCGACTCAAAAGGGGAGGGCCGGAGGAAAAGACCAGTTGCTTGCTGTTGAGGTGTCTCTGCACCACACGAGGTGACTTTTGAGTCGACTCAAAAGTCACCTCAAAAGTCTTTTGAGTCGACTCAAAAGGGGAGGGCCGGAGGAAAAGACCAGTTGCTTGCTGTTGAGGTGCCTCTGCACCACACGCTCCACCTCCTCATCCACGGCTCGCAGAGCTTTTCCTTCCGCAAGCTTTTCCCACTCTAAGTACCCCAAGCTATTAGTTGAGAATTCGGAGGAAGCCACTCTGTTTGCTGCGGTTCGAATCCACTTTTTCTTGCTTCCACACGCAGAACTTGACGCGAGCCTCCCACTCTCCCACTCTCCTCCCATCCCACGCACAGACTACTTACCTTGACGATCTTCTCGGGCTGCTTCTCTCCCGCCCGTTGCCACACGTGGCAGAAGGGCACGTAACAGAGTGACATGGCGTCCTCCTGCACCGAGCCCTGGTACTCGCTCATCCTTCTCCACCCCTCTCCACCTTTCCCCACCACCTGCAAGCCTCACCTTGACAATCTTCTCAGGCTGCTTCTCTCCCGCGCGCTGCCACACGCGGCAGAAGGGCACGTAGTAGAGCGACATGGCGTCCTCCTGCACCGAGCCCTGGTACTTAGCTAAGTGCGCCTCCACCAGCTCCCTCAGCGTGCTGGCCACGAGCCTCAGCACGGGCGTGAGGGCGGACAGCAGGTGGTCCCGGTGGGGGAACTCGGATAGAGAGATGTGGAGGGGGTTGGTGGGGTGGGCGGAGGAGGCGGAGGAAGTGAGGAGAGGCATGTGTGTGCACGTGGTTTGGCCGTCGAGGTTCCACGCATAGGCGACGCTGACTCGAGCAAAGAAGCTGTAGGGCGGTTCTGTGGTGGGGAAGGGGAAGGAAAGAGAGGGCAGAAAGGGCATAGGAGAATGGTGTGTGGCTAAGCTGCTGAGTGCGCCTCCACGAGCTCCCTAAGAGTGCTCGCCACGAGCCTCAGCACGGGCGTGAGGGCGGATAGCAGCAGGTGGTCCCGGTCGGGGAACTCGGATAGGGAGATGTGGAGGGGGTTGGATGAGGAGGAAGTGGAGGAGGAGGAGGAGGAGGAGGAGGAGGAGGAGGAGGAGGAGGAGGAGGAGGAGGAGGAGGAGGAGGAGGAGGAGGAGGAGGAGGAGGAGGAGGAGGAGGAGGAGACCAGAGGCATATGCGTGCACGTGGTTTGGCCGTCGAGGTTTCACGCATAGGCGATGCTGACTCGAGCAAAGAAGCTGTAGTGCGGCTCTGAAGGGGGGTTGGGAAGGGGGGGGTTGTGGGGAGAAAGTGGGGCAGGAAGAAGAAGGAGAGTCGGGGAGACAGGGGGGAGCCATCACAGGGAAGGGAATGCCGTATGCGCCAGGCATAGGCGGCACTCACTCAAGCAAAGAAGCTGTAGTGTGGGGGAGCGAAGCAGGTGAGGAAACGGAGGTGCTGCAGTGCAGTGTAGCAGTTGCAACCCTCGTCGGTGCAAAAGGCAACTCAGCCTCCCTCCCACGTGGCAATGCGACAAAAGTTACACACACGCACCCCAACCCCCTCACTCAACACTCACCTTCCTTTGTGGCGAAGAAGTAGGTGAAGGCAGTGAGGTAAGCCACCATCTCGGGGTCCATGAGCCCCAGCGAATACACATGCAGTGCCGGCCCATCCAGCCATGACACATCCACCCCTCCCTGCCCCCCTTGCCCGCCTCCCCTCCCTGTGTGACTCAACACTCACCCTCCTTTGTAGCAAAGAAGTAGGTGAAGGCAGTGAGATAGGCCACCATCTCGGGATCCATGAGTCCTAGCGAATACACATGCAGCGCTGGCCCTTCCAACCATGACACATCCACCCCCCCCTGCCCCCCCTGCCCTCCCTGCCCCTCCTGCCCCTCCTCCCCATCCTCTCCTTCCCCACCTTCCTCCTCCCCGTCTTCTCCTCCCCCACTCCCCCCTTCGTTCCCTCCTCCTCCCCCAGGTTTCTTCTCCAGGCCCATCCTCTCCCTCATCTCCCTCCTCATCTCCCACACCCTCACCTTCTCCACTATCTCCTCCCTCACTCCCAGCCTCTCCCTCTCCTCCCTGCTCCCCCACTCCACCGCCTTCACCACCCTCCGCTTCACCCTCTTTACCGCCCGGAGAATCTTCGCGCCGATCTCCGCAATCTTGAGCTGGGATTCGATCGCATCAGGGTCGAAATCGGGCGGCACTTGGGCGGCAACGGCTTGCAGGACAGCAATAGGGGAGTCGAAGAGGGGGAACTGGGCGAGGAAGAGAGACTTGGGGGCGACGCCAAAGTAGGTGAAGGCGTCAGTGTTAGAGAGAGGCGTGGCGTGGATCAGCGACGGCCGGGGAAGCTTGTGTGCTCTCAGCTTGTCTGACAAAGCACTCTTCTGCAGCTGTTGTGTTTCCTTGCCCGCCTGTCCTGCTCCTGCGCCCTGCCACCTGTTGCTTTCCCTGGCCCAGCGCTGCTCTAAGTACCCCTCCTCCCCTGCACCTTCCGTCTCCTCCACCTTCTTTTCCTCCCCCGGCTGCTGCTTGTCTGTTTCCTCTGCCTGCTCTCCCCTCTGCCCTTCCGTCTCCTTAATACTCCTCTGCCTCCTCACCTTGACCCTCCTCGCCTTGACTCTCCTCTCCCTGGCCTTGTGTGCCGCTCTGAAGTGCCCCGACAGCCCGCCATCCAGCGGCAGCAGCAGAGGCGCGTCAGTGGCAATGGGCTGCATCGCAACCACGCGGATCGACCCCCCACCACCTCCCACTGCACGTTCGGCGCATCAACATCCGCGTCCACATCCCCATTCCCACCCCCATCTTCCTGCTCACTCCCAGTCTCCGTCCCATTCGTCTCCCCCCCTGCACCATTTTCCAGCACCAGATCTGCAACGGAGCCCCTCCCAGCGCGCCCCAGCAGGTGCATGAGCGGCACAAACGCCAACTCATACCGCCCATCCCCCTCCCCCTCCCCCTCCCCCTCCCCCTCCCCCTCCCCCTCTTCCCCCTCCTCCCCTTCCTCCTCCCCTTCCTCCTCCCCCTCTTCCTCCGTTCCTCCCCACGTCTCATCCCCTGAGCACGTACGCGCACCAGCAGAATAGTCGCCCGCACTGCACTGCCTTTCAGGGCGAGTGGGTGTAGCGGAGGGGTTGGTGGCATGGAGGGCGGCGGAGGGCAGGGGGATGGCAGTGACGAGAGCAGTGGTCACAGCACGGAGAAATTCCTCTTGAGACACGGCACTCCCTGTAGTCCCTGTGGGGTTCTGGGCATTGTTGTCGTGCTGGGGCGGGCTGGGCTTGGGCTTGCGGCGGGACTTGTATGCTGGTGCCTTCTTGGCGGTGGCCTGCTGCCATGCCGTGTACTCCCCCTCGTACTGCTGCCTCAGTGCTTCTGCCTGGGCGGTTGGCGGGGTGGAGAGGAGAGTGGGGAGGGTGAGAGGGAAGTGAGTTTTGTGCTGTATGCTGGTGCCTTCTTGACAATGGCCTGTTCCGATGCTGTGTGCTCATGATCGTACTGCTACCTCAGTGCGTCTGCCTGGTTGGCGGGCGGGGGGAGGGAGAGGGGGTGAGAGAGTGAGGAGGCGGCGGTGGGCGGTGGGCAGGGTGTCGTGTGGCACATTTATCCAAATGAAAGAGCGCAGCGCACGAATATCCAATTCAACTGCGTCAAATGCTGTCTGCACTCACCTCCACCACCTCGGGCTGCATGCCCAGCCCCTTGTGCATCATGCACCGCACCATACATCATGCATCATGTGGAGTACACAGATGGTACTCATGAATGGACGGATGAACGAGACAGAGGAATGGACGGATGGATAGGCGCAGATGCACAAGCACAGTGCACTCGCAGCAGCAACGCTACGCTCAGATCCTGCCCTTTCTCACATCCACCACCTCGGGCTGCATGCTCCAGCCCCTCGTGCATCATGTGCATCATGTGCATCATGTGCATCATGTGCATCATGTGCATCATGTGCATCATGTGCATCATGTGCATCATGTGCATCATGTGCATCATGTGCATCATGTGCATCATGTGCATCATGTGCATCATGTGCATCATGTGCATCATGTGCATCATGTGCATCATGTGCATCATGTGCATCATGTGCATCATGTGCATCATGTGCATCATGTGCATCATGTGCATCATGTGCATCATGTGCATCATGTGCATCATGTGCATCATGTGCATCATGTGCATCATGTGCATCATGTGCATCATGTGCATCATGTGCATCATGTGCATCATGTGCATCATGTGCATCATGTGCATCATGTGCATCATGTGCATCATGTGCATCATGTGCATCATGTGCATCATGTGCATCATGTGCATCATGTGCATCATGTGCATCATGTGCATCATGTGCATCATGTGCATCATGTGCATCATGTGCATCATGTGCATCATGTGCATCATGTGCATCATGTGCATCATGTGCATCATGTGCATCATGTGCATCATGTGCATCATGTGCATCATGTGCATCATGTGCATCATGTGCATCATGTGCATCATGTGCATCATGTGCATCATGGGCATCATGACCGCATCTATTAAAAACACCTCAAATGCTGGCTCGCACTGCCCTCACCTCTGCAATCTCCGGCTGCATGCGCAGCCCCTCGTGCATCATGGTCACAGCACAGCATTCATATACACATGGAATGACACAAATGATTCACATCCTGCTTTGGCTCACCTCAGCCATCTCCGGCTGCATGCCCAGCCCCTCGTGCATCATGGGCAGTGCGCGGCGCTGGCCCGCCTTCAGGTGCATCAGCAGGTGGAGGAAGGGGGTCCAGGCGAGAGGCGAGGCAGAGGATTCGGAGGAGGAGGAGGAAGAGGAAGACGATGAGTGGAGGTGGGAGAGGGCGCACACAGCTAGTGAGGCTTCGGGAGAGAGGGATGCGGGGAGGGATGGGGATGGGACTGAGAAGGGAGGAGAGGAGGAGCAGAGGGAGGAGGTGAAGGCGAGGTGTAGGGGCAGGGAGAAGAGCACTTGACCGCGGCGAATGGGGCGGGTGGTAACCAGGGACGGCAGGAACCTGTGTGGACTCAGAGGGGAGAGATGGGAGGGCAGTAGGGGAAGAACGAATGAGGTGACTTGTGAGGTGCAAGAGCAGTTGGCATGCGAATGGGGCGGGTGGAATCCAGGGATGGCAGGAACTGGACTGGGAAGGCGGGGGAGATGAGAGGGTGTGAGGGAAAGAGAGAGAGATGAGGTTGGGCGACTCTGGACGCGAGCTCCAGCCTGCAGGGGGAAGGAGAAAAAAGCCTTGCAGGATGTTTCACTGACATGAATGCATCATGAGAAAGCGATGCATGATACCAATGGCAAAGAGAAAAGGATTAAGCAGGAAAGAAAAAGGAGAAGCAACGAAAAATGTAAACGACAACAAAACAGCATCAACAACAATGGCTGTCATGTAATGTAACGGCAGCAGGTGGTGCTTCTCACATGTACTCATCCTCGTTAGAAGCTTCTGCACGCTTCTCAGCCCCCTCCTGATTCGTCTGTTGTGGCTTGGGCACAAACCGTTGCTTCAGCATCAGCAGCTGCATACTCGTGCCATTCCATGTCATCACATGCACAAAAAGCCATAAAATGCCATAAAACGCCATAAGTGCCATACATGCCATGCATGCAGGACAAGATATGCATGCGAATGCGATGTCACAGCCATGGCACCACGTCATGCTACAAACCAGTCCATGCCATCACGTCATGCCATAAGATCAGGAGCAGGGGACGATCCGATGAGGAGTGCAGGGAATAGGCCTGGTCGGAATGGGATTGGTTGGGAAGGCCTGATGAGATGAGATACGAACGGTCGGATTAGGCCCTGTTGATACCTGCCCATCTAGAAGCAACACGAGGTAAGGGATCAAACGAACGGGTCCTGCCTGACAGGCTTGGACACGCACGCTTGCAACTGGCATTGCCGACGGAACATAACGGACGGAGACCAACTGAACTAGCTGAGCAGAAAGGCGTTAATTGTTCCAGCTTTTCATCAGTCAATCCAAACTGAAAATCTCCCCATTCCTTCATACAACAGCCACTAAAACCGATGCTGGAAGCCTTCACCAAAACGACCATCCACTAGATGGTCCAGAATGAGGATTTACCCCACCTTTACGGGTCCTTTCCCCGTAGCTGCTCGAAGCGCCGTAGTCGCATTTTCCCCCGCGGAATCCGCAATCCACTTTAGATACTCCCTCCATCCAGCCTCCAGAACCAGAGGGTCAACGTCAGCACTAATTTCATCCCAGGGATCTTCCGCTGTCCACGTGTCACCTGATCGTCCGGAATCGACGGGGTCTTTGTGTCCATTGCTCGAAGCTGTATCTGCTTTTAGCGCGGATTGTAATAACGAGTCATCCTCTTTATCATCGTCATAGATTCCTCCGAACGAGGAGATCAGCCATCCGAGCGACTCTGGAACGCCTCGTTTGGCCTTCGGATTCGAGCCCTGAATCGTCACGGTTCGTGCAACGTCGCTTCCTTGCAACGACGTCGCGACATTCTCTGTCGCTGCGCAAGAAGATCCCTTGACGGACAGGATTACGGCAATGCAGAGCAGGACAAGGCTGCAGCGCTGTTCGCGGCGAGCTGTCACCGCCATAGCTTGCAGCAGCACGAATTCGGAATTCTAGATTCAGGGAACCAAGACGAGTCGAAGTCGTGAGAGCATTTCAACCTCCTTACAAGTGCATCCGGTTTCCGATTTTGTTGCCTGATCTTTCAGGGATGCGAAACAGGCTCAATACGCAAAAGACATAGATACCTTCCTATTCAATTTCTCATACATTCCCACCACCACACAAATCTTCATCTCTGCGATACTTTTGTAAAACAAACCAACATAAGGAAAAGTTGCCTAGCACCGGCTCCTAACCCCTACTTAGAGTTCTCCATGGATCTAAAAATAATTTCATACAGACTAACACAGATTTCGCCTGCAATGAGCAGGATGATAATCCACTCAAGCGTGTCCGACTTCCGATTCTGAAGAATATCCAAGAAGAACCTCACATTATGCTGCCAGAAAAGAACGCAAACAGAAACAAAATTAGACATCACACCAGGAAAGGCACTCTCCACTCAAAATGCAAATTCAGTGGAATCAACTGACAACAGCAGCAGCAGCAGCCGCCGCAGCAGCAGCAGCAGCAAAGTAGCAGCAGCAAAATGAGAGGGTATGTGGGGGGGGGGGCTGACACCTGGATGATGTTAAGTTTAAAGTCGAGGCTCTCAAAGCGCTCATCCAGCTCACTTTGAGGCGACTTTGCAAGCAACTGACAGCAGCCACAGCAGCGCATTAGAGGGTGTGTGTGTGTGTGTGTGTGTGTGTGTGTGTGTGGGTGTGGGCGTCACCTGGATGATGTTGAGTTTGAAGTCGAGGCTCTCAAAGCGCTCGTCCAGCTCAAAGTCGTCTCGCAGGAACTCCCAGATCTTGGAATACTCCGCATGCCGCCACGCTGTGTCCGACCTGCCAGCCATCCCGACAAAAAAAAAAGAAAGAAAGAAAGAAAAAGAAAATATCAAGAGAAACAAAAGAACTTGTGACGCGAAAAAAATAAAAATACGAGGTCGGCTAGCAAGGCAAGAGGACAAACACAAGAGCCCTCACCGCACCTCTCCAGCAGCCCTATTCTGAGAATGACGTCAGCGAGGGTGGTGTTGGCGGCGGCAACGAGCTGGAAGAGCTTCTTGCGGGTCATGGTGAAGGTGCCGCTCTGCTCCATCCCTCTGTTGAGCTCGCTGAACGTGTTCACCATCTCGTCCACCTGAGGGCAGGGAGAAGAGGAGGACCAAGGGAGGGCAGGGGGGAGCGAGGGACCTGAGAAGTGCTCATGGTGAAGGTGCTGCTCTGCTCCATGCCCCGATTAGCTCACTGAACGTGTTCACCATCTCGTCAACCTATTTGCAGGGATGAACAGGGCACGAGAAGGCAGGGCAGAACTTATTGTTATTAACTACGCAGTCTCTGCGCCTGCTTTCCACATGCAGCCGTTGAGACGAGCCCAGACGCACCCACAATGCAACATTCCCTTCCACCCAGCTCCCAAGCTGAGAGGCCCTTTCGAGGAGCCTCAAAAGCCACCACCCACCTTGTACCCACCTTGCACCCACCTTGCACCCACCTTGCGAACACAGTGGTTACGCCTCAAAAGTCAAAAGTCCTTTCATGGTGCCTCAGAAGCCACCACCCACCTTGCGTGCGTAGTGGTCCAGAGCCACGCTCTGCCCGAGGATGCTGGAGATGACTCGGTAGGTCCCCCCACTCCCAACCTATTCCAGAACCCCACTGCACACACCTTGCGTGCATAGTGATCCAGAGCCACGCTCTGCCCCAGAATGTTGGAGATGACTCGGATGTTGTTCACGTCCAGCTGCCTCTCCCACACACTCATGCCTCAAGTCATACCAGCGCATCCAGTCTCCCTTTGCCTACTCCCAACCTACATCGGCCCTCTGTTGCACACACCTTGCGTGCATAATGATCCAGGGCCACGCTCTGCCCGAGGATGCTGGAGATGACTCGGATGTTGTTCACGTCCAGCTGCCTCACTGCCACATAGTCGTGCCCCCCTTCGCTCCACCCCTTGAGATTCGCCCGTGCTATCACACTGTACTCTGCGGTATGGGAACGGGGGAGCACAAGGGGCGGAAGACAAAAATGGACAAGAGAGGAACGAATATAGCTAAGCTCCACCCCACATAGTCGTGGCCCCCTTTGCTCCACCCCTTGAGCCCCGCCCGTGCAATCACAATGTACTCTGCAAGGTGTGCACACGGGGGAGCAACCACCGCTTTGCGCTTCACAGAAATGTCCGCCTCTAAACAGCACAGCGTTATGTGACTATATCGAGGTCACTTAACTCACCGTCGCTGTGCGCCTCCTTGAACGCCCCAGTGCAGTGCTGTGTGACAATATCGAGGGCGAGCGCCTCCTCTGTGCGGTCGAAGTTGAAGAAGACCACGGAGCCATAATGGAACGCCACCATATAGCGCTCTGGTGCTGGTACGCATGCCTCCATGCCCTGGGGAATGGAATCAGATCAGCCCAGAGATGGAGTGTATTGGGCATGGGGATTGAGTCAAAGTGGAAGAAGACCAAGGAGCCGTAGTGGAATGCCACCATGTAGCGCTCTGGCACTGGCACGCATGCCTCCATGCCCCAACGGTGGTGACAGAAAGAGGAGGGGAATCTAGAGCACGGGAATGGGATGGGTTGTACAGAAGGAGGAAGGGGAGAATGTGACTGGGAAGGATGAAAGACCACAGGGCCGTAGTGGCATGAATGGCACCAAGCGGATGATATTTTGAGACGTCTCAAAAGTCAGGGCCGCAGTGGAATGCAATGCGACCATGTATGTAGCATGTCACCAAGCAGATGATGGCGTTGCTCTTGGCCGGTAGCAGCAGCAGCAGCATGCCCCTGAACCCCGATAGAACCCACCAGCCCATCATGACAGCACAGCACGTGCAGCATGCCAACGCTCGCAAGGAACTCACACACCACACACACAGCACCCACAGGGCACTCACGGGTTTGGAGAGCGCGGCATGGGTGGGGAGAGGCAGGGAGCGGTTGGGGAAGCGGATGATGACGTTGTTCTTGGCTGGCAGCAGCAGCATGCCCCTGAACCCGCTGGGACCCGCCAGTCCCCTCACGTCCAGACTGGCAGTGGCAAAGGGGGATAATCAAGAGCAAAGATGGAGATTATTTAAAAAACTTTCTGAGGCGCCTGAGAAATCGTCTTGGCTGGAAGCAGCAGCATGCCCCTGAACCCGCTGGGACCTGCCAGTCCCCTCACGTCCAAACTGGCGGTGGCAAAGCGGGATGGATGGGAGCAAAGAGGAGATTCTTGAAACACACTTTTGAGGCGACTCAAGATCGTCTTGGCTGACAGCTGCAGCAGCATGCCCCTGAACCGGCTGGGACCTGCTAGACCCCTCACGTCCAGACTGGTGGTGCGTGGGGGGATGGATTGTAGATGATAAGAGGGGGAATGGGGGGTGGGTGGGGGGAAGAAGGAGAAAAATGCACCAGGGGAGGGATGGGGTTAGAACTGGCATCTCGAATGCAGGAGATGGAAAGCAATGGTGAGAAAAAGTGACATTTAGCCAAAAACCCTAAATCCCGATCTCAACGTCTCAGGGTTTAAGGGTTTAAGATACCTTCTTGCCACGTAGACTGCCTTGACTGGTATGAACTGATCCGGCTGCTTGCTGCCAGCTGGACTGGCACTGCCGTTCGGAGGAGTGGAACTGGGTTGACAACTAGGACTGGTGGGACTGGTGGGAATGGTGGGACTGGTGGGAATGGTGGAACTGGTGGGAATGGTGGAACTGGTGGGAATGGTGGAACTGGTTTGGCTGCTTTGTTTAGATTGACTGGTGGGACTGGTGGAACTGGTGGGACTGGTGGGGGTGGTTGGGCTGACTGGGCTGTTAGAAGAACTACAACGACTGCTCGGCGTGGGAGCATGGCTTGGAGTTGAAGAATGATGTGAGAGAACGGGACAGGTTGAGCTAGCTGAAAGGACGGATCCAGGAAAGCCTGTTGTGCTGGAACTATTGGGAAGACTGCTAGCTGAAGTCGTGAAGGCAGCCGTCAGAGACACGTGAAGGTGCTGCTGCTGCTGCTGCTGCTGCTGCAGCAGCTGCCAGTGCTGCTGCTGTGGAGTGGCAAGCGCAGCAGAACCGGGTGCAGCAGAAACGCGCTGCTGGTAGCAACTGTGACTCCCAACGAATCTGCACACTTGAATTGTCGGCCCTGGTGATCTCCAGGCTTGTTGAGGGCCCTTGAAATTCGATCCAACGAATCTAGACACCTGATCCGTCGTCTCTGGGGATCTCCACGGCTGCAACTGCTGCTGCACCGCCTGCTGCTGGACGCTTTGAGCTGTCTCACAGCTCAGCAGCTCCCGCAAGCTAGTGGTCTCTGACAAGGCTGTATCTGACAAGGCTGTATCTGACAACGCCGCTCTCCCGTGCAACCTTGACACCCCGCATCCGTCGCTCCCGGGCCCATCCCGCCACGCTGTCACGCCGCGAGTTCCGCTGTGAGAAGCCTCGTGGTGGTGATGACGAAACGAATGGAGCCCGTCGCTTTCGAGTCCAGCCCGCCATGCTGTACCGCCGCAGGAAGCATCGTGCTGTAACTCTCGCAAGCTGGTATTTGAGAGCCGTGACAATGCTCTCCCGTGCAACCTTGACACCCCGCATCCGTCGCTCTCGATCCCAGCCCGCCACGCTGTAACGCCGCGAGTTGCGCTGTGAGAAGCCTCGTGATGGTGATGACGATACGAATGAAGCCCGTCGCGAGCCAGAGCCAGCCTGGCGATGCCATGGCGGACCCGCAGGAAATCGACACGTGGCATGGCGTCAGCGTTGCCACAGGTGGTGCTGAAATGTCACGGAGGGTCGAAGACGCAGCAGGACGAATCCTGAGAGTCCGGTTTACGGATCAGCGAATCGCGAAATTACAGGTCGCAAGCTGACACATGAAGACGCAAGCTGAAATGGGATGCGTTTCTGGTGCTGATCGTGCGACGGAGTGCGACGGAAGGGAGATGATCGTGGGAGACGCGAGGCGCCAGAGAGCGAAGATAACAACCAGGACAGCTCGAGCAACCACCAGGGATCAATGACGAGAATTCACGAAAAGGCGCGATCGAAGGATAAAGGGTGGAGATCGACGGTGCAGAATCCTCCCCCCCAGCTAGGCGGAGGCAGCCACTTTAGAACAGCAGCTGCTGAGCAGCCGCCATGGCGTCTGTGGTGTGCGTGGCACTGTGGTTCCCACTCGCCCAGCTCGCAAATTTAGGGCGCTTCACCTCGGGGCCAGAAGGCCCGAATCCGAACAGACGTATCAGTTTTACTGTACGAACAGCCTCCCAAGTGGTGTCGAACACAAATTCGTGCAATGTGCGAATGTGACAACCGTGCATTGCATGTGACGCCATCGCTCTTCGCACACGCTCGCTGTTCGAACACAGCGATGTCGCCCACGAACGGGCGACGTCACAAAACATTGTCGTAAACATTCGTATGCGATGTGGAAGACTGTTGACCAATCAAATTAGTCCTTTGTGCGGAACTGTGTGTCACCAATCCCAACTTGTTCGGACAACCCTGTTCGAACGTGCCGAATGAAGAGCTCTGTTCAAATTGGCGAAAATTGGGATTGGCGACGTCACGAACACCCATACGAACCGTCGCAAAACAAGTAACGTTTCGCCTGTTCGAACGAGTGTGATGTTCAAACCGAGAGGTGAAGCGCCCTGACAAGCAAGAGCAGCAGCGAAACCTTACCGTAATCGGTTTGGCTAGGTGGTGGGGGTTGCCGAATGGAGAGGGAGGGGTAAGGGTGCTGTGCAACGGTCCCTAGAACTTGGTTGAGTTTCCGAGACGTATAAGAATTGAGTTTTTGTGCGGTCTAGAGCGGTGGGAAGCAAAGGAAGTTCACTTATTGCTTAAACCTTAGAGACGTGGGTTGACCTGCTCTGTATGTGATTTCACCTCACAACCAAACATTATGTACACATATTTACGATGACAAAGTGAACATTGCACGCACCACACCCCTATGTCACCTCTTTCACACCCCCCTCACAACCACACCAGCACGAAGCAATTCTCTCCGAGCCCTTTCCGTGACCTTCCCCACTTCCACCTTCAAGTACCGCAACCTCGGGAAGCTTCCAAGAACCCCTCCAATGCTGGTTGCTGTAATCTTATCGCACTCCACCAGAGTCAAACTAGCGAGCGTTCCCAGCCTGCTTCCAGCCAGCACCGCATCTGAAATATCAGTATCTTGCAACACCCTTAGCTCCTCCAGCTTGGTGCACGATCCGAGGAGCTCCAGCCAATCCCGCTCCTTCAACCCTACGCAGCTCAGCAAGGCTAGGTGCTTCAGGTGCCTGAAGGCTGCAGCTCGAGCAAGAGACTCAAAAGACGTTGGGTGACCGCTTGGGGATGGGGCAGGGGAGGAGTGGAAAGAGGTGGACGAGCGGGAAGAGGAGGAGGAGCGGGAAGAGGAGGAAGATGAGTGACATGAATAGGGTGTTGGAGAGGGGGAGGAGGAGAGGTACATGCGAGGAGACTCCGAGGAAAGGGACGGAGGCAGCCAGGGGACATAAGGCGGGGAGGCGAAGGAGAGGGATCGGAGGGTCAGGGACTCCAGAGGAGGGCAGTACACAAGCACGGGAACCACTGCTGTTGCTGCTCCTGCTGCCCCACCTTCTGCTGCCCCACCTCCTGCTGATGCTAGATCCACCACTGGCGGAGCCAGGGTGGGGGTGAGTGGGAGCAAGGAATTGAAGCTCGCAGACATGGCATTAGTGTGCTGCCCCAGCTCATCCATCAGTGCGTGCAGCCTCTCCACCCCCTCTGCACGTGTCTCCACCGCACCAGACCGCGTCGCACCCAGCACACCCTCCGGTACGTCATCATGACTCAGAATGTCATCCATGCCCCTGCTTCCATCCCCTGCTTCTGTCTCCTCCTCCCCATCCCTGTCCTCCTCTTCTTGAAGATTCAGCTCCGTAGTAAAGAAGCCTGCAGCATGATGAGCAGCACCAGCAACAACAGCAGCAGCAATCGTCCAAACCAGCGCCTTCTCCCACTTGTTCGCCGCATTGGCCTCACGTACCCCAGCACAAAAGGACCGGCACGCCGAGATCCCGTACCTGATCTTCCCGAGGCTGGCAACGATCCGAGGCACGGCGGTCGCCCCCTCCACACGCGCGGCTGAAAGTGCATCGGAATGGGCGGTTCTCGAAACTTGATGGGCTACTTGCAAGAGCGGGACAACGTTCTTCACCGCTGCAAGCTTATCTGCATGAGCTGCCTCTGCCTCTCTGCGAAAATCCACGTACTTTCCCCACTGCCTGTCGTTCCCTCTTGGCGATACCCGTGCTGCTGTAGCTGCTAAAGAAGCACCAGGCGGAGCTCTCTCTGATATGTATTTTCCACCATCCTTTTTTGCCTTCCCTCGTGCCCACCCTCCTGCCTTCCCTCCTGCCTTCCCTCCTGCCTCTCCTCCGGCCTCCCCTCCTGCCCCCCCTCCTGCCTTCCCTCCTGCCGCTCCTCTCCGTTCCACGCGTACAAGCATACTCACAAGGCCGTCCAGTGTTACAACGCGAGGCAGCCGGGAGTCTGAAGAAATAAGCACCTCTTCAGACTGAGCGACCGCAGACTGAAGGCCTTCTAGGCAGTGCGATCGCAGTGCACTGCAGGCTGCAAGCAAGCCTGGGCGGAAGGATGGGATGCCAGCGAGGTGGAGGGAGTGGAGCTCCAAGGAGGAGCGCGAGAGGAGAGAACGGAAGCGCGGTGCGGCGAACAGACAGTAGTTTGTTCCGTGGAGGGAGGAGAGAGCGGGGTTGGCGTGGACGATGGGGGCGAGGGAGTGGGAGGAGATGAGTGGGCAGGAGTGGATGGTGAGGTGGGTGAGAGAGTGGAGGGAGCGTGAGAGGGAGCGAAGCTCGTACGGGTCGATGGTGCAGGAGTGGAGGGAGAGGGAGGCGAGGGAGGGGAAGAGGGAGAGGGAAGCGAGGGAGGCGTCAAGTTCGGCAGAATAAATCGTGAGAGATCCGAGAGATGTGCGTAGCGAGGATGGGAGGGAGGACGCAACGGAGGAGGAGGAGGAGGAAGAGGAGGAGGAGGAGGAGGAGGAGGAAGAGGAGGAGAAGGCAAGGGAGGAGAGAGTGGAGAATTCAGGAGCCCAAAGAGTGAGAGAGGTGAGGGAGGAGCAGCGGGGAAGGGAGAGGTAGTCGGAGGGAACGTAGAGGAGAGAGAGGGACTGCAGTGACGGGAGGAGGTGCAGGGGAGGGAGTGGCGGCTGCCGTGCGTAGGAGAAACGCGTGCGCGCATAGCGTGAGTTGAGCTCCAGGGAATTCAGGAGCCTGAAGGAAGGGGGAAAAGGGCGATGGCATGCGTTTAGCCCGAGGGAGATCAAGAGCCTGAACCACGGGGGAAGGGGCGAGGGTCTGCTTTTTTGAATTCTCAAAAGACATACTCTGCACCATATCTCCCTCCCAGGGCGATGGCATGCGTTAAGCCCGAAAGAGATCAAGAGCCTGAACCGCGGGGGAACAGTCGAGGGTCGAGGGGTGAAGAGGGAGGAGTGTGCATAGGGAGGGTTGAAGAAGGAGGGGTGAAGAGGAAGAGGGTAGAAGCAGATTCAATGGATACATAATTACATGCATCCATGCATGCCAGGATGCATGCACGGTTGGATGAATTGGGCGAAAAAAAAGTGAGGAGGAAGAGAGAAACGGAAACGTGATTGTATCTGACCTGCATGTCTGTAATTTTATGGACTACCAACGGAAACGTCCATTGACGGGCATTGCTGCGCGAGTGCTCGCCTCGCTCGACCGTTGACGTTGAAGAGTCTATTTTTGAGACGACTCATAAAAAGAGAGGAACGGGAACGCTGACTTACGGACAGTGTGTTGCGAGTGCGCGCCACGCTCGACCGTTGACGTTGAAGCTATCCCAACCCGTCACCCATTTCATTTTTTCCAGTTTCGGGCAGCCCGCTGCGATCCCCAGTATCAGCTGATTCCCGAAACCAGATGGAATCTCTACGGTCAGATCCGTTATGTGGGTAAATACCCTTGTATAATCGTCAAGCGCTTTTAGCCACTGTCGCAGGTTCGTAACCTTTCGCCAATAGTAAAAGTCGAAGCGGAGCGCGTGTGGCGTGCGACGAGAGAGGCGGCGGAGGCGGGAGCAGGAGAGAGCAACGTTGCGGCGATCGGATGGGTGATCGGCGAGGCCGAGAATGATTTGAAGGAGCTCGTCGGGGAGAGATAACAGCCTGCTGTTGCCGGCGCGATCGCGATCGCCTCTTTTCGCCATCGCGAGCTGACCAGTCACTGGGTTAGCTCAAAATCCACCGCGCTAGTATCTGTAACCTCGTAAAGCATCTCATAAACCCGTGTACTTTCGATAAGAATACGAAACCCGGGAGACGTGTGACCCCGAGCTCCGCGATCAGAGGCCGAACACAATCCGCAAGAGCTCGTCGGGTCCCGAGAGGACATGAGAGTAGCTCAGGAATCAGGTACTAAAGGTGGACAGAAATATTACCATTCAAATTGTTTGACCGCGATCGTACGCGATATACGTTGTTTGGCTAATTTCGACAATGTGTTCACATTCATTCGTTGGAACTTGCCCAACAACTTGAATGCTAAGAGATATAACGTTGCTTTTTGAGTAATAGTGGACTGAAGATCGAAATACAATTTGCATAGCAACTCCGTTGTAGGTTGCAATTATTTCAAGCGCTCTAGCAGCAACTCCTGCTGTAATCTATACAGAACATCTTCGTTCCTTTCTACCTAGTCATCCCCTCCTCTTAGGAGGGGACAGATAGCCACCCTTGAATATTCCTATGTGCAATACATACTGCACATTTGCACGGATTTCTGCATGGCTAGGTGGCCGTGGCAGCAGGCCTCCAATCCACCGCAATCCACACCCAGAAGTAGCTTCTCACAGGTGACTCGAAGTCACCTCACCACTGCGCAAGACGTCAACCATAGCTCTCATCCTCCAGGAATTTCTCAAACTCGGTGCCTTTGAGCTTGGCAGCCACGGCATCGTAGTTCTCAATGGACTCCCTCAGCGGCCGCGTGTGGATCTTCACCTGCTTGCTTGTCAGCTCCTGTGCTGGCACCCCTAAGAAGCGCTGCACATTCTCCAGGATCTGAAGTGAGGGAGAGGGGGGCAGGGGATGCAAGAGGGTGAGCAAGCAAGCAAGCAAAGGCCTGAACATAAGCTGCAGATTTTCCAGGGTCTGAATGGGTGGCAGAAGGCGGTGAGCGAGGGAGGGAGGAAGGGAAAGAGGGGAGCGGCGGAGAGGTGGAGAGGGGATTTGGGAAAGGTGAGAAAGCGAGAGAATGAGCGAGAAGAGCAGGGAGGGATTGGGGTTAAGAGTGACGAAGATATAGTGGGTGAGCGGAGGGAAGTGGAAGGGGAGGGACGTGGCAAGGAGGGAGAGAAAGAGGGACAGCAGGAGAGTGGAGGTCTGGATGGAAAAAATGATAGACGCAGAAAGCTTACGACCCTGATTGTCCACAGCGCATGGCATGTTCTGAAAGCATCAGCACATCAATCCACTACCGTTTTTTTCTTGACAACGCTCTCATAGTACACGCACTGGCATCCGCCACATGCCATTAGACACATTTGCGCCAATTGAGAAGTCAGATTTGTGATCCTGTGGGCAGCACTCACCGTCTTGTTCTTGACCACGTCCTCGTAGTACACTAGCATGCGCCGCGTGCCGTTGAACGCCCGGAGCGCGTCGTCCACCATCTCCTGCACGCGCTGCAGGTTGCCCTCCAGGTGCTTCGCGTTCACGTTCGGCCGAAACGTCGCCAGCTTCGCCGCCTGCACCGTCGGACGAACCCAGAGTGAAAAACGCAGGGTGGGAGGTTATACTAACCGGAAGGTGGCATGTGGAGGAACGGGAATGCATGCGGTAAGGTTGGTTGGAAATGAAGGGGAGAATGGCTGCAGCGTGAAGCGAAAAGCGGCAGGAGTGAGTTCGTGGTGAATGCTGGTGGCAAATACATTTTTACATTGACCTAATAATGAACGTTGGTGGCAAATCGCGGGGCTGTTTTGGACAGCGAGGGGAGGGAAACCGTCAGAAGGACAGATAGGGAGCGAGTCGAGAGTAGCTGGGAGAAGGGCGTTTCTTGCGGGGGAGGAGGGGAAAGGAACGGCAGTGGGGGAAAGGCGGGTGAGGTAGGGTGAAGGGTGGTGGGTTGTGTGGTGTGGGGTGCGGAGCGAGGGGAAGGGGAAAAAGGAGATCCGATTTAGCGTTCGACGCACCTCTTCTTTGCTATGTGTGTGCGACTTGTGCACTCCCACTAGCTGCGTCTTGCGATCGTACGCGTTCGCCAGGATGGAGATGAGCCGCCGCAGCACGTTCCTCCTGATCAGCAGGATGACGGACACGTGGTGCTTCTTGAAGTACTCTGCCACGTCACTACTGAACTCCATCGCGCCCTGCAATGCCAGAGGGAGAGGAAGTCGGCCAGGGGAGGAGGGAAAACGAGAGGAGGGAACAGTAGAGAGAAATGAGTGCCGGGTGACCCACGAGGCAGCAAGAGGTGGGTGCGGGAGGAGGAAGAAGGAGGGGGGAAAGAGGGGAGAAGACGGAAATGAGGGACGACAGGTTACTGGGGACAAGAAAATGGACAAGACAAGAATTGTAAGGGCAAACTCCTGTGCTGAATATTCAACCCTCCATCCTAATTCTTCCCCTCTTTTCACCCCGCACGACAACTCTCCGATTTCAAATCTCGTCAGGCGATGTCCCCTCCTCGTAACTTAACGTCACTCCGCCCCTTCTGTCCCCCACGCTCCCGCGCCCTTCTCCGACTTTCCTCCCTTCTCCATTCTTCCTTCCGCCGCTCGATTTCCTCCCTACCCTTGGCCTCCTCTCCGTTCTCGCCCTTCCTTCACTTCCTCGGCCATCATCCACCCTCTCTCCTCACCTGGTTGCCCATCCATCTCAATCCAACAGTCCATCTACCAGAAGACCATCAATCTAAAGCAACGGTCCCCCTCACCTACGTAAGCATGTGTCACAATCCAACGGTCCCCCCTCACCTGGTTGAGCATCCATTTGAATCCGACGGCGCTCGTGCACGAGTTCTTCGCGGCGCTGTTCGACCAATCCAGGTTGTAAACGCGGTCAAGCGTTTCCGCGACCGCCGACGCGTTTTCGCGCCGCGGCCTGACTATAAATATCTCGCCGTGGCTACTAATGTTCGGGTGGGAGTTTAAAAATGTTTCGAACCACCCGCTGCCGGACCGCTGCATGGAAAGGATAACGAAATTATGGACGGGCTTGCATAGGCATTCTCCTCGGCTGTAGTTAAGAGGGTTGGGATAATGTTGACCGAACCGCTCCAAGTCGCCATATTCTACATCCGAAATCGCGGGACATTTCTCTAACTCCCTCGAATCTGCTTCTCTTTGCGCCTTCCGCGCAGCTGCCTTCTCCTCCTCGCTTTCCTCGGCAGCGAGTGAGCGGGACGGCGAAGAAGTCGAGGAAGAGGAGGACGACGGCGAGGAGGACGAGGAGGAGGGGGATGAGGAGGAGGAAGAGGAGGACGACGAAGAGGAAGAGGAGGAGTGGGGAGAAGGCGAGGGGGAGTCGATGGGAACAGCTTCTATGGATAGCGATGAGAATAAGTCGAACGAGGATGCGGTGTGTGATATGGATTTAATGCACAGTGATAGACCACATATCGCCAGCAGAACCACTGTGCTGACTTTCCAAAAATAGGAGCTCCGTCGAGGGACTTTGGCTGGGATTGGAGACGGAGGGACGATCATTGCAATGTCGGCTAACGATAGCATCTGTAATGGGGACGGAAGGGGAGAAGAGGATGGGATAAGAAGGCGGGTTAGCGGAAGCATCTAGTCGCAACACTTGAGGAAATCTCGACTTCGGGACGAAGAAACTGCGAAACAAAGGAGCGCTTTCATTAAAAGGAAGCGCTGTGTCGTCTCAGTAGCCACCTAAGACACTTGTTGCGGGATAATGATTCAAGGCTGCCGCAAAGTGCGGTTACCTTACTCGTTGTGTGTCAGAAGAAACTGTACGAAGAACGTATCAGCGCTCGGCGAACGTCGCAACCAAGAGCTTGAGTCGACCTGTTCAATGTCGAAGGTCCTAGGGTATTATTGACCTAATTCTGAAAATGACGGATCGAGCCTAATGAATCAAGATCGCGATTAACTTGCTGCTGTTCGTCGGACACACTGGTCGAAAGCTAGACACCAGAAATGATCAGGCAACTCAATATTGCTGCACAAGCAATGCTCGGTAAAAATCAGGAGAACTAGAGAAATCTGTCTTCAAGGGAACGCATCTCCTATCTCTAAATATTCTTAGACTCGACTGGGTTCATGCGGTAGAAACTACCGCCTGGGGTTGTAAAACGAACGCGTTCCGCCGCCAAATACGCAGGAGCGAAAGAACTAACACGAGGAGCCGCCTCCGTACAAATACCGGAGGTGACGAGAAAAGGCCAGCCGTAGATTCATGAGGCCACGAACTCGGAGATGCGATAGCTGCAAAGCAGGAACCGCTGGCTAGGTAGGAGACAGACCAGGGAACATAGCAGAAGCGGACGCGAGATGGCTTGGCAACCGATTACAGTACCGTACGCCAGACAGAATTTTGGCGAGGCAATTGAGGTGCGGCGAAGGGTGGAACGCGATCTCCTTGCACGGTTCTTGTGCCAGAGCAGCCCGGCGGTTCTGGGTCAAACTTGGCGGGAATGTCGGGGGGGACGGAGGTCGGATTGCAGCCTCGGGAGCGGTTTGGGTGGCTGCCTAGGTAGGGTAGAGTGGTTCGGTTTCCTCCGGATGGCCCGACTGCGCAGGGGTCCCGCGGGAATGAAGGTTCGTGTTCGACCCAACGGACAAAAAAGTGTATCGAGGTATGGTACATCCGCGATTGTTATGGTGGGCCCCTGTCAGGTGGGTGTCAGGTATGACAATGTCGGCAGTGATAGGTTCGGAAGACTACCTGTCACGTTCGAACGCCAGGGGATGCCTGACAAGGCCAGCGATCCCTTGATTTTCACGGAAACCGCCGAGTCGCATACGTTACACACCACGGTTTCAATCGCTGAACCTCGATGCCAGTTAGAACCGCACTGAACCATACTAGCCACACCTAAATATTGTCAATTACCAAGAAATATCTCCATGATGCAAAACAAAATATAACATAAATTTACGATTTTATAGGCAAAAGTCACTCAGCTTAAATCCTTTTCTAGCAGGAATGGTGTGAAAAATAGTAGGGAGCAGAATGATAATTATGAACAGCATTGGCAAATATATAATCCATATAGAAATAAGGGATAAGATGCGTCAGGCTATTATGCATTTTCGTTGAAACGAGTGTTTCATAGCGGATAGCCTAGTTGAAACATGTCATCATCATTCCCACATGCCCTATTTTCACCAATCTTCATAGATTTCCTGAATGGCTTCAACCTTTTCCTGTGCGACAAGGGCTCCACCCGTTATTGTTGCACCCGAATGAAGTCTGGCTGACCAGTCGCTGTGAGACACCGGTGCCACATGCGACCGTTAGGATCCACGGGCCGCGCGTGCCTGATAACTTCGGGGATCGGGATATACGCGTAGTGCGAGTTGACCAATCCCACGGTGATGCCGCTGTAGCCAGCAAACGCGCCGTGAACGGCGTTCTGCCCGAGCACGGCGCACATGATGCTGTCCGACGCGTTCGCGCGGCACGCGCGAATCATGTACGTTGGATCGATGTACTTGACGTCTGCTGGCCGTCCGATGGACTTGAAATGACGCCGCACCTGGATCAGCCGGAAATAGGTCACAAGCGGGAAGAGCGGGGGGAGGAAGATGAAAGGGAGACGTGGATTGAGAAAGTGAAACTGAAAGGGAAAGATAATGGAATTGGGAATGGGAATGGAAACGGTTATGGGTGTGAGACCGAAAATGAGAATGTCAATGAGAATGGGAATGAAAATGGAATGAGAATGAGAAACAGGTAATCCCAAGCAGCACCGCCTCCCCCCCCCCCCCCCCCCCCCCCCCACCCGCACCTGCTTCAAGAGAAAGACCCCGATGTCTGACAGGATTGGATTTCCTGACGCATCTGTGCCGCCCTCTCCTTGCACGAGATCCTGCAATCACTCACACATTGAAAAGGATGGAATGCACGCACACACTCCACAGTTGAATTCGTCTTCCTTTGCTGGAATTTGCCTCATTGTCAAACGAACACCGCGAAGACCTTCTCGTTTCTCGTTCCATCTCACCTGCCCTGTGTCCCTCCGCCATGCAGGTGATGGCGTGGCCCTGGCAGTCTAGGCGACTTCTGGGTTGCATTATCCGTCAATATTCGCCACAACTGTCAGGATTCACCTCGAATCAGACGTCCCCATGAAACCCCTCACCTGGCCTGCGCCCTCTGCCACGCAGATGATGGCGTGGCCCTGGCGGTCCAGGCGGCTCTAACAAGTCACCTCACCCTCAACCATCACCAGGAAATATCGCACCTGCCCTGCACCCTCTGCCACGCAGATGATGGCGTGGCCCTGGCGGTCCAGCAGATACTCCAGATGCTGCAACACCCCATTGGGGCCCTCCAGACAAAACGGCACCTGGTGGGGAGCAGGGAGAGGCAGGAGAGGAGTGCAGAGAGGAGAGAGGACGCCACACACACATGATGGCGTGGCCCTGGCGGTCCAGCAGATACTCCAGATGCTGCAACACTCCGTTGGGCCCCTCCAGACAAAACGGCACCTGGGAGGAGCTGAGAGAGGCAAGGAGGAGAGAGGAGAGGCAGGAGGGGAGGGAGGAGCGGCAAACGCAGCAGCAGAGAGGAGATCGGTGCTTTGAAGAATTGTTTTCAAGGTTGGTGTTGCAGCACTCCGTTGGGACCGTTGAGACAGAACTATGGGGAGAGGAAGGGCAAGTGCGTCTGACTGAAAATCACGGGCAGTGGGTGTTGTGGGAATGAGTGAGGGGGTTTCGGATCAGCTATAATGGATTCACCTTTGAGAATTCGCGTAAGGTGAGGCGAGAACAAGCAAGTCCCTTTTTTTTCTCTCCCCTACCCTCCCTTCCCTCTGACCCACCTCAGAGATGAGCGCCAGGTACACCTGTTGAGTATTGAGTCGCCTCAAGGGTCTCCTCCTCGTTGCGCTCTTGCCGTCCCTCCATCCCCTGGCAATGAGGGCAATGGAGCCCTCCCATTGCCGTCCCTCACTGCGCCATGGCCACCTGCCCGCTAGCAAGCGACGAGTGCATGACAAGGCATGATGCCATCGCATTTCCCTCCCACCCTTCCTTCCTCCCCCCTCTCACTCTGCTCACTGCATACACACCTCGGGGATGAGCGCAATGTCAACCTGTCCACTGGCAGGTGACGAGTGCATTTCTATGAAACCATCACACTGCCTCCCTCACTCCTCCCTCACTCCTCCCTCACTCCTCCTTCCCTCCTTCACTCCTCCGCCACGCACCTCAGGGATGAGCGCCATGTCCACCTGTCCACTGGCCAGCGACGAGTGCATGGCAATGAAACCAACACGTTTCCCTCCTTCCCTTCCCCCCTCTCCCTCTTTTCCCTGCGTTCCCTCCCCTCCACGCCACGCACCTCAGGGATGAGAGCCATGTCAACCTGCCCGCTGGCAAGCGACGAGTGCATGGCAATGAAACCACTCTGCCGCCCCATGAGCTTCACGATGCCGATGCCCCTGTACGCGCTGGATGCCTGCAGCAGCAGTCACACGGGAAGAAGGGGAGGATGGGCGGAGGAGGGTTTATGTGGTTACTGGGGAGCTGAGTTGCCATCTGTCGCCCCATCAGCTTCACGATGCCAATGCCCCTGTATGCACTGGATGCCTGCAACAACAGTCACATGGGGGGGGAGGGTGAAGGCGGGGGGGAGGGATTGATGTGGTTTTTGCGGAGCTGAGGTGAAGCCACTCTGTCGCCCCATCAGCTTCACGATGCCATGCCCCTGTATGCGCTGGACGCCTGCCGTCACACTGGGGGAAGGGTAGGATGGGCAAATGAGCGAGCGACTGATGTGGTTATTGTGGAGCTGAGCTGATCTCACATCACTTCACCAATGCATGATGCCCCTGTACGCGCTGGGCGCCCGCCGTCGCAAGGGGAGACAGGACAGCATGGGCGGAGAGGTGGCGGTGGGCAGCAGCGAGGGCATCAACTTCATAATGCTGATGCCCCTGTATGCTCGCGTGCAGTGGAGCAGAGCAGGTGGTGGGGAGAGATGGTTACAGGTGGCATGTAGTGCAAGCGGGCTCATGCCATGCCCCTTCTCCCTCTCACCTCCACGTTAGCAGCAGGTAGTGCCTGCTGGGCCTCCTCTACAGCAGTGTCGAACCCAAACGCCTGCTTTCATCAGTCCCTCTTTTCCCCGCCCTCCCATGTCCCTCTTTTTCCACTCCTCCGCATCCCTTCTCCCTCTCACCTCCACATAAGTGGCATGCAGCGCCCTCTGAGCCTCTTCCACAGCTGTGTCGAACCCAAACGTCTGCTTCATCAGTCCCTCTTCCCCCCGCCCTCCCATGTCCCTCCTTTTCCACTCCGCATCCCTTCTCCCTCTCACCTCCACATAAGCGGCATGCAGCGCCCGCTGTGCCTCTTCCACAGCTGTGTCGAACCCAAACGTCTGGTCCAGCAGCCCTGTGTTCACTTCACCCCTTCCCACACCCCCCCGTTTCCTTCCCCATCTCCCCCCATGCCCTCTCTCACTCACCTCCACATACGCAGCATGCAGCGCCCTCTGCGCCTCCTCCACAGCCGTGTCGAAGCCAAACGTCTGGTCCAGCAACAGTATGTCGTTATCTATGGTCTTGGGCACCCCCACCACCGCCACCTTCATGCCGCGCTTGTAGCACTGCACTTGTAGGGTAAATGAGAGATGGGTAGAGATAATCAGGTGTCTTTCGAGTCATCTGGCAAGGCAAGTCGAACCCGAAAGTCTGGTCCAGCAGCAGAATGTCGTTATCTATGGTCTTAGGCACTCCCACCACCGCCACCTTCATGCCCCGCTTGTAGCACTGCACTTGTAGGGTAGGGGGAGCGGGAGCGGGGGGAGCACTGCACTTGTGCTGCAGAATGTAGCACTGCACTTCATGCCCCGCTTGTAGCACTGCACTTGTAGGGTAGGGGGAGCGGGAGCGGGGGGAGCACTGCACTTGTGGGGTAGGGGGAGCGGGAGGAGGCTAAATGGTGAGTCGACCGACAAGTCACTTGGAAGGCAAACGTCTGGTCCAGTAGCAGAATGTCGTTATCTTTGGTCTTGGGCACTCCCACCACCGCCACCTTCATGCCCCGCTTGTAGCACTGCCCACAATGGTGTAGGGTGTTGGGGAGAGGGGGAGGTAAAGGGGTGGGATGGGTGGGATTGGTGGGGTGGGTGGTTTGATCCGCACTGGTTTTTGAGAATTCTCAAAAACCAGCAGGTGGGATTGGTGGGCTGGGTGTTTTGATCCACACATCTGCACAGGCTGCTCTCTCTCCTCTCTCCTCTCTCCTCTCTCCTCTCTGCTCTCACACCGTTTCCGCTTGTCTCTCCAATTTCTCTTCCCTCTTTTTCCTCGCTCACCTCCTTGTGAATGGCCAGAGCTCCGGCGTGGGTGCCGTTTCCACCAATCACAAACAGCATGTTGATCCCCTCCTTCTGCAGCGGAGTGGGGAGAGAGGAAAAAGGGGTGGGAGAGGGAAAGGACGATTACGGGCTGAACATGCCTTTTCACAAAACTCAATCCCATATCTTCCTTCCTCTCCCGGGGCATGCCCCATCTCCCCCATCTCTCCCCCATCTCTCCCCCATCTCTCCCCATCTCTCCCCCATCTCTCCCCCATCTCTCCCCCATCTCTCCCCCATCTCTCCCCCATCTCTCCCCCATCTCTCCCCCGTCTCTCCCCCATCTCTCCCCCATCTCTCCCCCATCCCTCCCCCATCTCTCCCCCATCTCTCCCCCATCTCTCCCCCATCTCTCCCCCATCTCTCCCCCATCTCTCCCCCATCTCTTCCCCATCCCTCCCCCATCCCTCCCCCATCTCTCCCCCATCTCTCCCCCATCTCTCCTCCATCTCTCCCCCATCTCTCCCCCATCCCTCCCCCATCTCTCCCCCATCTCTCCCCCATCTCTACCCCATCTCTACCCCATCTCTCCCCCATCTCTCCCCCATCTCTCCCCCATCTCTCCCCCATCTCTCCCCCATCCCTCTCCCATCTCTCCCCCATCTCTCCCCCATCTCTCCTCCATCCCTGACACCCCTCCACCATCCCTCCCACATCTCCCCCCATGGCTTCTCCCATCTTGCCCCACCTGAATGGAGTCGATGATATCGAGGCTGTTGGGGCCCCCTCGGATTAACACCATATCTCCCATCCTTCTCCCACCCCTCCCCATCTCCCCCCATCGCTTCTCCCATCTTGCCCCACCTGAATGGAGTCGACAATATCGAGGCTGTTGGAGCCCCCTCGGGAAACGCCCAGGAAAGAGCCGCCCATGAGGTGAATGTTGTCCACCACTGCGCGGTTCAGCTGGTGGGGTGAGATGAGAGGGAGGGGCAGACGGGGAGGGAGAATGGGAAGGGGGCTTTATGAGGGGCTTACATGGCATAACAGGAAAGAGCCGCCCATGAGGTGAATGTAGTCCACCACTGCCCGGTTCAGCTGGTGGGGTGCGAGGGAGGGGCAAAGGCAGATGGGGAGATGGGGAGGGAGCATGCATGAGAGGGGGGACATAACCTAGAAGGGAACGACCCGCCCATGAGGTGAATGTTGTCCACCACTGCCCGGTTCAGCTGGTGGGGGGGAGAAGAGAGGTGCACAGGGAGGGGGGATGATGCTGCGATGGCAGTTGGGTAGTGGTTGTGACAGCGTGAACTGTGCGCAAGGAAGGTAGGACTGGCACACTACCTATGTGAGTGAGGCACGGACCGGTATGTGCAAGGAGGAATCGAAGAAGCCCCGGAAGCCATACTTGATGCCCCGAATGTCACTCACTCCGTACGTGTTGAGTGTCATCACCACCTGAGGGCAGCATGAGCATGGGGAGAGAGGATGAGAGGGGGTTTCGGCATGCCGAAAGCCTTTCTCAACGCTGCTGGTGACTTTGCGGAGTGCCGGTGGCATAGCTGATTGCTGGTAACATCCAACCCCCCCAACCCCCCTCCCCCCCCTCTCAGTGACGTCATTGACCCCCCCTCACCTGGCGGATGACGTCATTGACCCCCCTCACCTGGCGGATGACGTCATTGAGCCTCCCTCACCTGGCGGATGACGTCATTGAGCCACCCTCACCTGGCGGATGACGTCATCTCGTTCCCCCCTCACCTGGCGGATGACGTCATTGAGTCCAGGGCAGAGCCCCCCGCACGTGACAACAGCAGCGCGCACGTCCTGCGGCTTGAAGTATATGCGCGGCCTCGCCCCCGCTCGCACCAGCCAGTGCTGCACGAACTGGCAGTCCTCCTCCGATGCCGCATCCGCTGTCATGGGATGGGAATACTTGACGGTCTGCACGAGCAGGGAGGGGGAAGGGGTGGTGGGAAGGGAGAGGGAACACTGTGACCCTGTTGGGGCACCGCACAGGCAAACGCACCAGCCAGTGCTGCACGAACTGGCAGTCCTCCTCCGATGCCGCATCCGCCGTCATGGGATGCGAGTACTTCACGGTCTGAGGGACGCAGCGAGGGGCAAGGGCAGGCGTTGGAAAAGGCGAAGGAGACGGTCTGATTGCGGTGGATCGGCCATCAAGAGATGGGAGTACTTCACGGTCTGGGGGTCGCAGAAAGGCGCAGGGGGTAAAAAGGAGGAGGAGACGGTCTGATTGCGGCGCATCAGCCGTCATGGGATGGGAGTACTTGACGGTGTGCACAAGCAGAAACGGCCAAGTGGGTGGTGGAGGAGGTGCAAGTGGAAAGGGAGGAGATGCTCTGATTGCGGCGGATCCGCCTCGACAGTGGCAGTCCTCCTCGGGCGAGGCATCGGCCATCATGGGATGGGAATACTTGACGGTCTGCACGAGCAGGGGAAGGGGAGAGGGTACTGGGATGGTAGAAAAGGCGCTGTGACTGTTGCTGAGGCGCAACAAGAGTCGGCCGTCGTGGCATGCGAGAACTTCACGGTCGGGGGTTCGTAGACATGGGCAAGGGGGTGGTGGTGGAAAGGAAAAAAGAAATGCTCAGGTTGCTGTTTTTGAGACGCCTGAAAAGAGAAGGCGACGCCAAGATCACTGCTGAGGCGCCTCAACAGTGACAGCCCGACCCGACCGTTGCTGACAAGTCCACAACAACAAATCCACTCAAAAGCAAATCCACCGTCAGACGTCGAGTACTTCGCTGCCTAGGGATGAGCAGGGTAGGGCAAGGGCATACGGAGTGGCGTGGCAGGCAGAGGGAACGATGTGAGCCGTGATGAGGGTGGATCGGGGGAGGGAATGCGGCGAGGAGTTAAGAGGGGCGAGTCGGAGGAGGATGAGTCAGGGGAGAGAGGAGGAGAGGGGAAGACGAGAGGTGACGGGCGGGCAGAAGTGGAAGGGAGGGAAGGGGTATGCTGTTGCGATGCATCAAGAGAAAAGGTGGCGAAAGCCTGTGAGTGTGGGCCTTAAGTGGCTGTGAATGAGGAAGGTCGCGGTGCCTGCATTACCTTGAGCACGCGTGTGCCACATCTCGAGTCCTGCCCCACCTTGATTCTCGCCGCACCTTGAGCAGCACTTAGGCGTTATCGTGCACGAAGAGCGGCGTGGTGCCTGCATTACTATGAGCACGTGTGCGCCGCACTTTGACTCGCGCCGCACCTTAAGCAGAACTTTGTCTTTATCGTGCACGGAGAGTGACGTGGTGCCGGCATTAATATGAGCACACATCCGCCCCATCTTGAGTCCCGCCCCACCTTGAGTCCCACTGCACCTTGAGCAGAACTTTGTCGTTATCGTGCACAAAGAGCGGCGTGGTGCCTTCATTACTATGAGCACGCGTGAGCCGCACCTTGACTCGCGCCCCACCTTCAGTCCCACCCCACCTTGAGCAGCACTTTATCATTGTCGTGCACGAAGAGCGACGTGGTGCCTGCATTAACGGTACCGTACCTTGAGCACGCGCGTGCCACATCTCGAGTCCCGCCGCACCTTGAGCAGCACAGTGTCGTTGTCGTGCACGAAGAGCGACGTGGTGCCTGCATTACCTTGACTCCCGCCACACGCATGCGTCACACCTTCAGTCCCGCCCCACCTTGAGCAGCACTTTGTCGTTGTCGTGCACGAAGAGCGACGTGGTTCCCAGCTCGTGCGTGTCGTGGTCCACAAACGACGCGCCCTTATCGAGAGGCAGCAGCGGACAGCTGCACGCAGAGGGGAGGGAAGGGAGGCATGGCGTCACGAAAACAGGAGGGAAGAATATTCTGGTGAGATCACTGAAACTTGTCTGGGCGGTTCGATTTCCATAACAGCACTCAGAATAGAGGCCTCTCCCCGAGCGGCAGAGATGTATTTTGTGCAATCCACATAAATGCACGAAATGGTAGCGAATTCTATGGGTTCACAACAGTCTATTTATAATAGTTTTCGATGAGCCCCATGAATGTATGAAAATGGCAGTGGATTGCTCAGCAATTTAGGCTGTGGGTCCACAGCTGACAGGAAGAGCCATTGCATTGCACGGTAAACGAACAACGCCCTAGCAATTCTTGAGGCGTCGAACAAGAGATGGTGACGAGATTCTCTTGCGGACCTTGTCTTGGTGCAAAACGTGGAGTAGAACGATGGTGAATCGGGATCAATATCCGTGATGTGCGGCAGCCAGTAACGAGTCCGCAGCTCCGCTTCTAACGGGTCCGTGATCTTATCGAGGTACTCTCTGAGCGTCGTTCGCGGGGGAATCGTCATCGTCGTATTCTGCGACGCCTCGAGAACCGTGTCGGACGGAGGGATGCGAGAGATCGTCATCGCGACTGTCGCGCGTCGACTTCGCCCACCGTTGTTGCGAAGTTCGCGAGGTTGCAACAGCTTTCGTAAATGGGCGCTTTTGCCATTGAAATCTCCACCAATCGGCGTTGCTTGCACGACATATTTTAAATTGCAACTGATCGGGAAGGAGAGGGAATGGGTGGCGGTTACAGCTCCAATGCCATTGGCTCCAATGCAGATCTTCGCCATGACGTCTTACTGTAAGCACGAAAGGAGAGTTCTTGGCTCGGCAAAAGCTTGCTTTTATCCAACCTGTGCACAATCTCAGGTAGATCCCTTTTAGATTCTAATCGAACAGTTGTTCAAAACCGGAAAGGGTGAGGCAAACCAGCAGGCGAGTTGTGCCAAGCGGACAATACGAGCTCACAGAATTGCAACTTCAGATCAGAGACGGGGGGGTGGGGGGGAGATTTGGCTGAAACTGGCATATGGATGCAGAAGTCCGGAATTGGAAAAGGTCACGGCTGAAAGGGATGGGTGAATGAGAGACCAATAATGTGGATGGTATGGATGGGTGGGATGGATTATGCTAGGGTGGAGTGAGCTGAGGAGAGTTGGGTTGAGGTGAAGTAGATTGGGTTTGTGTGGGGGCGGTTTGCGGGCTGGGGCGGGAGGGGATGAGAGGCGGTTTGGGGAATGAAAAGGAGAAATTCACCAATAGGTTGCGTCCAATCTCAAGGTACGGAGCCGCGTGCGCTTCGTGGTTTTTGTGGTCTGGGGCAGCCGAACAATGTTTCCACGTGTGCATCTGTCTTTCGTCAGAAAGATCTACGCTGCCCAATGATCTCGGCCTTTTTCCATAGTCGGCGCGTGTGAAGTGGAAAAGTATCCAATCACATCCCGAATACTGCCGCACAATTTGGCCAATGCGACCGAGGCATTTGTGCTAAGAAAATAGCTGTCATGTAGCGGTTGTTATGATACCTCAAGCTAAACCAGACTGAAATAAGTTTTAAACGGGAATTCAACTGCGAGTGAATACAAGAGCAAGTAGCCACTAGAATCCCATGCCAAGGCACTTCATCTAAAAAAATGTGTACAATTTTAGCACACCCCCTTCACTGCCTGCAACAAGAACTGTTGCAGAACACACCAGTTCTTGCTGCAGGCAGTTAAGGGGGTGTGTTAAAATGTTTGAACACATTTGTTACACAAGCTATTCTGCTAAGGTAGACGCTTCTTCTGTTGGAACCCAAAATCCTGCCTAGTGCTGCAATGCAAGGCAATATCGTGCACTATCAGTCAGCATCTTCCTGCATCCGCATGTGATATTCACGCACGCAGCTCGTCCCACTACATCACGGTCAGGAGGGCAGGGAGCGCAAACATCACTACCATCCAGGTTGCGCTAAAACGAGCAGAATCCTTGGTCGTATTCTGCAAGCAAAAACGAACCACACATACGAATTAAAGCAACACCAGCCCAAAGGTATAAGACAAGATAACAATAACTCAGGAACACCTTATCTCGAACAAAAAGGTATTAGGGTACCCAAGACACATACCATGTCCTTGCCAATGTACAAGGAGAGATTGTATGAGGCGGCAGCGGCACCAGGGGCAGTAGGGGGGATTATGCTGGCACTGAGAGTCAACGACTCCTTGGCAGGAGCACTCATGGAGAGGGCAGGGAAGGCGGTGGGGTTCACTGTCTGCACTGTGTTGCTGCTGAACGGGGTAGTTGCGAGCGACGCCTGGGTGACCAGGGTAATTGGGAAGACTAGCCCCACACCCACAGCCTGGAAGGTGTGAAGGGGAAGGGAAGGGGAATGGCTTTCTGTTGGTTACTGAACGGTCGTAAAATAAGCCACTGTTACATCGCACAAATGTTACCAGATCACATGGCAAGGGAATGGCTGTGCAGAGATCAGAGATCGCGATGCTGCTTTTGCAAAAGAAATCCCTGGTTCAAAAGTTGAGAGTGGCTCCTCCAGCTCCTCACCTTGCTGTCGTTGCCGGCAATGAAGGGCATGGCGTCAAAGGCCCCAGGGAGAGGAGTAGGTCCCTTGGATGGCACCATGATGTACCCGATTCCCTTCATGGCCCTGGTGGGGCGTCGCACGCGCAACCATGTGCGCGCGCGCGCACACACACACACAGAAACGGAAGTGCAGAGCAAAACGCTTGGTCATGACACGTATCAATATAGAGCACACAAAACGCAGGGAAGGAACACAGGAGAGATAGAATCACAGAGGACCAGAGATTACGAGCGAACGTACTGTCGCTACTCACAGGGGATCCACTCGGATGGACTGGACGCGCATGGTGGAGCCAGCGGGCTGGCGCACAAACATCTCCGTGTAGAGAAACCCCACCGACGTCCCGCCGCCATTCACCACCGGCGGACTCCCGAACGCCTGCGCCACCGTCACCTCAGCCCCCTCGTCCGTGGAGCAGATGTACCCGCGCAGCATGCCGTTGTCTGTTTCTGTGCATATGCTGCCGATCTGGCTGGCCGTGGCTTCGTCCAGGAAGGAGAAGGTGAGGTAGACGTAGCAGGAGAGGCAGATGTCTGTGCCGGACATGAGATATGCGGGGACGGCCTGATCAGCGGTTACTTTGGTGGTGTTGTCTGCAGGGGGATGAGAGGGACGTGGGAGGGGAGGTGGGGAGAGAGGAGTTTGTGAGTGGTACAAGAATGGTGCGTTGAGAAACTGTGAGAGGTGAGAGATGGGAGGGTACTTGCTTCTTGCTGACGTTTGGTTGGTAGTGTTAAAGCCTGTTAACTGCATAACTCATGACATGACGAAAAGTGGTGCAGAAGAATGAAAGCCAGATGCATGCATGCGTGGTGGCATGGCGTGTTTACACGTACAGATGGGGTAGCAGGAGGAAGGGCTGAAGGACAAAATGATGTGCTTGACGTCCGTGAGAGAGGCGAAGCCTGCACGCCGAGAGGCGGGGAAATGAAGCAAACCAAAAATGAGGTAGCATGAATGAAGATATAGGTTGGCAGGAAGTTGACTGGAGACGAACGCGTGGAGGAGGGAGGGTAAAAGGACGGATGAGAGAGCTCGAGAGAAGTGAAGGTGGGCGGAAGGGGAAGGGGGGAGGGGGGGGAGGGGGAGCAGAAGGAGAGGAGGAAGGAGGAAAAGAGAGGGGAGAGAATATTTGAAGGAAACTGTTTGCGGATTGTGTTTGAGCAGACGGATATGCAATTCACTGGAAGGCAAATCGAACTGGAGCGAATAACTTAGCTGTGACATGATGTGTCTGCTGTATCTGCTGTTGCATGATGGCACTCACTGGACGGCAGAGTGTATTTTTCCACAATGTACTCTTGCCGACTTTACCCGAGTCGACTCAAAACAAGGCATAATGGCACTCACTGGACGGCAGAGTGAAGAGTATTTCTGAGAAATCTAAAAAATACAAGGCATAACGGTACTCACTGGTCGGCAGAGTGTATTTCTCCACAATGTACTCCTGCTTGGGTGTAACCGACTTGATCCAGTCTGGTAGGTTTGCCTGCAGCAGATAAACTCGCATCAGTGAGGAATGGCTGTTTTGTAAAATGTGAGATAATGACATGAATTGGTGGGTAAGAGGAACGGGTGTACACGTCTAGCCCAGGAGAGATGAACAAGGTCCCGAAGCAGCGCGAATAAACGAACTAACGAACCGAATCCCATACTGACGAACGGGATTTATGGACGAGGAACGAATCAACGACGAACGAACGACGGAGGAACTAACCTGCACGCGGATCTGATTGCGATTGGGTCCCACATCAACGCGCAAGTAGCCTCCGAAGAAGTTGGTGGTGAAATTCGCGTTCATGGTGCTCTGAGCCACATACCTGAAACACGAAAGGTACTGTCAAGAAAATACAGAGAGTAGGCAAACGAAGGAACGCGACAAACTTTGAAAGATCTTCGTTGATCCAAAGTATCTACCCAGAGGGAAGCAGTGCAGAGGTGGCGATGAGAACGAGGAGAGCAATGCTCGACGGCGACGCGAGCTTCGTCGACGCCATGGCTCCGCACGGACAGAGCTACTAGCAGAACCTGGAAACAGAACAAAAAACTGCTGATGGAAAATTGCTGATCGCAAGTATCAGCAGCAGCAAATGTGTTTCCTGTGCAAGGAACGAACACATGGCGTCTGATGCTTGCTTGGATTATAATCCAAGCTGGCTGGTTGGGTTCGGGAGGTAAGGAGGAGAGAGAGCCCCTAGTTGGTTTGGTTCGGATGCCGCACGTACGGCGGCACTGTTGCCGTGGGTGGCAGTGCCGCCCCGTGCGGGAGACGTTTTGTCCCCTTCCCGCATACTCGTGGCACAGTAATCGCGTGAACGTACATAGTAGGTGGAACGAGCTATTATGGCCACAAGATTCTAGGCAAAATCCCCACTGTTTCGGACCCTCGATTTTCGACGACTGTCCTTGCTTGAGTGCTTTCGCTAACCCTATTATTAATCGTGTGTTGTCGCCAAGTTTCGCACGGGAGGGGAAGAGCAGGCGATGTCGCAATGGAAGTAACCCCCCCCTCCCCGCCTTCTATCCCCCACACCTCTCAACTCCCTGGTTTGTGGATGAAGGAAACGGAAAGTACATTCTAGCTTCTTAGTATAAAAAATCTCTCAAAATTAGTTCCAGGTTTTACTCAAAAGGTCCCAATTTATGGAATTTTGCTCACACGAGGATGCAGCTAAGTTTAACTCTAAAGATGACTTCTCCACATTCTTGCAGTTTACAGCTCATAATACCTTGACTGAGTATACCGGCTGCGGGAGAAAGGGAGAGGCAGAGACATTAGTAAGGAGGGATGAAGAGGTGTTCAGAATAAGGCTCACTGAGCTAGCTGTACCCGGATGTGCTGTGGCTGTATCGGCGGTAGTTGCGGTGTCTTGTTGTGTGCTGCTTTCAATGAGATCTTATGACCTGTGGATGCTATGGGGTCTCCAGGCAGTGGTCAAATGAATACACCCAACACAATCAAGTTAAGCGCGCTCAATATCAACGGCTTGGGCAGCGCAGGGAAAAGGAATAAGTGCTGGAGGTGGCTTAAGAAAGCTGCAGATGTAGTGGTTCTATCTGACACGAGGATAAGCGAAGACCATAATTTTTGGACGCAACTAAGACCTATGGCGGTAGCCTCAGCATCGCCTGCACAGAAAGCTGGAGGGGTAGCGGTGCTGGTGTTCTCACCGGAGGTTCAGCTGCTGGATGTGGTGAAGCACGAGTCAGGAAGGCTGATCAGTGTCGGCTTGAAATGGAAAGAGCTGGAGCTGCGGCTGGTCGCAGTGTATCTTCCGGCGTAGGCGGGGATACGCAATGTCTTCCTCAAGGACTGCTTGTTCCCCTTTTTAGACGGATTACCTGCAGCAGCGCACACAATGCTCATGGGGGATTTCAATCTGGTGGAAGATCCGGAGCTGGACAAAACCTCCAAGCTCGGGTCAATGGCTGAGAATCAGAGACTGCTGAACGGATGCGTCGGGCTAGACTTACATGATGCCTTCCGCACCCTTCATCCGGTGAAAAAGGAGTTTACCTTCTTTTCGAGATCGGCGAGGGTGAGCTCAAGAATCGATCGCGCGCTTGTGTCAGCGTCAATGCTGGGCTGCATAGGCGGAGCTTTTCACACCTCTATCCCGAAGGGAATCACGGATCACTGGTTTGCAATCTCGGTGAAGCTGGCGTCGTCAGAGGGGAACGCGAAAGGTCCCGGCCTGTGGAGGCTACCTGCAAAAATTGCAAGAAGTCAAGGAGTGAGAAACATTACACAGGCGATAACACAACAGCAGGCTGTGGAGGACGACTTTGTCAAAACGCTGAAGAAGCTGAATGCGGGTCTGAAGGAATACGCGAAAGGAGAAAGAAGGAGGGTGGCCCGCACTGTCGAACATCTGGAGGAGAAGGTAGCGGTGCTCAGGCAAGCTTTTATGAGTGATGCTGGGAATCCTGACCTGCAAGAGCAATTGGCAAGGAGTGAAGCACAACTGAAAGCGTACTGGGACGGGAAGAATGATTGGCTGCAGACGCTGGCAGGCATACAAGGAGAGTTGGAGGGAGAGACGGCGTCCAAGTTTCTCACAGGGACGATAGCTTCGAGGAGAGCGAAGACAGAGATCCGATCGCTTTCGGTGGGAGGGAAAGCAGTAACGGAAGCAAAGGAGATCTTGCTGGCCGCATCAGATTTCTTCCGAGACCTATTTGGGAAGGCAAAGGAGTCGTCGGGGGAGAAGTGGTTAACTGACAAGAGCAAGCGGCTGGATGAGAAAGACAGGGAAGTGTTGCAGGCGAAATGGACGGAAAAAGAAGTTAAAAAGGCGCTAGCTGAGTTGCCCAAGGGGAAAACGCCAGGTCAGGACGGGCTGCCGAGGGAGTTTTTTGAGAGCAATTGGGACATTCTGGGGCCTGGACTGATGCGTTTCATTCACTCCTTCGAGCAGTCGGCGAAACTCCCGGAAAGCCTCACGACGGCAGTAACGATCCTGCTGCACAAGAAAGGGGAAAAGGAGAGATTGGAAAATTACAGGCCGATCACGCTCTTGAACACGGTATACAAGATTGTGGCGAAGGTGCTGGCGAATAGGATGAAAAGAGTTCTACCAAAAGTGATCTCGGAGGATCAGCATGGGTTTGTACCAGGGAGGAAGTTGTCAGATGCGGTGGCGGCTGTAGCGGATGTGATTGATGCTGCGGTGACGGGAAAGGAGGACTGGTACCTGCTTTTGGTCGATTTCCAGAAGGCGTACGACTCTGTGTCACGAGACTACCTCTTCAGCACACTGAGGGACATGGGCTTCCCAGATACGTTTGTCAGTTGGGCAGAAGGGCTTCACAATGAAGCGGGTACCAGACTCCTTCTCAATGGGTGGCTTGGGGAGAGGCTGGGAGTGGATGTTGGAGTAAGGCAGGGATGCCCGCTCGCGCCATATCTGTTCATCTGCGAAGTGGAGCCGTTATGTCAAGAAATTAAGAAAAGGAAACTAGGGATCAGGAAACGCGGAAAGGGGGAGCTAGCTTACCTGGGGTATGCGGACGATACTACACTGGTGCTGAAATGGGCTTGCGCAGGTGGAAAAAGCGGGAGAGGTGCTGAAAGATTTTGGAGAGGTGTCAGGCTTGCGCATCAACCAAGAGAAGACCGTGTTGATGCCGCTGGGGAGAAACCGTAAGCGGAAATTGGTGATGCAGACAAATTTCAAGGTGGCAGTACCTGATCAACCGGAGAGGTTGCTGGGGGTGTGGATCACACCAAACGGGGAGGCAGGGCCGTCCTGGGATAAAGCTTTCAAAAGAGTCAGCAGCTCACTCAGTCGCTGGGCGGCCCAGCACCTCACAACGACTGCCAGGGTGGCGGTGATCAACTCATATGCGATGCCGGTGTTGCTCTTCCAGGCGCAGATATACCCGCCGCCAGTTGACTTCTGGACGAGAATCCGTAGGCTGTGCCACAACTTCGTGTCGGGGGGGAAGTCGTCGCTGGACAGAAGATTCGTTCTCTGGAGTTATGACCTGACATGCAGAAGAAGAAGAGACGGGGGATTGGGGGTCATCAGCCCGAGGGACCGGATAGACAGCATGGCGTTACAGTGCCTTAGCAAAGCCATCGCGGAATCGAGCGAGATCAAAAAGTGGATGATGGAGCAAGCGGCGAAGATGCCATTGGGTTGGGCGACTCTGTGGGCGCACAAGAATATAGCCAGCCAATGGAAAGAGGGGGGAGAGAGGTGGAAAGCCTTCCTGCAAATCTTATGGAAGAGGAACATCCCGCTATTTGGAGAGCCGCAGTCCAGATGGGAGGTGGAGCAAGAACATCTCTGGTTTAACAGGCGGATCCTCTTCAGAGGGAACAGTCCGTTCGGCGCGCAGAGAGGCTCGGAATGCTTGAAAGGGATGAAGCTCACCGACTTGCTCATCACAAATCTGGACGGGACGGTAGCGGTCAAGGATTTGGATCCCAGGCTAGATGGGCGCTCAAGGCTTTCCAAGCTGCCCCGGTGGAATGGAGAAACATCTTGCTAAAGCAACGGACAGCAGAGGAAATCGTGGAAGCAACGGAATTGGTTCGTACCGGAGGGGAGGCAGTGAAGCAGCAGAACTACTGGAGAGTTCTACACACGGAAGGGGAAAGGTTGGTGGTGAAAAGAGTGGAAGTGGTACGAGGCATTGTGATGCAGGCTCCGTATGCAAGCCCCTTCGCCATCAGTGTGGCGCGGGTCATCCCGATCAAAATGGTGGACGAGAAAGTGCTGGGCCCGCTCGGCCAGCATCTTACCAGGCTAAGGGAGTCGGTGCTCTGCAAGGGGGGGGAGCTGGTGGCTCTGAAAACCCTAAGAAGAGCTATCAGGGAGCCAGCCGAGAAGCCGAAACAACAAGTCCGATGGGAGGAGGAGTTTGGGAGGGAAATCAACTGGGCAAGGACTATGGCTGCCCGGGATTCAATGGTGGTGCCATCCAGAGCAAGGGAAGTGCTCCTTCGGCTTCACAGCAAGAACCTACAGGTGGGCACCAGGCTCCCTTTCTTGGGCAGCTTGGCGCGCTGTCCGCACTGTGGTGCTGAGGAGACAGTGGATCACTGCTTGATGCTCTGCCCGGAAGTGGGAAGAGTTGTCGGGAAGCTACAAGCAGCTTTGAAAATTTTGGGAGTTAAGGAGGAGGCGAGGAGTGTGGGCGAGCTGCTGTTTCGGGATGCATGCACGAAATCCAGCTTCCCGGAGCTGCCGCTGGTTGCCATCACTTTCCACCAACTTTGGCTGGAGAGATGTGGAGCAGTTTTCAGACAAGAAAAGTTTCAGTACAAGAGGGTGATCAGGAAAATCTGTCAGAATGTTACTTGTCTAGCCTGCAGTGGGGTACTCAACAGTGAGTACAACCCTTTAGGGTTTCCTACTTGTATCCCAACTCTTGCTAGTTCAATCATTCCCATTCTCACCATTCTCCTTCGCATACCCAAAACCCTAGTCCTAGGGCACATCCTACTATCTCGTAGTGTGGGCCTAGGCTACTAAGCCTAGGCCCCACTCCTATTGTTTCTAACATGGTATTCAGAGCAGGCACGTTCCTGCCGCCTTCCTGTATGGGCCCACCACCTGCTTCCGCTGCCGTACTGTCCGCCACGCGCCCCGTGGTGCACGGCAGCCAAACCCTAATTTTTCATCCCGCCGTGCGCTCGGGGCGTACGGCGGTTTTCTGCCCGCCGTGCGCCCCGAGGCGCGCGGCGGTTTTCTGCCCGCCGTGCGCCCCGAGGCGCGCGGCGGTTTTCTGCCCGCCGTGCGCCCCGAGGCGCGCGGCGGTTTTCTGCCCGCCGTGCGCCCCGAGGCGCGCGGCGGCTTTCTGCCCCGTCACTCCGCGAGTCGCCCCCGGGAGGAGCTGCGACGGGCGACGGGGACCCGCGCGTCGCCCCCCGTCGCCCGTCGTGGCCCGAGCGACCTCCGTAGGGCCCGCGCGCGACCCGTCTAGCCTGCGCGCGGCCCGTACGGGCTGCGCCAGGCCCGCGCGCGGCCCGTACGGGCTGCGCCAGGCCATGGCGCACCTCGAGCCGCCCGCCACTGCAGCAGCAGCCCCTGGAGCCGCCCGCAACTGCAGCAGCAGCCCCTGGAGCCGCCAGCACCTGCAGCAGCAGCCCCTGGAGCCGCCCGCAACTGCTGCAGCAGCCCCTGGAGCCGCCAGCAACTGCAGCGGCAGCCCCTGGAGTCGCCACTGCAACAGCCGCCCCTGGAGTCGCCCGCAACAACAGCAGCCGCCCCTGGAGCCGCTCGCCACTGCAGCAGCCGCCCCTGGAGTCGCCCGCCACAGCAGCAGCCGCCCCTGGAGCCGCCCGCCACTGCAGCAGCCGCCCCTGGAGCCGCCCGCCACTGCAGCGGCCGCCCCTGGAGTCGCCCGCCACTGCAGCAGCCGCCTCTGCAGCAGCCCACGACGCCGACCCTGCAGCTGCATGCGACGCCGCTCCTGGTCCCGGTGCAGCCGCCTCCTTTTCCTGTCACACGCAGTCTTGTTCTGTATGTGTCTTTTCTTGCCCACTCCGTGTACGTTCGTCTTGTTCGTGTATTTGTTCGTTTTGCCTGTGTTCGTTTGTTCTACCTACCTACCTACCTACCTGCGCCCTCGTGCCTTGTGCCTTGTGCCTTGTGCTTCGTGCCTCGTGCCTCGTGCATCGTGCGCCCTGCTCCGCGCTATTGCTCTGCACGCGCGGTTGCCCGCGCCCTCGTGCGCTCTACCCTACCTGCTCCGCGCTGTTGCTCTGCACGCGCGGTTGCCCGCGCCCTCGTGCGCTCTACCCTACCTGCTCCGCGCTGTTGCTCTGCACGCGCGGTTGCCCGCGCCCTCGTGCGCTAGCCTACTACCTACCTGCCTGTGCCTGTGCCTGTGCCTGTGCCTCTGCCTGTGCCTGTGCCTGTGCCTGTGCCTGCTCGTGCCTTGTGCCTCGAGCCTCGTGCCTACCTACCTACCTGCCTGTGCCTGTGCCTGTGCCTCTGCCTGTGCCTGTGCCTGTGCCTGTGCCTGTGCCTCGTGCCTCGTGCCCGCGCCCTCGTGCGCTCTGCTTCTGCCCGCGCCCTCGTGCGCACTGTTCTGCTCTGGCCCCCCCCCCCCCCCCCCCCCCCCCCCCCCACCACAAGGGGTGTGGGGGTGGCGGGTGTGGGGGTGCTCCATTTGCGTCGCCCCTTTCCTCCTCCTCCTCCTTCCTCGTCTCCCACTGCTGCAGCTGCCGCTGAGGGGGGTGGATGTGTGGGAGCCGAGGGTTTAGGGTTTCAGGAGTGAAGGGGGAGTGGAGCTAGGGGTGAAGCAGTGGGTGTGTGGGGGGTGTGTGGGACAGTTGGGGGAGGTTGAGCCGAGGCTGCCGTCTTGTCGTCTGCAGCACCTGAAGTCCGGGGCTCTGTCTCGATAGCGCAGAGCTTGTGCTGCACCAGTTATCTGAGTCAGCCGCCATGTGTCAGCCGCTCCTGTTGCCCGTGTGACTGCAGCTCCAAACGACGTCTCCTATCTTCTCTCCCCTCACAGTCTCTCCTCCTCCTCACTTGCCCGTTGTGACTACCACTAGCTTTGCTCATAGTTGTGAACTTTAAACTGTTGCTTCTTGAACTTGTGCTCAGAATGTGTGGTGACATTGTGATCCACCCTGAGCTTGTTCTACTTTGCTTGCTCTGCTGATTGCACCCCACTTTGGCTATGGGGGTGTGTCAGAATGTTACTTGTCTAGCCTGCAGTGGGGTACTCAACAGTGAGTACAACCCTTTAGGGTTTCCTACTTGTATCCCAACTCTTGCTAGTTCAATCATTCCCATTCTCACCATTCTCCTTCGCATACCCAAAACCCTAGTCCTAGGGCACATCCTACTACCTCTTAGTGTGGGCCTAGGCTACTAAGCCTAGGCCCCACTCCTATTGTTTCTAACAAAATCATGGCAAGCTTCATGCGGCATGTGAAGGCATACGTCAAATGGAAGGGCATGCAGCAACGAAGGACAAAGACAGCGAGTGGCAGGAATTGGGGGCACCTGGCTTTGGATGAGGCGAGGGCGTTGGGCAACCTGTTCGTAGGGGAGAAGGATATGACGTGGACAGAGAGCTTTCGTGGGATCTGGGAAGATCCGAGGGCACGCTTCAAACCGCCATAAAGGGGGTCTTGCTTCGTTTCTGTTCCACCTACTCAGATTACTCTACCTTCTCCCGTCCCTCACGTCACTCACGCTACTCACGCCCCAGACTATAGCTCATATTAAGGTAAGCTTTATTCTCTCTATTCTTAAGCTCATTCTAGTTGAGAGTGGGTCCTAGTTTAACTCATCATGGTTGAGAGTTTCGTTTTTTTAAAACTAGATCTAGACGTACATGTTAACCAGAAGATGATGTATCATCCTACCTTAGTGTTGTATCATCCTCTCTTTCATTCCGTTTTGTCTACGTGGATATTGTCACATTTGCATTATATATCATTTGCATTATAATGATACATGGTCTCTCTCACTCTCTCTCTCTCTCTCTCTCTCTCTCTCTCTCTCTCTCTCTCTCTCTCTCTCTCTCTCTCTCTCTCTCTTGTTCTCACTCTCTGGTTCTTCATTCTGTTGTGTGTATGTTGTTCTCTCTCTCTCTGGTTCTTTCATTCTGTTGTGTGTATCTTGTTCTCTCTCTCTGGTTCTTTCATTCTGTTGTGTGTATCTTGTTCTCTCTCTCTGGTTCTTTCATTCTGTTGTGTGTGTTCATCTTCTGATTCTCATCGCACCTTATTCGCACAGTTTCGTATTTAACCACTTGTTGTGTTGTGTGTGTTTGTCTTTTTCCGCTTTCCTAAATCACCGTTGTTAGTATGTTGTTCATTCTGGTTCATTCCATTCATTCATATGTTATATTTCATTTCTTTGACATCCCTTTTTTCTCTCTATCTCTCGTTCTCCCTCTCTCTCTCTCTCTCTCTCTCTCTCTCTCTCTCTCTCTCTCTCTCTCTCTCTCTCTCTCTCTCTCTCTCTCTCTCCCTCTCTCTCTCTCTCTCTCTCTCTCTCTCTCTCTCTCTCTCTCTCTCTCTCTCTCCCTCTCTCTCTGTCGTTCGCTCTCTCTCTCCATGTTTACTGCTTCAGTTTGCCGCTTCCATTTTCTGCTTTCGCGTTCTGCTTCCGTTTTATGCTTCCATTTTACGCTTCTGTTTTCTACTTTGTTTGATTTGCTCTATTTTCTCTTATGTTGACCCTACCTTGCCTTTACTTTTCTTCATCTGTAATTTTGTATCCTGATTATTCATGTTTAACAGTTTTCTATGATTTCCTTTTCTGTTCATCTTTTCTTTTTGTTCTCAGGAGCCTTGCTGACCAGAGAGACGAATCTAATCTGGAGAATTTGTAGTTGTCACTTATAGCATTTACCATATTACCATTTTTGATTTGTTTTGCATCGTTTATGTGTGATCGTGGGTTTCCGGCTTTTTTTGTTTATTGTTTTTTTTTTGTGCATGCGTTTGGTTGTTGTGAATGTGTTTGCTTATCTGAGTGTGCATTTATCCATCATTGCAATAACAATGCATGTCTGTGAGTTTTAAAAAGGTGAATCAGGTCTATCATTTCATTAGAAGGTTCATTGGCGCGCCTGTCGGGAGCCCACTTGAACTGGAGATGATAGAGTTGACCATCTTTTTAGAGTTCACAGATTGTGTTGTTTCATGTGACTGCTGATTGTTCAAGGATTATGCTATTAGCTCCCCCCCATGCTAGGCAGGGGATGCGATAGCATAGTTTTTGGATCGTTAGCTGTCACGCATTTATATCATATACTGGTATGCATGCATTTTAACATCCAACATTATGCATACTGAAGCATTTTTATCATCATCACATAATGCATTTATATCATTTGCATTATTATATTCAGTTGACCATGTATCATTATATTCAAGCAAGCATGTATTATTATATTCATTTAAGCATATGTGTACGATTCATAATATATTCATAGCAGTCACGTAATTACCACTAATCATCCAACATACAAAAATATGACGCAGTGCAGTCAGAACCATCACATCGTAATTGAATTAGATAAAACTTATGGTACACGTTTTGTAGCTAGCAACTAGTGCACCCAGTTTTTTTTCACATTTTATTATAAATAAATATAAAATGTGAAAAAAACAATCTGGCAAAATCGATCGTAAAGGGTTGCTTCGCAACCCAAAAACCTTGACCGAGTATAACCAAAAAGCGAATGAGCCCCTGCTACACCCCATGTGCCAGGGCGATTCGCTGGATACTCCAGAGTCGCAGGGATGCATGTGGTGTGACAGAATGAAACGATTGGTGCATAATCTCACCAATGAGACGTGAAGTTTCACTTGAACTAGCTGATGTGTGCAAATGCGGTCAAAATGAGTGGTGATGATTTCTGGTCAGGATGTCGAACCACAGCGTAGAAACCAATGGCTGTTACGAAACATGCGTGTGACGGGACAGTAAAGGTTTGGCAAAGTCGCACAGCGTCGCAGGAGCTGACAAACACGGGTCCCACATGCCTCGGGGTTTTTTTTCCTCGCTCAAGCTTACCGAACAGGGCTACTGTGGAAGCTTGCCGTACCGTGTCAGGGTGGATAATCGTTGGTAGCTTACGCAAGACCTCCCCCCAGTTTGCTCGTGCTGACCAAGGAAAAGGGTATCACTGGGTAGAAAAATCAATCGCCCCGTGAGGCAGAAGCCCTGCCCTGGGCAGGTGTGTGGCACCCCAGGTGGCAAACGTCAACCATTTGACGCAATCGCACAACCCGCCCCGCCCCACCTTCCGGCTTCTGACCTTGACCGGGGCAAACCGAGTCTAGTGGCAGCCCAGACCAACCAAACCGAACTGCACGGGCAAGCAGAACCAAGGCAGGTACGGATAGTGTGCTACGCTTGAACCGAACCAGACCCGAACCAAGGGGATCTTACCTGTCAAAAGGAGCGAGGTTAGGGAATGCGGGGCAACGACGGAGGCTTGGTTCAGCCACCCGTCGAACAACGTCCTTTTGTTCTTGGCTGCCTTTTTTCCGAGTTCTCCGCGATACTGGCGCTGTGTGTGAACCCCCATCCCATCCCTAGGCAGTGGCCGAGTCGGATAATCCATTTGTGGAACACTTGTCTCCTCACACGCAGGGCTTGCCGTGAAGCGAGCTGTCAACGAGCAAGCTTAGGATTCCACTCCCGCTCGCGATGGGGGTGTTTTGTTAGTCTTTGATCAGCCCAATAATTGCTCGCAACTGCGGTTAGCTTGGGGGTATCTTGGCTGGTGGTCTCTGATTTGTATTCGTTGTGCTTTCACCTGCGGCTGGGACAGTTTTCATTGTTTTGATTTGGTCCGACTTTTAGCAAGTCCAGCATCTGTGATTTGGTTTTGTTTTGCTAGCTGATCGGCCTCTCGCGTGGGCGTTCTTTTGGCCGAGTTCGGAGCCTGAGGCTTCTCAGGTTGCTATCGTCAGCTAGCGACAGTCGTAACAGGCGACAGTCGTTAATCGGCAACAAGCAGCAGCCCCGCCGAAGTCGTAACCACGCGAAAGCCGTTAACACGCGAGAAAGTCTTGCCGCGGGAGAGTCGGAACAAGGCGACAGTCGGCCCGCGCGCAAGTCGGAACAAGGCGACAGTCGGCCCGCGCGCAAGTCAGAACAAGGCGACAGTCGGCCCGCGCGCAAGTCGGAACAAGGCGACAGTCGGGCCGAGGATGGTATTCCGGGATCTGAATCCCGTGCTGCACTACTCCTCGCTGCTGCGCCTCGCGCTGCCCTCCATTCTCCTCCAGAGCGGCGCGCCGCTCGCCATCACCTTCCAGACCGCGCTGCTCGGCCGCAAGTCCACGGAGATCGTCGCCGCATGGGCCATCGTCGCAAGTGAGTCGCAGAACGTTGCAAAGCGTCGTCGACAGTAGGAGAGAGTCGCATAGAGGAAACTAGTTTTGGGCCTGGTTGTAGGTTATTGTCGAGCGGACGGATACAGTGGAAAGTGGGAGACTTTAGACGAGTCAGGGACGGGGACTGGGGTGGGTATGGAGGGGAGGGGTGGGTATGCGAGTGAGGAGCGCGCATTGATAAATGTCGAAACTCGTAGGCGTTTTGTTTCGTTCCGTTTCGAGTTGTGCGCTTGCCATCTGCGTGAGGGGCTGCGCGAGACGCACCGCACCGCATCCGCACGCGCACTCGGAGGCGCCCTCGCCTCGCAGGCAGTTTTCTTTGAGTCGACTCAAAGATCGACGCAGATTCTTTGGCTGGTGCTTGGTTGGCGGAAGTGCACGTCGGTGATACCTGGCTGTGTATTTCAAAGAAAAGTGTTGCGCGCTTCGCAGATGCTTCCCGACACGATCTTCGCCGTCGCTTTGACGCGCCGCGTAGCTTGCAACAGCAGCCTGCGGGAAGGAAATGCAAGGCGCACCGCGGTTTTTAGGATCGAACCTCGAGCCAACACGCTCTGGTTAAGGCGTCTCAGAACTTAAAGACTTTATTATCAGGCATAGAGTAAGCACGCTCCGTGATTCTTTTACTGTTGGATCCGTTTACGAATCGGAGGAGCAACCTGTTCCGCTTTCACGTGGTCGGGGCGATAGCTTGGAACTACATAGACATGGGAGGAAGAGGGGGAGAAGAGGAGAGAAAGAGAGACAGAGAGAGCGAGGATAAGAGAGAGTTATGGGGAATGGAGGGGATGGTTTCACCCGACTCACTGACTCTCCCTTCTCTCTACCCGCTGTTCCCACACCCCTCTTTTCCTTTGTGCCCTCTGTCTCGTCCTGCCGATCAACTGCCACGTGTCTCCTCCTGACTTCCCGCTGCCACGTCATCGGCGACAGCTGCTACGAATGCGGCAACAGTCGTCTTCAACTTCCTCGTCGTCGGCGTCACTGCCAAGGTAAGTCACGCACCATCTTATCTGCGATTCCATTATTTCCCTCCCCTTCCCTGCCCTCTTTCCGCCCCTTCTCTCCCTACCCCCTTCTCTCTGACGCATTTTGGCTTGCATTGGCTTGACGTACTGAACTCGCTTGGAACCTTCGGACCTTTTTGAACTCTCTTTTCAGTACACTCACTCTTTTCTCTTTCTCCTCCTCACTCCCTCCCCCCACACCTTCTCCTGCCTCCTCCCTTCCTTCCACCCATCATCATACTCCTCCCCTTCCCCTCCCTCCCACCCACAACCCCCCTCTCCCGCAAGTCACTAAGGTGGTGGCGGTGGGGGCACGGGCGCAGGTGTGTGCGCGCATCCGCCTGGCCTTGGGAATGGCGCTGGTGATGAGAATGGTGGCGGTGGCACTGCTGTTGGCGCTGCTTTCCCTTCTTCCCCTCAACTCATTCCGCCCACTCCCAACTGTATCCCTCTTCACACCCCCACATTTCTCCACCTTCCCCCACTTTCTCTCCTCCTGCCCCTTCCCCGCACGCTTCTTTCCCCGCAGGTCACTAAGGTGGTGGCGGTGGGGGCATGAGCGCAGGTGGGAGCGCGCAACCGCCTGGTGCTGGTGATGGGCATGGTAGCGGTGGGGTTGCTGGCGTTGCTTCCCCATTCTCACCCTTCCCCCTCAACCCACTCCCTCGTCTCCCTCCCTTACCCCTTTCACATACCCTCCCCCACCTCTTTCCCGCCTTTCCCCCACTTTCTCTCCTCCCGCACCCCCCCCACCCTCCTTCCCCCGCAGGTGACTAAGGTGGTGGCGGTGGGGGCATGGGCGCAGGTGGGCGCGCGCATCCGCCTGGCGTTGGGAATGGCGCTGGTGATGGGCATGGTGGCGGTGGGGCTACTCCTAGCGCTGCAGCAGCCGCTGTGGCTGCTGCTGGCGGATACTCCCAAGGTGCTGCCCTACGCGCGCAGCTACTTCTATCTGCGGGTCATTGGCGTGCCGCCCCAGCTGCTCGTCATGTGCACGTCCGGCATACTGCAAGGATACAAGGTACGGTCTAGTGCGGTTGAGAGCGGTTCTGGTGGGTGCTGTTGCTGGCGGATACTCCCAAAGGTGCTGCCCTACGCGCGCAGCTACTTTTATCTCAGAGTCATTGGTATGCCGCCCCAGCTGCTCGTCATGTGCACCTCGGGGATTCTCCAAGGGTACAAGGTACGGTTTAGTGCTGTGGAAAGGTATGAGGTGAGGTTTAGTGCGGTTTTGCTGGGTGCTGTTGCTGGCGGATACTCCCAAGGTGGTGCCCTACGCGTGCAGCTACTTCTACCTGCGGGTCATTGGTACGGTCTAGTGCGGTTGAGAGCGGTTCTGGTGGGTGCTGCTGCTGGCGGATACTCCCAAGGTGCTGCCGTACGCGCGGAGCGACTGCTGCCTGCGGGTCATTGGCGTGCCGGCCCAGCTGCTCGTCATGTGCACCTCGGGGATCCTGCAGGGCTACAAGGTACGGTTCAGAGCAGCGGAAAGAGTGGTTCTGAGATGTTTAGAGGGGTCTACAGAGATTCACTGTTCAGAGGGGTTTACTATACGTCCTCTCCTCCTACGTGGCCCTCTATGTGCTCGACTGGGGGCTTGTAGGTGTCGGTCTTGGCACCATCCTCCCATCTGATCTCACCCCCCACTGTCTCCTCCCCACTTCCCCTTCTCCCCCCTCTGACTTCCCCCTTCTCAGCGAGTGAACCTAGTGGCATGCCTGCAGGGCGGGAGAGTCTTACTAGACGTCTTTGCCTCCTACGTGGCCCTTTACATCCTTGACTGGGGTCTCGTCGGCGTGGGCCTCGGCACCATCCTCCATCTCATTTCATCCCCTTTTTGCCCCATCCCTCCCTTCCAGCGAGTGAACCTAGTGGCATGTCTACAAGGAGGCAGAGTCTTACTGGACGTCTTTGCCTCCTACGTGGCCCTATACGTTCTCGACTGGGGTCTCGTCGGCGTCGGCCTCGGCACCATCCTCGCCTCCTCCGCCGTCGCCGCCGCCGCTTTTGTCTGCATCCTGCTGCTGCCGCCCGCCGAGGGGCGGCACAAGATCCATATCTTCACGCCGCTGCTGAGCTCCCTGTCTGGCCGGGCGGCAGGGGGGAAACGCGGAGTGGGGTGCTGGAGTCCCAGGGGTCATGGGGTTGCTGGTGGTGGTGATGGGGAGGGAGAGGAGGCACTGCATGTGCCGTTGTTGGATGGGCACGTGGGGGAGAGGGGGGCAGGAGGAGGAGCGGGGGAGTTGACGGAGGAGGAGGAGAGGGTGAACGAGGTGTTGAATGAGAGCACGTGGAAGTTCATCTGGGATGGGCTTAGCACCATGCTGCGATCCGCGCTTGTGCAGGTATGGATTGGTGCGGTCAGGTGGAGTGCGGTGCAGTGCGGTACGGGTGCTTCCTTTTCTCTTAGTTTCACGAGTTGGCGGGGGAGGAAGAGAGGGTGAACGAGGTGTTGAATGAGAGCACATGGAAGTTCATCTGGGATGGGCTTAGTACCATGCTGCAATCGGCACTCATGCAGGTAAAGCACGGTGCAATGTGGTAGAGTGTGGTGTGCTGTGGTGCGGTAAAATACGGTCTATGCAGTGCAACATCCCCGGGCATGCACGAGTGGTAGTCCATCAAGTTCTAATGCATTGTGTTCATTGTGTTCCACCCTCCCCTTCCCCGTCCCTCCCAAACCCTCCTTCTGTCATTCTTCCTGGTGCTCGCCTGCGCGACCGCCCTGGGCATGCACGCAGTGGCAGCCCACCAGGTGCTCATGCAGCTGTGGATGATCAACATCTACATCGCAGACGGCTTCGCCACCGCCGGCACCATCGCCGCCAGCAGCATCTACGTCTCTCATGTTGCTTCCCTCCTTTCCCCTGTTGTCTTGCTCTGTGTTTTCCCCCCATTCCCCTCTCCCCTCTGTAAAACCCCCAGGCATCATTCTTCCTAGTCCTCGCATGTGCCACATCGCTAGGAATGCATGCAGTGGCAGCCCATCAAGTCCTCATGCAGCTGTGGATGATCAACATCTACATCGCAGACGGATTCGCCACCGCCGGCACCATCGTCGCCAGCAGCGTGGCGGGGCACTTAGCTAAGAGCCGCACGCCCGCAGAGCATGCGATCCACTTAAGGGACCTAAGAGAGGCCTGCTGGAGGGTGCTGAACATGGGGGCAGTGGCGGGCGTGGCGATAGCTGCAGTATACCTGGGGTGGCGGGAGCAGCTCATGGCTCTGTTCACGTTTGACGAGGGCACGAAGCAGGAACTGAGGGGCGCGTGGCTGTACCTTGCGCTCATTCAGCCGCTCAACTCCATTGTAAGACGATTGGGGGTGCATGTGGTGGTGATTCTTAGGGTTAAAAGTGGGTGGGTTGGGGTCACCCAAGGGACCTGAGAGAGGCCTGCTGGAGGGTGCTGAACATGGGGGCTGTGGCGGGTGTGGCGATAGCTCTGGTTTACCTGGGGTGGCGGGAGCAGCTTATGGCGCTCTTCACGTTTGATGAGGGCACCAAGCAGGAGTTGCGAGGCGCGTGGCTGTACCTGGCTCTCATCCAACCGCTCAACTCCATTGTAAGACGATTGCCGGTGCATGTGGTGGTGATTCTTAGGGTTAAATGTGGGTGGGTTGGGGCCACTTAAGGGACCTCGGAAGCCTGCTGGGAGGGTGCTCAACATGGGGGCGGTGGCGGGCGTGGCGATAGCCGCTGTGTATTTGGGTTGGCGGGAGCAGCTCATGGCGCTGTTTACATTTGATGAGGGCACCAAGCAGGAATTGAGAGGCGCGTGGCTGTACCTGGCTCTCATTCAGCCACTCAACTCCATTGTAAGCCACCTGCCCTGCATGTATTTCCCCTCCCCCCTCCCCCGTTTTGATTTGAACCGCTCACGGCCTGGGTAAGGTGAGTGGGTCTTGGGTCTGGGTGGCGATAGCTGCGGTGTACCTGGGGTGGCGGGAGCAGCTCATGGCTCTGTTCACGTTTGACGAAGGCACGAAGCAGGAACTGAGGGGCGCGTGGCTGTACCTGGCTCTCATCCAGCCGCTCAACTCCATTGTAGGGCGCTTAACATGCATGTGGTGGTGATGCTTCCCTGAATGCCTCAATGTGCCAGGGTAAAAAGGATGTGTTGGGGTTGTGGGAATGAGTCTGGGAACCTGTATGCCTCTGTATGCCTCAATGTTCAAGCTCAGAGGCGAGTGGCTGTACCTCGCTCTCATCCCGCTCAGCTCCATTGTAAGACGCTTTCCTTGAATGTGACGATGCCTGTGTTGCGCTTGCATGTACTGGGGCCCTTATTCGTTCTTGCCCCTCATTGTAGCCGTGGTTGTGTATAACAGGCTAACCCATGCCGCCCAGGCCTCTCTTTCATGGGTTGGGGATGGCACCTCAAGACATGCCTCCCTTCTCCTCCTTCAACCTCCTCCCGTCCCCACTCCTCCCTCTCACCCTCGTGTCTCCCTCCCGTCCTTCCCCCTGAACCCCCCCTCACTTTTTACCCCCCACCCTCTTCTCCCTTGACAGGTGTTTGTGTACGATGGGTTGATCTATGCAGCACAGGCCTTCTCCTACATGGCAGTCTTCCTCACCATCAGCTACCCTCCCCCCTTTTCCCCCTTGGTGCCCCTTCCCCTCCTCCTCTCCCCCAACAGGTGTTTGTGTACGATGGGTTGATCTATGCAGCGCAGGCCTTCTCCTACATGGCCGCCTTCCTCACTATTGGCTTCTTCGCCCTCTTCCTCCCGTGCATCGGTGCGTTCCCTCCCCTTTGCCGTGCCCATACTTGGGGGTCGTTCGTTATTCGTTCCCTTCGTGCATCATGGGTTAGCCCGTCAATGCTTATCCCATCTGTGGATTCACGTTTGGAGATTCCCAAAGTTTTTCCGCGTGTTTGTCAGCTGCCTGCATGTTTGTGTAACTGATTCTGATGGCTTGTCGTCTACGCGTCTCGGCACCCGACTCCCCACACCCCACGCCCCACACCCCACGCCCCACACCCCATGCCACACGCCCCACTCCCCATGCCCCATGCCCCACTCCCCACGCTTCGCGCCCCACTCCCCACGCCCCACCCCCTCCTCCCTTCCCTCCCGTTGTCATCTGCAACGATGAAACACTTTTCAGACACTGACTTTTGAGTCGACTCAAAAGTCACCTCGTTACCATGGCACACGACATCTTTTGAGTCGACTCAAAAGTCACCCCCTGCTCCCTCCCCTCCCATTGTCCTCTGCAACGATGAAACACTTTTTAGACACTGTTGGCAGCATGGGCCAAGGCCACCCATACATCCTCTCCACCCACTCTCCCCATCTCCCCCTCTTCCCATGCAGCGCTGGCATATTTCTATTTCAAGCTATTTTTTGAGTCGACTCAAAACTTAGACACTGTTGGCAGCATGGCCAAGACCATCCGTACATCCTCACCACCCACTCTCCCCATCTGCCCTTCTTCCCATGCAGCGCTGGCGCACTTCTATTTCAAGACATTGGTAGCAGCGTGGGGAGCCAAGGGAGTGCTGAATGCGGTGCGGTTCTTTGTGGCCGGCTACAAGATCCACTTCCACTTCCTCCGCCCCCGCCTTTCCATGCAGCGTTGGTGTGAAGAGCCAAGGCCATTCCTGCTTACTCACTTTTCCCCCCTTCCCCCTCTTCCTCCTTCCCCCTCTTCCTCCTTCCCTCCCTTCCTCCTTCCCCCTCTTCCTCCTTCCCCCTCTTCCTCCTTCCCCCTCTTCCTCCTTCCCCCTCCTCGCCTGCCTCCGTCCCCTGATCCTCTGCAGCGCTGGCCTACTTCTATTTCAAGACGTTGGTGGCAGCGTGGGGCGCCAAGGGAGTGCTGAACGCGGTGCGCTTCTTTGTGGCCGGCTACAAGATCCACTTCGACTTCCTCTGCCCAAAACCCAAATTTCCCCCCACAAACCCCATCACCGCTCACAACTCCTCCGCTTCTCCCGCTGCTGCTCCTGGAACCGTTTTGAACCGCGCAGCACCTCCTGCCTTATCTTCCTGGATTAATCCTCCCCAGGCTGCGTCCTCCTCTTCGTCTGTTAGTGCATTGAAATGGGTGGTGCCGGGTTATGTTGCTCCTCCGCATGTACACACCGGCCAGTCAGTCAACAGCAGCCTATGGGAAGGGTGTGAATGTGATTGTAACGGTGCCCGTGACTGTATGCGAGGGTGTGGAATTGGGCTCCAGAGTGTGGCTGAGGGAGAGGAGCCGTCTGCAGCGGCGCGTGAGGCTGTGGATGTTCTGTTGCGGCCGTGTTCCAATAAAGGGCAATTGCCGCCGTTCCCGGTGCTTAAAACGAAACAGGAGGAGCTAGTTAGTGTGACGCACATCAAGTTTTAACAAGCGATGGTGGTGGAGTTTGTTGATGGTAAAGTTTGGGTTTGGAAAGTGTGGAATTTTCTCGTCGGTGGTTTTAGTAGGTGCTCATTTCAGAGTCAGTACAATCAGCTGACCCTGGTAGTGCAACATATGTTAGGTGAGGTGTTGGTATGTTCAATTTAATGTATATATTGTAGTCCGAACCATGTGTACATGAAGCTTATAGGTCCCAAGCAGACTTTTGGTTAGGCACACCAGTAATTCATGAACCTTCATGTTTTACAACTTAGGACACAATCAAGGAGTCTTGTAAAACAGGATAACGAGATACGCTAGGCTCCCTCCCACACCCATCACCCATGCAAGGGCAGAACATTTCCCGCACGTTGCGGCACCCACCACTGCTCAACACTTTGCTGGTTGGTGTGCCCTACAGTGCGATTCCATTCCTATGTACGGAAGGGCACCCGTACCAGAAGAATCTTTCGTACTTGAAAGGATAGAATGCGGATTGGGATGACCACATCCTCCCCTCGTTTTGCAGGCTTGTGGAGTTGAAGTGCGATGTGACTAGTCATACCATACTGAAGTTGGCATGTAGACGTAAAATAATCGTCCATTTCATAGTTTGAATTAAACCTTTCATGGATGGATGGATTAGGGTGATTAGGCGTACAGCATGAGAAACACACTCCAAGCTTTCGTGATTGTTCATCCTCAGGAACACAATTATGGGAGGTTCCAGACGACGCACGGCACCAGCAAGCGACACGACACCGCGACGCGGTGTGGATTCAGTCATTTCAGCAGCAGCGGGAGCTGCGGAGCGCACACGTCGATAATTGTGGCTATGTATTTAAGTGGGTCCGCAGGACCTCACGGTCGCAACAATCGGCTTTTTTTTCCTCCACTGATCATTCAGCTATAGCCTCATCCCGCGCTGTGACTACCACCGCAACTAACCATGGCGTCTAAGGTGAACCTCGTCTTGGCGTCGAGCCGGATTACTCTCATCGCCAGTTTCATCGCCGCCTCTGTACTAATGCCTTCTGGGTAGGCTTCCAGACGCTTGAGAGAACCTTTTCAACGCCGCGCTGTCCCCTATGTTCGCAAGAACTGCGATGCGACATGAACGGTTCGGATCCGACAGCAGTTGTTGTTTCAGCCACCAGCATCAGCTTTTCCCAGCTGATTAATTAGCAATGGTTCAAAATTACTTCCTTGTCTCATGTGTCAGGTGCTGGGCTCAGAGCACCATGAGCACGACTGTCCACAGCGACTTTTTCGAAGGCGACGTGCGGATCGTCGTGGGGCCCAACCGTAACCAGATCCGCGTGCAGGTTCGTTCGCTCGCTCGTTCGCGCGCGTTCGTCCGATCGTTCGTTTGCTCGCGTTCGTTCGTTCATGTTCGTTCATTCGTGCTGCATTGCCATCCTCAAGCCCTGTTCACGACGTGTCTGCGTCCTGGCGTCCATCGTCCCTGCTTTCTGCCTATCTACGTGTAGCAGCCCACCCGATCCCGCGTTTTCTCACTGTTGCCCGTCGTGATCATTCCTACTGATGCAAAATGTTCGTTTGCAGCCGGACACGCCGGGCTGGGTTCAGTCGGTGACGCCCAAGAAGGAGTACATCGTGGAGACTTACCCTTTTCCGTCCAGTAAGTGACAGAGAACGAAAGGCCAAAAGTAAAGCACACACACGCACACACACATCCGCCAAAAAATCATAGAAAAAAGAGAACCGTTCTGTAGGATATTCTTTTTGTTCCACCTTCCTCTCCTCTCCCCATCACCGCTTCTTCCTGCCTTTCCTACCAAACTTAATCCGCGTGTTACTTTCCGCTTGCCTGCCGTTCGCATTCCTGCATGCAGACTTCTCCGCTCTCACGGACGTGAAGCACGTAATTATGACATTCGCCCCTTCCAACTGCTACCCCATCTGTGAGTGTGACGTGAACTCGCCATGTCCCCTGTTGAGAAATTTTAAATGGCTTCTCTCACGCACGTACGTCAGTATCACCTTCACCCATCAGCTGTCCCATCTGTGAATGTGAAGTGAACAATATGTGCATCAGGGTTTCGGGTTTAAGATTTCGGGTTTACCCATGCTATGTGGGCACTACATGCTATGTAGCATGCATGCAGTAGTCTGATGTGATGTCAGGAATACTGTTCTCCCAGCTAGAAACAATTCATGCCCCCATCTCTCACTTCTAGCCCTCACCTCTCCCTGCGGCGTCCTTACTTCAATCCCTACAACTTCTCACCCGACCACCCCATATTTTTTTACTCAATTTAACCATCCTCTTTCGTCCCTCTCCTCTTCCCTGCAGACAACACCACCACCGTAACCGCTGAACAAGCCATTCCCGCATACCTCGCGTCAGGCACGGACATCTGCCTCTCCTGCTACATCTACCTCACCTTCTCCTTCCTGGACGTCGACACGGCCAGCCAGATCGGCAGCGAATGCACTGAAACAGACAATGGGAAGCTTCGCGGTTACATCTGCTCCACGGACGAGGGTGCTGACGTCACAGTGGCGCAGGCGCTTGGGAGTCCGCCGGTGGTGAATGGCGGCGGGACGTCGGTGGGGTTTCTCTACACGGAGATGTTTGTGCGCCAGCCCGCTGGCTCCACCATGCGCCTCCCCTCCATCCGTGTCGATCCCCTGTGAGTAGCAATGGTTCCTCTGTATTCTGCGAGCCTCCGTGTTTGTTAGATTCGGTTGGTCTCAATAGAACCTTCTGGTCCTCTTCAAGTGTTGTATGTGCTCTGTATTAGTTGGCATTGTATGAATCAGAGTTTCTCTCTTGCTTTTCACACGTCTCTGTGTGTGTGCATGTGTGTACATGTGTGTGCATGGCTGCATGGTTGCATCACACCAGGGCCATAAAGGGAATCGGGTACATCATGGTGCCATCCAAGGGACCTACTCCTCTCCCTGGGGCTTTTGACGCCATGCCATACATTGCAGGCAACAACAGCAAGGTGAGGGGCCAGACAAGCCTGAAAGTGGAAAAGTTACGGTCTCCCGACCAAGAAGTTCTGCGGTGCTGTAATAATTCTGTTTATACCACAAGCAAACTATTTTACGAATCCACATCTGACGGCTTGATTTGTTTTGTCGCCTAATAAATCGCCATTTTCTGCACATCAAACTCTCTCACCTCACCCTTAACCTTGCAATCCTCCCCCATCCTTCCCGCCTCATCCACACCGACCAGGCTGTCGGCGTAGGTCTGGTGTTCCCAATAACCCTGATCACTCAGGCGGCTCTCGCAACCACCCCGTTCAGCAGCAACACAGTGCAGACAGTCACACCCACAGCCTTCCCTGCCCTCTCTATGAGTGCTCCTGCCAACCAGTCGCTCACTCTCAACGCCAGCATCGTATCCCCTGTGGCTCCCAATGCTACTGGCATCCCATACAACATCTCCTTCTACATCAGCAAGGATGCCACTGCGGTACGTGTCTTGCATGATTCTCCTGAAGGCATGTATCTTATAACCTTTTGGCCTGTGTGCAGTATGCGTTTTCCTTTTCCTTGGAGCTATTATGTCAGGTGGATACTGATATCTGCTGTTCTATGCGTTTTTCTGCTTTGATTTGCAGAGAATAAAGACATCCTGGATCATAATACCGTTCTCTCTGGTTGCTCTGCTGCTCGTCTTTTAGCCCCATGATGAGCGAATCACACACTCATGCAGAGTATGTTATGGAAGTGCATATGCAGTTTTAGGTCCTTGCAATAAGTCTGGCTCAAAAGCGGACATTGTAGGCTGGCAGGGAAGTTGAATCCATATGATTGTGATGATGAGCCGTGAATGAGATATGTAAATGAGCCGCTCTGACCTGCGCAACATTTCACCCCAACTAGTCACATTCGCGAGAGTTTGGAATATCTTGTTCAGAAAGCCTGCACAAATCCAAATGCTTCGCGCCCAAATGTTTCTCCATCGTCACAAGGTCCATGAGGGTGATCATGAGTGATTTTATTCTGAGCAGAGGGAACTGAGTCAGGTGAACTACCCTCCACAAGATTAGGGCGGGCGGACTTCGTTGGTTCAGCAAAAACGGTGGAGACAGATGCTGTGCATTTCAATGTGGTTGTCTTTCTCACCGCTTTAAACCGCGACACACCAGTCTGAACAGTGATGCGTGAAGTGAAAAGAACTGGGTCTGACCCGCCATGAGGAGGTACAATGCCAACCAACAGAGTTTGTTCGGAAACACACAAGTGGTTCACGAACATTCCCGTCTGACACGGCATCAAGGACAGAATCGAGGTGCGGCGGCGTGGCACCATCTCCCTAGATTTCTTCTCCTTGTGGCTATGCTCCGTTCCCTTCACTCACGGTGCATCCGTCCAGGATTTCCGGCTGAATGCGTGGACAGAACATCTTCCGCACGGCGCGGCACCACCGCTAGCCATGATATTGGTGGATCGTGTGCGCTACAGTGCGATGCGCTTAGTTTCTGACGACGTCGGGCACCCTCCTTACACCAACCAAACAGCCCAACCGTTAGGCGTGAGGCGTGAAATGATCTCAAGAGCTCACTGACTGGCTCCAGCCAGTGACACCGCGTGTTGTCCGCCTCACAGATGGCCGTTAGCTCATGAGGCGTTGGATCGTTTGATCGCATCGCACACGTCGAAATTCGTGGCTGACGCGTTACGAGTCACTATGAAACCGGGTCCGCTGCAGATCATTACAACCATCTGCTTCTTCCCTCCCACCAATCTTTGCTAGCCACATTTCGCACAGTGACTAGAAAGACAGTGGCTTCGGCTATGGCTTCGATGGCGAAGCTCGCGACGGCGTCGAGCCGCATTACTCTCCTCGTCGGTTTCATCGCCGCCTCTGCGCTGATGCCTTCTGGGTAGGCCTTTAGATGACTACTAAGAAACTTTTTCATATCTGCAATCTTCAAGCGATTCGACGTACCATGACTCATTCGACGATCGTAACCGCAGTTATCTTTCAGCGATCTAAAAGATCAGTCTCTTTCCACATTATTGATTCGCATGTAACAATTTCAAATACATTCCCTTATCTCATGTGTCAGGATCTGGGCTCAGAGCACCATGAGCACGAGTTTCTGGCTTTCCTACGTTTGCCTGCTGTCTGTTTTCGTTACATGTAACTCTCCTCTTTCAGGTGCTGGGCTCAGAGCACCATGAGCACGACGTTCCACAGTGATTTCCTCGAAGGCGACATCCGCGTCGTCGTGGGACCCAACCGAAACCAGATCCGCGTGCAGGTTCGATCGCTCGTCCCTTCGTTCGACGTGCGCTCTTTCGTTGTTCGTTCCTGTTCCTGTTCGTCTTCGTTCGCTCAAGCCCTGTTAGCAATGATGCACATACGTCCCGACGTCCAAACTTCCGGCTTAGAAGGCCTACCTACCTGCATGTATAACTCAGGGGTGCACGCGTTTTCGCCGTTTGGAGTCGTTCGTGATCGCCGCTACTGATGCAATTTTCTTCTGCAGACCAATATGCCGGACTGGGCTAAGGCGGTCACCCCCAAGAAGGAGTACATTGTGGAGACTTACCCTTTCCCGTCCAGTGAGTGACAGTAACAGGAAAAGTAGAAACCAAGAAAAGAATATGCTGTTCTCATAACTGGCAGCGCTGTGAATGTGGGTTCCAGTCAGTGGCATTGCCGCCTTACAGATTGTGATTCCCTCTTCATATCACCCTCCCCTCTCCTCACCAACCCCTCTTGCAACCTTCCCCCACCACGCCTTCAATTTCAGTCCGTTTTTTTTGCAATCTCATTCTGTTTCTCATTCTTGTTCTCCGCGTGCCTGCTTTCGCCTGTCTGCATGCAGACTTCTCCTCTCTCACGGACGTGAAGCACGCCATTTTGACCTTCGCCCCTTCCAACTGCTACCCCATCTGTGAGTGTGAAGTGAAGACCCCATCTCATTCCATCGTATGCAATTTTCAACAATTCTTATGCCGTGTGTGTACTTGATTGTGTCTGCGACTGAACTCTCATCAAGAGTCTAACCATAATTGTCTCTCTCAGTTCTCGCACCTGCCTCACTCGCTACACCCAAGCTTCAATCCAGAAGCCCTCTCGCCCTCTTTCCGTCTCTCCCACTCCTCCGCTGTCCTACAGACAGCCTTTATTTTGCTTGTTCGTTTTTTTTTTTTATTGTTCATCTCAATACTTCCCTCTCTCGCATCCTCCCACTCTGCAGACAACGGCACCAAAGTGACGGCAGCGCAGGCCATTCCCGCATATCTTGCATCAGGCCCCGATTTCTGCCTCTCCTGCTACGTCTACCTCACCTTCTCCCTCCTCGACGTTGACACTGCGAGTCAAATCGGCAGCGAGTGCACGGAGACAGACAATGGGAAGCTTCGCGGTTACATCTGCTCCACGGATGAGGGTGCTGACGTCACAGTGGCGCAGGCGCTTGGGAGTCCGCCGGTGGTGAATGGCGGCGGGACGTCGGTGGGGTTTCTCTACACGGAGATGTTTGTGCGCCAGCCCGCTGGCTCCACCATGCGCATTCCGTCCATCCGTGTGGATCCCCTGTGAGTAGCAATGGTTGCCCTCTTTTCGTCGGCGTCTGTGTGTTGACCTGCTGTTCGTATCTAAAAGGCTTTTCAATTCTATGCGCCTTTGTCGTACTTGGTGATGTCAACAGTGCTCTCTGGTTCCTGCTGTAACGTTCTTTGTGTGATGTGACGTTCCCCTCATACTTCCACGTGTGCATGTGTGGATGGTTGAATGGTTGAATGGTTGAATGGCTGCATGACTGCTATCCCACCAGGGCCATGAAGGGAATTGGGTACATCATGGTGCCATCCAAGGGTCCCTCTCCTCTCCCTGGGACTTTTGACGCCATGCCATACATTGCAGGCAATGACAGCAAGGTGAGGGACACTCGACAGCTCAATGCGAGCATCTCGCTTAGCAGCAACTTGCATTTAGTGCAAAAGCAGCGTTGAGAATCTTGCAGGCTCAATGCGAGCAACTCTGCAGCAAAAGGCTGTCAAGGCAAAAGAAGCACTAAGATTTTAGTGCACTTCTCTCCGCCTGCTCTATTACCTGTCATTTTCGCTCATCCAGTCCCCTCAAGTACACTCAATAACCCGCACGCCCGCATTACCTGTGCCCGCATTCCCCCCATGCCCTCCAGTCCGTCGGCGTTGGTCTAGTGTTTTCAGTTACCCTGATGACTCAGGCATCGCTCGCAACCACCCCGTTCAGCAGCAACACAGTGCAGACAGTGAACCCCACCGCCTTCCCTGTGCTCTCCATGAGTGCTCCTGCCAACCAGTCGCTCACTCTCAACGCCAGCATCATCCCCCCCGCTGCCATCGGTGCTGCTGCTGGTGCTGCTCCCTCCTCGTACAACATTTCCCTCTACATCAGCAAGGACCCGCTCCCGGTACGTCTCACTCTCAAGGTGAGTATTAAGTCGACTCATAAGTCACCTTGCTGCTGGTGTTGCTTCTTCTTCGTACAACATCTCCCTCCACATCAGCAAGGACCCACTCCCAGTATGTCTCTCTCTCAAGGTGACTCGAGTTGAGTTTTGAGGCGCCTCAAAACTCAACTCAATGCTGCTTGTGCTGCTCCCTCGTACAACATCTCCCTCTACATCAGCAAGGACCCACTCCCGGTATGCGTTTCTTGAAAATTACCCGGATATCAAGTTTGTGCTTGCGTTATTAGTCTTATTTCATCTATTTTTTTCGTAAATATGTTGTTGTTGTTGTTTCTGTTTTTTTTTTTCCGCTCGTAGGTTCGTGCTGACCTGTTGTAGTTCTCGTGCGCTTTTCTGCTTGTGTGTGTGCAGAAATCCACTGCCCGGGCTGCTGCTGGCTGGGGTGTAACCCTGATGTCGGTGATGTTCGCTCTCCTCACCCTCCTGCCTGCCATGTAATCTGATCTGATGGCTGAAGATGCTCATGCAGAAAGATGCTCATACAGAACAATGCCGATGCAGAACGATGTTTATGCAGGATGAGAGAGGTCTAATGTGATATTTCTTCATATCAAAACTCTATTTTCATTTCTGGATTTTCTGGTCAGGCAGGATAATGCTCAGGGTCATGTGTAATCGCCCATGCACAGTGATGTTAAAATATTTAGGAAAAGTACATTCCAGCTCCATACCGTCATCGCCCGGATATAAGACAGTGTTGAATAGTAGACAGGGGGTGTCTACAATACGGGTGTCTCTTATAAACGGGATAGCCTTTTTATACGACACCTATGTGTGTGTACGAGATAAGACATACATGTCTTATAATCAGAACCGGGGTTTAGGGGTTTTCTTATAAAGAGGGGGTGTCTTCTAAACGAACCTTTCTTACTTTAGGGGGGTACATCCATACATGCATGAATCTCTACTTCTACCTAACCCCCCTCGGTCACTGCCTCCTCTGGGGCACTAGCTACAGGCTCCACACTCAGGTCTGGCACTCGCCAGGCATGCCTAGCCGTCTCCCTAGGCTCGATCATGCGGTCAGCCTCGGCCGCCGCTCCGCGGTAGTTGGGGGTCTCCTGGTACAGCACCTCCAGGCCAGTTGCCACGGCCACCTCCCGCACGCCCTCCGCCTGCATCGCCTCCTCCTCCTCCTCCTCCTCCTCCTCCTCCTCCTCCTCCTCCTCCTCCTCCTCCTCCTCCTCCTCCTCCTCCTCCTCCTCCTCCTCCTCCTCCTCCTCCTCGTCCTCCTCCTCCTCCTCCTCCTCCTCCTCCTCCTCCTCCTCCTCTTCCTCTGGAGCCTTCCCAAGCAGGCGCGTGTTGTCGCCTGTGGTCCCCCCGAGGGACATGTCCTCGGAGACATCGGTGGTGCTCCTGGCGCGCAGGTGAGACATCACCAGGTGATTCTCCGTTCCGTCCAGCTTGCTGGAGATGCCACAGTGGCGGAACGCGTCGATGATGATCTGCCTGGGGACTTGATCCCAAGCCTCCGCGATCCACTGCAGCACCACGGGGTGCGGAGGCCTCCGCAAGTTCCCTGGCGGGTGGGACAGAGGACACACCGGCGAGATGTTAAAGACAAGGACACGGCACAGAACAGGAATTCGAAATGAACCGCCAACTCACCCTTCTTCGTCTTCAGGTGGATCCCTTCTCGCATGAACCACCGAGCGTAGCGCGCTCGCACGGCAGCCTTGAAGCACCGGTTGATGGAGACGTCCAGGGGTTGAATCTGGCTCGTACAACCCGCTGGAATGACGGCACGGGTGATGCTGTGCGTGCGGTACGACTTAAGCACGGTCTGGGTGATGTGGCCGCGGTAGGAGTCCAACACCAGCATCGCACGCCTTGCGCTCTTGCCGCGCTCCGGGTTCAGATGGGGCAGCACCTCCTTGGACAGCCAGGTCTGCACAGCGCTCTCGTCCATCCACCCGTTGTCCTGTGCTTGGACCACGATTCCTGCCAGGCACACAAGGGACAGTAGGGCATCAGCACACGGCAAGGGCAAGGTAGAATTCACGGCGCTTACCGTCCGGAATCTCACAGTTGGGGACGTTCTTCATCTTGAACCACACCCACGGCCGCAGCTTATCCCCGGATGCGGTGCACGCTAGCATCACCGTCAACCGCGTCTTCTGGTAGCCTGCAGTGCGGATTGGGACCGAGCGCGCGCCACGGTGCTCGATCGTCCTCTCGGCCGGCATCTCCACGAACAGTGGCGTCTGGTCCGCGTTGATGATACGGGTGAGGTCGATGTTGTGGCGTGCGCGGTTGATGCGGACGAACTTCCAGAAGGACTCGCAGTCCTTCGCGCACTCTGCAAACGGGACAGAAACAGAAGCATGGAGGGGCGGTTAGACACCGAGCAAGGTAAAACAAGGGGACGTGCGCTGCACGAACTCCTTATCCACGCACCTGCCGACAGACGTTGTCCGACCTTCGTTTTCACCCGCATCACCAGGTTCCAGCGGTCACGGAAACGCTGGCTCCAGTGAGAGCTCGCGTTCCAGTTTTTGCCGGGGTGATGCTTCTTCATCCACTCGCGGCTCCACTTCTGGGTGTCCTTCACCAAGATGGCCACCCCGTTAGCACGTTGAAGGCAGATGTAGCGGTACAACGCTGCCTCCATGTCGGGGTAGTGTGCGTGGCGCCCCCCCCCCGTGCATCCGCTTGCGGCAGTTAGCCGCGCCCTTGTAGATGCCCGCAGCCGCTTCCGCGCTCCAACGTCTGATGCAGGCGACGCTCGCGGTGGACTCCACGCTTGTTTTCTTCAGGGAGCCCAGCTCCTTATAGCGGCGCGCCCACTTGAGCTTCTCACGCACGGTCCAGCCGCGACGCTTCTTCGTGGTGTCTTTGCTGCGAGGGGAAGGTGGGCGGGTGTTGGGATTAGAGAGGGTGGGGTCCTTCGGCGCCTCCTTTTCAGGGAACGTGGGAATCGGGCCCGCCGCCGCCACGTACTCATCGTCGCTGCCCAACGCTTCGTTGCCGATGATGTCGTCAGGATTGGGTGCCTTCTTCGCCTTTTTCCTAGCCGCGCCCTTGCTGGATCCAGGGTCACCGTCGTCCTTGCGCTTCTTGTTGCTTGTGCGGCGACGAGCAGGGGCCTTTGCAGGGGCCTTAGCAGGGGACTTAGCAGGGGCTTCCACGACCTTTGCCTTTCCTTTATCCGCAGCGGTGAGAAGGGGGCGACGCTCCTCCCCGGCACTGTCGTCGTCCGAAAGCACCATGCGAGCGCGCTTCGTCGTGGACTGCAGGCGATGGCGCAGCCTCCGCTTCAGTAGCGGCACGTCGTCGTCCGAAGCAAGGCTCCAGGGGTCGTCGTCGGTGCCCTCGCCGTCAAATAAGACGGCATCCCCAGCCACCTTGTCCGCCTCCGCCACCGCGTCGGCATCCGCAGGCGCCGCTGTCTCGCGTTCCGCCTCGGCCTCGTCGGCTGCCTCCGCCGCTTCCTGTGCCTCCGCGTGTTCACCGCCATCATCTTCATCTCCGTCGTTGTCGGAATCACCAGCCGCCACTCTTCCACCTCGTCGTCGCTCCCGACCGGCTGATTCCACCATTCGTCTTCCTCAATGTCGGCCGGACCTAATTCGTCGCCCGAAGCGCTGTCGTCGTGGCCGTTCTCCGGCCAATCCTCCTCCGCGTCGTCGCCATGTGCTTCGTCTCCGTCGTCCCCGTCACAGCTCGCACCGGTGGCGGCGGTAGGACTTCCCGCCTTGCTCGCGTTCTTCGTCATGGCTACGCGGATGTCATCGCCGGGCGAGTTAATTCGCCCGTAGTTATTCACCTGGACGTGAGGACGAGGTGAGGACTTGCCTAGGGGTACCTTGCTGCGCATGGTTAGAGACCCTACCGAGAGCAAGGTTGAGGTGAGAACTCAACCACCATGAGCACCAAACGAAGTGAAAGCCCGACTACCCCCCCTGCCAGAGTGCCCCATCCAGAGGTGCCGAGCCGCTCCTCTACGAGCATGTCCTCGTAGAGGACAGCCCTGTTGCTGCCAACGTGCTGGTGGCAGCCTTCTGGAAGCTGCCATGCGCTGCTGGCAGCAAAACGACGCTGGCAGCATCATTAGATGCTGCCAGCACAGAGGAATCTTGCCAGCGGGGGCAGCTTTGCTGCATCCCTCACGTGGCAAGTGTGGGCGGTGCATGCATGGCCACCGAGGGCGGCCTGTTTCAATGAATCTGGTCCCTGGGTGTTTTCTACACACTTTGCAAGTGTTACAATCAACTTATTTTTTTTTCCATTTATAAGATTTATAAGACACCCTAAACCATCCCGTTTACAAGATACAGCAAGCATTTTTGCCCGTGTACGAGATAAGACATATATGTCTTATATCCGGGCGATGACGGTAGTTTTAGAAATCTCTCAAATTTAGTCCCAAGCTTACTCAAAGAGTACAGCTTTATGGAATTTTGCCCAAGCGAGGCCCTCATTATGTTCAAAACTGGTCCTGCGGGGCTAAATTTTCGACATGCGTCCATTTCTGCACTGGGCATTTTTTGACGGGGCAAAAAACATAAAAACCCCTAGGGTACCCGGGACACATTTTCGGGAGGGATCAACCCTAAACACGGGGACCCGCCAAGTGTTTAGGGTTGATCCATCCCGTAAATGTGTCCCGGTTCCCAAGGGGTTTCATGTTTTTTTGTCCCCGTAAAAAAATATCCAATGCGGAAATGGACACGTGTCGAAAAGTTTGCCCTGCAGGACCAATTTTGAACATACCGTTTGGGCCTCGCGTGAGCGAAATTCAAATGAGCTATACCTTTTGAGTAAACTTTGGGCTAAACTTGAGAGACTTTTAAAACTCAGGAGCTGGCATGTGCTTTCCCTAATATTTTTTTTGGCAGAAGTTGTCTTGTCTAGTCTAGTAGTTGTGCCCTGGAGCATGACACGAGACCAGAGCGATCAAGGGGGAGCAGTGGAAGGAGTGTACTTGCTGGCATTGGTTGTTGCTGACACCCTGTCCTGTGCCAGATGTTTGAGATGTTCCAGGATGGCGCAGGCAACAAATGGATTTCCGTGCATTCGTTGGTGCATCGTTTAGACACAGTCCAGGACCCCATCAGCTAAGCAGCGCAAATCAGATGATTGACCGGGGATGACTTCTTGGTGGGTGACTCACAGCTGAGCTAAAGCAGCGCAGGTCACATGACTGACGAGATAATTCATTGGAGGATGACGCAGATTTGGAGCAATTGTTTGCGTGCGTTGCACACGTCCAAGTCCGACCGGAAATCGTCATTAGAAAGTTTGTGAGGGAGCCCCGAACAGGGCTCAAGGCAAATCGAGTTTCCAGGAGCACCGGGGGGTGCTCTGGAAATGATTGTGTACTGTGGGTGCTCACCTGTGCGGCTAGGTTGGGGTGTTTAGGTGGGGGGGTGGCCGAAACTCGCGTGTAACGACACGGAGTTGGGTGGCCTGGGGGTGGGTGGATCGTCCGGTTCAGGGACGTGGCTGTATGCGAACATTTTGCGTACGTGGTTTTAAAAGGTTTTAAAGGTTTTTATTAGGTCGTGACCTGTTACAAACATGCAGCATAGATGAGGATACGAGCAGAGCCTAGCTCCCCGTAGGAAGCACGTGTGAACACGTCATCGCTCGTTTCTTCTTGGAGCCTCTGGAGTACCGCCACATGAGGATTTTGTAGGCTAACAGGAAGTAGTGTAGAACTTGAAACAGAACCCATCTGCGGTTTTGGTGACTGCCTGCCTATAACGGAAACTGCACCGAGCATTCCAAATGGTTTAAGCTGCAGCACCTACGAGCAGGCTCCACGGGGCCCCTTGTCCAGCTTCAGACGAGAGCGGGAAGAGAGTCAACTCTGGAGCTGTGGTGACGCCCAAATGACATTGAGCGGTGCGTTGTAGCGCCTTGATGATTGGCTTGGCCACTTCACACTCGAAGAAGAGATGCGGAAGAGTTTCGAGCTTGCCGCTGGAGCACCCTGCACATGCGCCTTTGTCACGGGCGAAGCTGAATCTGGAGCCAGACGGCAGCGCGAGTGCATAGAGATGAAACAGCACGTCTCGCTGCGACGATGGTTGCTCGGAGAGGAAGGCGTGTTTGAGATCTGGTAGAAGCGCCGGGCCGGGGGTAGGTAGCCCAACGATATGGATGGGAGAGTTCTTGTTGAGAGTATAGCAGCCCCCAAATGATCGCCAGAGGCGGCATGCCATCGCCGAGTAATAAAAATCAGGCCACCAGGCCTGCCCATGAGCAGACGGAGCCACCTAGCCATCTGTCGAACACGTGAACAGGGGCTATGTCGTGAGGTGAGAGGAGCCGTCGCTCCACTGCGTCTTTTGCAATCCGCCCTGTGGGATCCACATCAAAGACGTTAGCGTAAAAATTGCCGTCAGGCAGCTTGACGTCCACCTCAAAGACAGATCTGGGTGGGGCATGCATGTCGGCGGCGAGCAGCACCCAATCTCCTGTATATAGGGGCACAAGACTGTGGGAGGAAGCAAGGGCAGCCCACCATTCGTCAGGTATAGCTTCGTAGATTTCCTTGAGGATCCTGCGGCTGCACGGGTATTGGCGGGGGGGGGGGGGGGGGGGGGGGGGGGGTATTTGGCCATGACCTCTCCATCTGTGAGACGGCGCGCGCCGGTGGTGTCACGGCATACGATGTGTCCGATCCGCACTTCTTCCGTGAGCAGGAATGTTTCTTCTTTGATGCGACCAAACGGCCGGCCATCCGACTTGAGAATGAAGCGATTGAAAGGAACTGGTTCTGCCAGAATGCACCAAAATTCCTGCCTGGGGGGGGTGACTTTGAGGGGAATCTCTAGCAGGCATTTAATCTCTGCCTGGTATCGGAGTGGGATGGCAGGGGATAATGCTGGAATGAAATTAGCGTGCAACAGAAAGGCATGGAGGCCGAAAGGAACTGGAACACAAGATCTTGCAACAGAGGCGCCAGGCAGGTGTGAAAAGCGGCGCAGAGCTCGTTGGATGTTGAGCGCCTTGATTTGTGTGGAGGGTCGAATGGCTCCTAGCCCACCGTGTTCGGGCTTGTTGTAGATGACCACATGGGTGAGGAGGCGTGTGGTGCGACCTGCCGACTTAAACTTGGAAGCTGACAGGAAGTCCCCTAATGTGTCATCCAAGGATTTGGTAGTGGGGGAGGGGGGAGGTTGGAAGCGACCAGGGAAAGAGAGGGTCAAATTGAGATTTTCAGAAGCTAGAAGTTTCCTGCAGGTGGACGAGGCATGGAGGTGGGACAGGAAGTTAGCCGAACGTTTGAATTTAGCAAGCGCGTGGCTCCAGGTCATGTCTGTCGAGCCGGAGCTACCCACGAAGATGCCAAAGATCCTCTCGAAGTCTGCTGCTTGTCGTATGGGAATGTCACCTGCTGTTGTGATGTGTGCCAGGTTGACATTGAAGGGGATTAGAGAGCATTTGGCCCAATTCGGGTGCTCCCCAGAGATCGCTGCGAAGTAAAGAAGAGCGTGCGAAGCAATGCGGAGTTCTTCGTCCGAATTGAGAAAAATCGTTACATCGTCAGCGTAGCAGGCCATCAATCTTCTCTGCGTGGGGGAGATTGGGAAGCCTGGGAGGAAGCAGGCGGTGTAACGGTGAAAGACTTCGATGACGCAAAGAAAAAGGAGAGGATCTAGCGGACATCCCTATCGTACCCCAGTCATGACGGTAATGGGGGGGCCACAGAGGTTATTTACAGAAATGCACGTGGTGGTTCCCGATTGCATTATCTTGACCCACTGGATAAAGGGGGCAGGTAGACCAAGGTGAGCAAGGCAGGAAAATAGAAAGTTTCTATCAACCAGATCATAAGCCTTTCGTATGTCCACGGTGAGAGCCAGCAGTGGTAGTGACTGTGCCGTAGCCCAGTCAAAGATATCCAGTGTATCATTAAGAGTATCTCCAATCTTCCGGGTTTTGATGAAGGCGGTCTGGGAGTGATGGGTGAGTGTGGGGAGGAGGGGTTGTAGCCAGTTAGCCAAACATATAGCCAGAATTTTGTAATCAGAGTTCATTAGCGTGATAGGCCGAAGGTTGTCAACCTTAGAGGCATCGCTTTTCTTGGGAATGAGCACCGTCCGCTCCTGTAACATAGGCGGGGGAAGCTGGTTATGGGAGCTGGATAGCAGGGAATGCAAGGCAGGGGCCAACTGGGCACGGAAGGTACGAAACAAATCTCATGGCAAGCCGTCGGGCCCGGGGGTCTTGCCTTTAGGAAGAGATGAAATCGCCTTGGAGACTTCGACAAGGGAGAGAGGAAGTGAGAGACGGGAGAAAGCGGTAGGCGGGATATGAGAGGTAGGGATGTGCGACCAAAAGGAGGGGTCAGTTGAGACCCTTTGGGAGCCACTGTAGAGAGTTCAAAAAAAATTTGTGCAGAGCGAGGACAATCCTGGAAGGTCGGAAATGAGTTCTCCTGACGCGGAGTGCAAAGCAGGAATCAGAGAAGCTTTGATTATGCTATTAACTCCCACCAGCAGAGATGACACACCCATCTCTCGCGGGCCCTCGACCTTAAGTTTGGCCTTCAGCACGAGTTTCGCCGAGCGGCTGGCTTCGTACCTTTCAAATTGCAAGGACGCGATCCGCAGGCGTTCTTTGGCTTCAAGATCCGTGGGGTTAACTGCAAGATGAATACGGAGTTGGCATGTGAGATTCTGGACATGAGCGGTAGTTTTCCGAATCCGGATCTTTTCTTGGCCGGTGAAGGTTTTGAGCTGTCTGCAGAGAGCATTTTTCCAATTGTCCCATTCAACTGCCAAAGGGGATGAAGGTAGGGATCGGCAAGCGGAGACAACCAGATGTGACAGCTGAGGACGTTTAAGAATGCAATGTGGCAGGCGCCAGGGGCGGGGGGCTATGTTGGGGCTATCACACTGCAAGGTACAATAGGGAGAAAGGTCATGATCTGAGACATCTTTGGAGACAGAGATATACCCAGCATCCAGCATGCGCGCGGCTAGGGGGGCAGAAATATAGATTCTGTCCAGGCGAGAAGCAGTTGGAGGCGCTGCATCGGGATCGTTTCTGGGGATAGCGAAGAAGGAAAACATAATGGCTGTGGGGAACATTTTTCGAATCGACTAGCTGGTGGTTGTCGAGAATGGTGGAGAGGATTGCTCCTTCCGACACCTCCGATCTTCTGGGGCGCAGACTGCATTAAAATCCCCAGCTAGGATGGTACCTACTGACGCTGCCTGAGAGTCTAGGCCAGGCGCGAAAATGGCACGCCACCACTATCTTCGAAGGGTGACAGTGCTTGGGGCATATGCTGCGATGATACGAAATTGCTCCTGCAGGAAATTTACGTGAGTCGTGAGGAGTCGTCCGTCAGGAGATGGCTCGATAGAGGAGATGCTTATATTCTTGTTAAAGATTAGAATAGCAATACCACCAGGTTTGGTACGGTTAGTGAAAGGGGGAGGACATTGAACATATGAGACTGGTTTGAAATATAAAATGAGTCGAGGGAAATTGAGAGTAAGGCGTGTATCGATAAGGATAAGGATGTCTGTTTTTCGCTCACATTTAGACAGCCAGGATCAGAGGTCGTACATTTTTTTTTGCTTATTGATACCATTAACGTTGATGCAACTAATGGTGAGGGGGACTAACATTTAAGACCTGAATGGTCCCCCACATGCTGTTGCATGTGCATCGACGGGGCAAGGAAAAGGTTGACAGTACGAAACACTGCGCAGGCAATGAGCCTTACCAGTGCGTATTGATTCTTTTGCGAGGTGTACAGCAAAAAGGCATGGCAAAAGAGTGAGCTATGAAGCATAGTCAGCATCTGGAAGGCTATGATTAACCGGCTGAGATCCCGGCAAGAGGCTACATCTACTGCAGGAAGGCAGAGATGCGCTGGTGCTGCAGCAGTGTGGAGACCCTCCAGGCCCCATACTTGTCTTTGACCGCCGGCAAGTGTGCGGATTCCTGCAGGCGCTTGCGGTGGAGCTCGGAGTGGAGATGGTACATCGCGCTGTCCAGCGCAAGGCCACAGACGAAGTCGCACATTGAGCAAGTCCAGGTTTCCACATCCAGATCTACCCCAATCAGGAGCAGACCAGGATCCTTTTTTAAAGCTGCCGGGGCTGGATGTTGTCCAATCAAGCTGCCTGTATCGGAAGGACCAAAGGAGTGGGGAATTGAAACAGAGAGAGTACATGATAGCAGCGGGCCATGGCCGAGAAATAAATAGGAGAGGGTTAAGTAAGATGCTGGCAAAGAAGCGTTGGGTAGAAGCAACAATGACGAAAGTTAGCAGTAAAGTTGGAGAGGGAACGAATAAGGATAACCAAAGATGTGGAATGAGCGAGCAGGGCCAGTAGCCAAATCTCATACCATTAACAGTTTGCAGTTGAGCCACCGAGATGGTGTGGCGGTTGGGGAGTCGCGCACGACGAGTCAGGGCGAAGCAAGCGTGGTCAGCCACGCGGTGGTTGCTGGAGCAGACGATACATGAGTGCGACGAGATGTTGAGAAGCACCGGATCCTCCTGGCCCGGAAGCCAGAGGACCGCGGGGATGCGATCGAAGCTAGCGTCGCCATCCGCCGCCACGGGGAGGCCGAGCAGCTGAGAGTATGCGGAATCATCGTACGGGTCCTTGAGGCGGTGAAACAGCTGAAGGTCAGACAGCCAGGGCAGTCCTGCTTCAGTCCTGCCTGCCAGGAGGGTGCTACGTATGCGCTCAGGGGAATACCCCAGCGGCACGTTACGGAGAACCACGTGAGTGTCGCCCCTAGCGCGGGCCATCGTGAAATCCAGATTGGGGTCGTTAAAGACTTTCACCTCTATCGAACGATTGTTAGGAAGACGCACCGTAATCGGGAAAATGGAACGAAAGATTCTGGCGTCGTTCGCTGAGGGCCAAGAATAAGAGTGCCTGGAATAGGTGCGGCGGGGATGCCGCAGGGCCTCACTAGCAGCCGATTCGAACGAGGGGATTACACCGTTGAAGGCTTGGCCGTTGATGAGGACTGAGATACGCGCGAGAACCGCGGCGCGGGCCTCCTCCACGGAGGACTCCGGGAAGATCACATCCACCATCGACTGCGTGTTCCGCGTCAGCGCGTGAAGCACCGCTCCGACCGTCGTTCGGTGGCGACTCAGGTTCCGATAGCGAGCGTTGGGAGCCAGGCTGGTGGTCGCACCATTTGCCGCGTGATCGGGTTCGGGATCCAGCTGCGCGGGCGGAGAGCGAGAAGCAGGCGCCGGGCAAGGCGCAGAGGGAGCCTGCGTGCGGCCAGATTCAGGAGCCGTGGCATCGGAGCTACTGGAAGGGCTCGCGCGGGGGATCGGAGGAGGAGCCGAGAGTGACGCGGAAGCGACCCCAGAGGGACCAGCGGCCGAGGATTGCCCCTCGCCACACAACTTTTTCGCCGCCGGTTCTTCCGACGGAATCGGTTGAGCACCGACAGGAGCAGGAAGCGCGACAAAAAAAAAAAAAAGAAGCTCTCCACTTCCCTGCTGCTACTCGTCCTCGTTTACACCAGCCTTTGCTTCCTTTCTACACCATTGAATCGCCACGATGACATCGCGTTTTGTGGTGGAATCTCTCTACGTGCCGATCTTCTAAAAGGTAAGCAAAGTTTCGTGAATTATAACGAGTGTCTTGTGCGCAGGTTCTTGGTCCTTCGACTTCCCCACTGGCTTCTCTACTCCAACATTCTGGGAAATGTGAGTTGGTTTCACACAGTGTCTGTTGGCGAAGCAGACTTCGCAGTCGGGGGCGCGCAGAAGACGACCTCGACCAGTCCGCAGAAGTCGTCGGCAGAAGACGGGCTCGTATAGGACGCCGGTCGAGGGGTTCGCAGAGGACGCGGTCAACGAGCTCGCAGAAGACGAGTCCGTCGAGGAGCTCGGTTCGACGGGATCCGTCGACGGTATAGGAGCTCCTCGACGAAGGCGGTATAGGAGCTCCTCTACAAGGCCGGTATAGGAGCTCCTCGACGAGGCTGGCAGAGGGCTCGTCTAGGCAAAAGCTGCTCGACGGAGCATTCGTCGAGCTGCTCTACGAAAGTCGCGCGACTGCGAAATTCTTCATGTGGCGAATGTCGCCCAAGAGGTTTTCGCGAAGTCAACCTGCGGAACGGCATCACGTGCTCGACGGTGCATCGCTGGCGAAACCGTCGGCACGTGTTCTACCTGGCACCTGCGCAATGTGCCTAGCAGCGCGTCCGTCTACCTGCACCTACTTGGTAGGCGCGCACATGCGCAGAAGTTCACCTGCCTCTGCGGCGCTGGCAGGCCGCTGCTATACCGCGCTAACAGACCGTAGCTATACCACGCTGGCAGACTACTCTGCTGCAGCGGTGGCAAGCCGCCCTTCTGCTGCGCTGGCATAGTTCGCCTTGCAGAGGGCTTGCTAGGTGTTGCGATGCCGTTCTAGCTATATCGACTTGCATGCCTCATTGTAATCTAATGTTCTTTCAATTTCTTAGTGGAATTCTTGCCATATCTCTCTACGAACATAGCAAGTAGTGAGAACGCCTAGTGCAACGCTACGATCACCCACACAACCCCGTGCCTTCCTCCGTAGTATACTCCCGTTGTGTAGTGACTCTCCGCATGGTGCGGTGAGCGTGGAACGGCGAAACCGTCGGCACGTGTTCTACCTGGCACCTGCGCAATGTGCCTAGCAGCGCGTCTGTCTACCTGCACCTGCTTAGTAGGTGCGCACATGCGCAGAAGTTCACCTGCCTCTGCGGCGCTGGCAGGCCGCTGCTATACCGCGCTAACAGACCGCAGCTATACCGCGCTGGCAGACTACTCTGCTGCAGCGGTGGCAAGCCGCCCTTCTGCTGCGCTGGCATAGTTCGCCTTGCAGAGGGCTTGCTAGGTGTTGCGATGCCGTTCTAGCTATATCGACTTGCATGCCTCATTGTAATCTAATGTTCTTTCAATTTCTTAGTGGAATTCTTGCCATATCTCTCTACGAACATAGCAAGTAGTGAGAACGCCTAGTGCAACGCTACGATCACCCACACAACCCCGTGCCTTCCTCCGTAGTATACTCCCGTTGTGTAGTGACTCTCCGCATGGTGCGGTGAGCGTGGAACGGCCCCGCAACTTACCTTCAGTTAGTAGCCGACGTTTACACCCTACCTAAGTCGTTGTAGGCCGGCAGCCGTCTAGACTGCCATGGACGACCAGGAAATCGTAGCAGGCGTAGAGGATACCCTGCAGGCGCGGTTAGAAGACGTTCGGGCACGCCACGCAGCTGGCGAGTACGGCGGAGCAACCTTGGAGGTTATGCTCTTTGGAACCCGCGTGCAGTGGGCGCGCGAGCACCCAACGACCCGTACTGAGGCGGATGGTCTGCCCGCCACTCCCCGACCGGCACGCAACGAAGGCGGCGTCGACGACCAGGTCGACGGCGGTGACCAAGTCGGTCGCGGCGAGGGCACGCGGAGGATGAGTGGAGTGATCAGGGCCGCCGATGACGGGGTCGGCGGAACACATCCGCAAGCGCAGCGGTCGGCGGCGGCCGCGGGCAGCTCGCATGGCGACGTTGATGGTCGACGCCGCTCCCCGCAGAGAAGTGGAGTGAGGCCGAGCTCCTCTACGCACGTGACGGCTGGTGGAATTGCGCCCGCCTACGGCTATTTCAAGTTTTCGCCGGACAAGATCGCGGTACCTATACCGTTGGAAGGTCGACGAGACCTCATCACGTGGAGGGAGTCGATCGAGCCCCAGCTGGAAATTGCGGGGCTGAAATGTTTCGCCGAGCGGATTCACGGCGCGTATGCGATGCGCGCCGTGTAATTGATGCTCGTCGCATGGCGAGGCTTGCGCCGAGCGGATTCACGGCGCACATGCGTGGCGCGCCGTAAAATTGATGCTCGGCGCATGCCTCGGGTAGCGCCGAGCGGATTCACGGCGCGTATGCGATGCGCGCCGTGTAATTGATGCTCGTCGCATGGCGAGGCTTGCGCCGAGCGGATTCACAGCGCACATGCGTGGCGCGCCGTAAAATTGATGCTCGGCGCATGCCTCGGGTAGCGCCGAGCGGATTTACGGCGCGTATGCGATGCGCACCGTGTAATTGATGCTCGTCACATGGCGAGGCTTGCGCCGAGCGGATTCACGGCGCACATGCGTGGCGCGCCGTAAAATTGATGCTCGGCGCATGCCTCGGATAGCGCCGAGCGGATTCACGGCGCGTATGCGATGCGCGCCGTGTAATTGATGCTCGTCGCATGGCGAGGCTTGCGCCGAGCGGATCCACGGCGCACATGCGTGGCGCGCCGAGCGGATTCACGGCGCACATGCGTGGCGCGCCGTGAAATTGATGCTCGGCGCATGCCTCGAGAAGCGCCGAGCGGATTCACGGCGCACTCCCCGCCGTGACATTCCTCTCTCTACCCGTCATTCCCTCTCCGTCAATTCCGTGCCTGCCCTCTCACCGCTCCTACTGCACTCTCTCTCTCTCTCTCCGCCATTCCCTCTCTCCCTGCTGTTACTCTCTCTCACGTCATTCTCTCTCCCTGCCGTGACTCATTTGCACGTCATTCTCTCTCCCTGCCGTTACTCTCTCTCCCGTCATTCTCTCTCCATGCCGTGACTCATTCTCCGTCATTCTATCTCCCTGTCGTTACTCTCACTCCCGTCATTCTCTCTCCCTGCCGTTACTCTCTCTCCCGTCATTCTCTCTCCCTGCCGTGACTCATTCTCCCGTCATTCTCTCTCCCTGCCGTTACTCTCTCCCATCATTCTCTCTCCCTGCTGTTACTCTCTCTGCCGTCATTCGCATTCCCTGCCATTCCTTGCGTATCCATGCCCCTGTTTCCTTCTCACTCTGCCGTAATTTGCCCTCCCTGCCGTTCCTTCCCTCTCCCTGCCCCTGTTTTCTTCTCTCTCTGTCGTCATTCGCCCTCCCTGCCGTTCCTTCCCTCTCCCTGCCTCTGTTTCCTTCTCTCTCTGCCGTCATTACATCTCCCTGCCATTCCTTACATCTCTCTGCCCCTGTTTCCCTCTCTCTCTGCCGTCATTTCATCTCCCTGCCATTCTTTACATCTCTCTGCCCCTGTTTCCCTCTCTCCCTGCCGCCATTCCATCTCCCTGCCATTCCTTACATCTCTGTGCCTCTCTGCCGCCATTCCCTCTCCCTACCATTCCCTACTACTATTCTTTGTTTGAACAGTACAGGGCAATTGTGTACAGCTGCCCCGATTGTCCTGCCACGGGCTTCACAACCAGAGGGAACGTATCCAACCATCGGTATGGCGGACGTTGCCCCGGGAATGTGCGTCATGCGGCTGCGGCAAACAGTGGCAACCCATTCCTCATGACACGGCACAATGCCGCCTCTATGCCACCCCCCACCCTCTCTATCCCCTCTCCCACCCCCTCCATTCCCTCTCCCACTCTCTCCATGCCCTCTCCTCCACGTGCCGCGGTAGATCCGGAGCCTCTACGAGGCAATGAGGGATCGGCGCATGACAACATGGTTCCCGACTCATTCCATCCAGCCCCCACTCCCTCAAACAGTGTTGAGTCAACACCGGATGTGTTGCCCGATGATGCCACCTCTGTCCATACAAATGGTGAGGCCGAGGGCAGCACAACGATGGTGACAAGAGCCCGTCATTTGTTTTTTTGGATGCATTTGTGCATTGGTTGCTCACTTGTGGCATTTCCAAGAAAAAGGTTTACGAGTTGCTACAGATTTTTAACCACCACGGTGCATGTCTCGAGCAATTGCGCGAGCTCCGAAACATGAGAGACGTTGAGAAGTATGCCGACGACCACGCTCCCGATGCGCATCGGAATGGGAAAAAGGCAAAGGTGCGTCTCGCAGGAAAGCCCATGCTCGAGTATTTTTTTTGTGATAACATTCAATGCATCAAAGATCTCTTGACTCACCCTAAGGTGGCTCCTAAACTTGTTTTGCATCCCACCCCACGTGAGTCGGATGCCACACATGTGTACTCCACCCCCGAAACGGGGGAATGGTGGAAAGCTCTCCATGAGGAGATTAGAAAAGAGGACCCCAACGGGGTGGTGTGTGCACCCATTTTAGCAAGTGATGAGACGCATTTGGACCA